AAGAGAATATACTTTTTCTTATCTTGTTATAATTTTTATTTGGACAAATATGATGAAAGAATACCAAAAAAAAGGGAAACGTCTCATCTATTTTAATATTTCAGTTGTTGAAGGTTGATCTAGTAATGCACTTGTATCGACCCCATCAGTTCTTTTCGGATTTATAGATTTTCTTGAATGTTTGAGTGAATACACATTCAACCTTTTAATGTTAAGCTTGAGTTCGCCCTTAAATCTGATTTAGAAAAGAACTGTCGATTTATGACGAAGGCGGAATGTGTTTCAGATCTGCTCACTGAGCTGTGGTTCTGGGGTTATCACAAATTCGTGGTGATTTCAAGGATCCGCACGCAGTGTGTACAAGATCGAGCTGACGTGACATTTGGACAAAACCTCGTCATAAATCAACTCATCTGGATAACTCAATCAAGAGGCGAACCGACTTGATTGTGAAAAGTGTGCATCGTATGTATAACTATTTAAAGCAAGCTGCTCACTGAGCTGAAGGTCCATGATTGACAGGCGTGTGTAAATGAGGAGGGAAGACTAAGGGACCACTTACATCGTATCTCCTGATTGAAATAAAGGAATGATTTTTTTCGAAAAAAAATTCCAAAAGTGACACGTACGAATAACATAAATGCCACTATATAAAGCTGCCTTAACTAAAGGTGTTATAAAAAAAAAATTATCTGCTGCTTCAACTGTAAGGCAGCTAAGCGAGTTTCGGAGGCGTAAATGTGGCGAACACACGCGCGATATGCTCGCAACGCGTGGAAGGCGCCAGCTAAAATCGTATCATCCTAACCGTCCTATCGTCGTCTGATCAATAGCAGTTCAAAATGTTACCTATCGTTTGTTCAATATATAGGAATTCAATATACATGCTTTGAGTTGAAGTCAAATGTTTGCCTACATTTACCGCTTACTGCAACAGCCCTAGGGAAAGTTATTTTCAAGCAGTAAATTGCGTGCAGATTCAGATCTGAAATGACTAATTGGGTAGCATGTGATAAGCTGAAGACAACAATGGTAGCACAATTGGTAAATTAACCGCTGCTCTATTGGTGAGACTTTTTTGATAGCTATATCTAAATCTGCTCCACAATTGTTTGAATTCAACACAGCTGATGCACTTGGGATTGGTTTGGATAAAAGATTGAAAAGGAATGTTGCGCTCAGACATTTATGAAAAGGAGCAAACGACAACTTCCCTAAAAACAGCAAAAGTACTTCAAGATTTATCAGTTTTACTTTTTCTAAGTTTCCTTTTTTTGTTGATTCTTTCCCACGACAACAAACAGGAAAGAGCCGTAATGAATAACGCTGCAGAAATCCTAAAGTCAGTCCAGATAGGTTTAGATGTCTGCATATTTCTTCTCAACACCGATCGTGGCCTACAAGCGACTGAGCTATGTAATGAATGTACAACTCTACTTCAAAACCTTGACACTGGTATTCAGCTTGATATCTCCGATGTAATATTCCATACTTACTACACCATCTTTGCTAACCGCAAACTTCTTGAAACGCTCCTCAACGTTGGAATACTAACAACACAACTGGGAGACAAATATAAAGCACAAAGCCGGTTTGTAGAGGCAAAGCAACTTTTTAAAAGCGCACTCGCCATCTGGAAAACGATTGGTCACAAAAAAGGAGAAGCTGTGGCTCATGGAAGACTTGGAAATGTATGTTATTTCCTAAGTGAAATGCAGAACGCAGAAAAATACCACCAGAAAGCACTTGCCATCGCGATAGAAATTGGCGACAGACAAGGAGAAGGAATAAGTAACGGGAACATTGGAACTGTGTTTCAATCCCTTGGCCAATATCAGAAGGCTAAAGAATTTCACGAGAAAGCACTTGCCATCGCGATAGAAATTGGTGACAGACAAGGAGAAGGAAGAAGATACAGGAACCTTGGAGATGTGTTTCATTCCCTTGGCCAATATCAGAAGGCTAAAGAATATCACGAGAAAGCACTTGCCATCGCGATAGAAATTGGCGACAGACAAGGAGAAGGAACAACATACGGGAACCTCGGAGCTGTGTTTCATTCCCTTGGCGAATATCAGAAGGCTAAAGAATATTACGAAAAAGCACTTGCCATCGCGATAGAAATTGGTGACAGACGAGGAGAAGGAAATATTAACGGGAACCTCGGAGCTGTGTTTGATTCCCGTGGCGAATATCAGAAGGCTAAAGAATATCACGAGAAAGCACTTGCCATCGCGATAGAAATTGGCGACAGACGAGGAGAAGGAACAATTAACAGGAGCCTCGGAGTTGTGTTTCATTCCCTTGGCGAATATCAGAAGGCTAAAGAATATCACGAGAAAGCACTTGCCATCGCGATAGAAATTGGCGACAAACAAGGAGAAAGAACAAGCAACGAGAACCTTGGAGTTATGTTTCATTCCCGTGGCGAATACAAGAAGGCTAAAGAATATCTCGAGAAAGCACTTGCCATCGCGATAGAAATTGGCGACAGACAAGAAGAAGAAACAATAAACGGGAACCTCGGAAATGTGTTTAATTCCTTAGGCGAATATCAGAAGGCTAAAGAATATCACGAGAAAGCACTTGCCATCGCGATAGAAATTGGCGACAAACAAGGAGAAGGAACATGCAACGAGAACCTTGGAGCTGTGTTTCATTCCCTCGGCGAATATCAGAAGGCTAAAGAATATCACGAGAAAGCACTTGCCATCGCGATAGAAATTGGCGACAGAAATGGAGAAAGAACACATTACGAGAGCCTCGGAGATGTGTTTGTTTCTTTTGGCGAATTTCAAAAGGCTAAAGAATATCACGAGAAAGCACTTGCCATCGCAATAGAAATTGGCGACAGACGAGGAGAAGGAACAATGAACGGGAACCTCGGGGTTGTGTTTGATTCCCTCGGCGAATATCAGAAGGCTAAAGAATATCACGAGAAAGCACTTGCCATCGCAATAGAAACTGGCGACAAAGGAGAAAAAGGAGCCATATACGGGAACCTCGGGGTTCTGTTTTATTCCCGGGGCGAATATCAAAACGCTAAAGAATATCACGAGAAAGCACTTGCCATCGCAATAGAAATTGGTGACAGACGAGGAGAAGGAAATATTAACGGGAACCTCGGAGATATTTTCAATTCCTTTGGCGAATATCAGAAGGCTAAAGAATATCACGAGAAAGCACTTGCCATCGCGATAGAAATTGGCGACAAACCAGGAGAAGGAACAAGCAACGGGAACCTCGGGGTTGTGTTTAATTCCCTCGGCGAATATCAGAAGGCTAAAGAATATCACGAGAAAGCACTTGCCATCGCAATAGAAACTGGCGACAAAGGAAAAAAAGGAGCCATATACGGGAACCTCGGAGCTCTGTTTCATTGCCGTGGCGAATATCAGAAGGCTAAAGAATATAACGATAAAGCACTTGCCATCGCGATAGAAATTGGTGACAGACGAGAGAAGTAAAACATTAACGGGAACCTCGGAAATATTTTCAATTACCTTGGCGAATTTCAGAAGGCTAAAGAATATCACGAGAAAGCACTTGCCATCGCAATAGAAACTGGCGACAAAAGAGGAAAAGGAGCCATATACGGGAACCTCGGGGTTCTGTTTTATTCCCGGGGCGAATATCAAAAGGCTAAAGAATATCACGAGGAAGCACTTGCCATCGCGATAGAAATTAGAGACAGACGAGGAGAGGAAAGAAACAACGGGAACCTCGGAGCAATGTTTCATTCCCGTGGCGAACACAAGAAGGCTAAAGAATATCACGAGAAAGCACTCGCCATCGCGATAGAAATTGGCGACAAACCAGGAGAAGGAAGAAGCAACGGGAACCTCGGGGTTGTGTTTAATTCCCTCGGCGAATATCAGAAGGCTAAAGAATATCACGAGAAAGCACTTGCCATCGCGATAGAAATTGGCGACAAACGAGGAGAAGGAACAAGCTACGGGAGCCTCGGAGCTGTGTTTCATTCCCTTGGCAAATATCAGAAGGCTAAAGAATGTCACGAAAAAGCACTTGCCATCGCGATAGAAGTTGGCGACAAACGAGGAGAAGGAACGAGATACGGGAACCTCGGAGTAATGTTTCATTCCCGTGGCGAATATCGGAAGGCTAAAGAATATCACGAGAAAGCACTTGCCATCGCGATAGAAATTGGCCACAAACGAGGAGAAGGAAGAAGCAACGGGAACCTCGGGGTTGTGTTTAATTCCCTCGGCGAATATCAGAAGGCTAAAGAATATCACGAGAAAGCACTTGCCACCGCGACAGAAATTGGCGACAAACAAGGAGAAGGAGATATTAACAGCAACCTCGGAGCTGTGTTTTATTCCCTTGGCAAATATCAGAAGGCTAAAGAATATTATGAGGAAGCACTCGCCATCGCAATCGAAATTGGCAACAGACTAGGAGAAGGAACAATGAACGGGAACCTCGGGGCTATGTTTCATTCCCTTAGCGAATATCAGAAGGCTAAAAAATATCACGAAAAAGCACTAGCCATCGCGATAGAAATTGGCGACAAACGAGGAGAAGGAAATATTAACAGGAACCTCGGAGTTGTGTTTCAATCCCTCGGCGAAAATCAGAAGGCTAAAGAATATCACAAGAAAGCACTAGCCATCGCGATAGAAATTGGTGACAGAAAAGGAGAAGGTTCGACATACTCGAGTCTTGGAGATGTTTATTTTGCGCTTGGAAAAAACCGGAAAGCTAAGGAACACTTGGACAAAGCAGTCGACGTCGGTTTAGCAATTGGTGACAGACATCTAGAAGCCCAAGCTACTACATCTTTGGCAGCTGTCTTTGCTTCTGTGAATGACTATCAGAAGGCAAAAGAACATTTTGAGAAGGCGCTTACCATCTGCAGAGAATGTGGCATTAGAGAGCTCGAAACAAAAATTTACCGAAGGCTTGGAAATCTATTCCGATTGCTTGGTGAAAGTGGCAAGGCAGAAGATTACTTAGAGAAAGCTTGTTCCTTAAGCAGCCAACTTGGAGATAAAATGACTGAGTTTCAAAGCCTTCTAAGTATTACACAGTTAAAAGTATCACAGTCGGAGGTTTTAGAGGCAAACGAATGTCTTCTTCGATGTATCGGAAAATATGAGCAAATCAGAAGTTTTCTGAAAGGAAACAGTGAATTTGAAATTTCTCTGTTAGAGGAATACGGAACTTTTCCCTACCAGTTACTCACTAACTTGCTCTGCCGTACTGGAAAATTTCGAGATGCTCTCTATGCTGAGGAGCTGGGACGAGCAAGAGTCCTTGCAGGATTCATGGCAGACAAGTACTCCCTGGAAAGCCACTTCACAGCTGATCCACAATCATGGTCTGGGATTGAAAAGAGCGTGAAAACGGAAAGTAACTGTGTTTTTTTATATGTTTCGTATAGAGAGCGGCAAGTTCTCCACTGGGTATTGAAAGGAAATGGAGACATTTTCTTTCGAGCAACACGTGAAGTGGATATAGACACTCTTATTGCTGAGCAAGTCTGCGATGTGGGAGGAGTTTTCAAAAAGAGCGCCGCCGGCTTTGGCGTTTTACCCGAAGCAAACTGCGAAGATCGATCATTGAATGACAACGTGACGACATCTCTTCATGAAGAGAGCCGGGCAAATTTGCGAGGTGACGAAACTAAAGATACCGAAAGAACTCATCAATTGTGCTACAAATGGATCGTCGCACCTGTGGCAGATTTACTTACTGAGCCTGAAATCATCATTGTGCCCGATCGATTCTTGTACCGAGTCCCATTTGCTGCCTTGCGTGATGAATCAGCCGGAAAGTATTTATCGGAGAAGTACAGAATACGCATCATCCCTTCCCTGACGACTCTGCGGCTCATCCAAGAATGTCCCGCGGACTATCACAGTCCAACTGGCGCACTGGTTGTGGGTGATCCTACGGTTGGCAAAGTGCATTACAATGGTGTTGTCACTAACATTACACCATTGTTCCATGCAAATAAGGAAGCAGAGATGGTTGGTCGACTGCTCGGCGTTCAGCCTTTGTCAGGAAGTCGCGCGACAAAGCAGGCGGTACTTCAAGCGATACCTTCAGTGAGTCTGATACATCTTGCTGCACATGGAAATGCTGAAAGAGGAGAGATTGCTCTCTCTCCTCAATCTACCACTGACGGTATTCCCCAAGAGGAAGACTACCTCCTGACAATGTCCGACATTCAAGGAGTTCAAGTGCGAGCCAAACTGGTAGTACTCAGCTGTTGTCACAGTGGGCGTGGATTGGTAAAAAAGGAAGGAATTATTGGAATCGCTCGAGCTTTCTTAGCATCCGGTGCACGTTCAGTGTTGGTAGCATCGTGGGCTATAGAAGACGAAGCAACGGCTAAGCTCATGGAACATTTCTATGAACACCTTGTTCGTGGAGAAAGTGCCAGTGAATCTCTTCACCAGGCCGTTCAATGGTTGAGAAGCAACGGCTTTCCCAAACCTTCCCAATGGGCTCCGTTTGTGCTTATGGGGGATAACGTGACATTTGATTTTACGAAAAAAGGGTAAGTCTGACCATAAGAAGCAATTATCTATAATAAACCGATTAGCACACTAAAATTGTTCAGTTGACCAACTTTTTTTGTTTGTTCGTTTTTGTCTTAGTCTTTCATCCATAAAATATCAAGAAAAAGAAGATTATTTTATCTAGTACTCGGAGCCGGAAGATTTTGATGAATTGCCCTCTAAAATTGGCCTGGAATTAGAGTTTCTTTCGTATGGAAGATATTCGGAAATAATTATTCAAGGTCGATACGATGCTAGACACTATGACAATGAAGGTAATCTGAGAATCTTAAGCTAACACTAAAAAAGTTAACTTTATTTTGTAAAAACACAATAACGACTAAATGATAATTTAAAGGTCACTTTCGCATCAAACATTTAGAAAGATTGGAAAATCATGGCCAATGACGATGAGAAAGAAAGTAATTTATTTTATAGGAAATCGGTTCTGCATGCTTTAAAGTTAAAAAGAGTAATAAATGTATAATGTTTTCTGTGTTTTTTTTTCAGGAATGAAGAACTCAAGGAGGACAACAACGAGGCAGAGAAGGAACAGAGTCACGACTGAAGAAAAGATTCTTCTTCCTGTACATTGTTTTAAAATGAACACTGGTATTACTTTTCGTAGATAATTTTCACTTTTTTCTTAAGTCAAGTACGTTTTTGCATGCTTTTGTAAACATGGCTGAATCGAAAGCGAACGACAACGAAACCTTTAATTCAGCCGCTAGATCTATTACGTATATCAAAAGGGGACTAATATAAGTTGGGACACGAAAAGTTATCTTAATGTTCAAAAATGTAAGAGTGTTGGCAAGGTTTCGTCAGAACTCAAAGTTAATCCTTGATTTATAGAACCATGATCTGGTTTTCAATTCTCCCGTAGTACGCGAACGCGATCATCAAACAGTATAAAGATGTCAAACATAGGCATGCTATGCATGCAAAAGTTATTTTTTGGACGGGTGGGTTGAGGTTAGAGTAGTGTAGCCGAATTATTTAACATTTTTGTGAAAGTAAAATAGTATCAACCTTTAAAACAACAAAAATGTCGCATTTCTTTACCCTAAGATAAATAATTTTGTGGTCTATTGTCTCTGTTGTCTGAATACATCAAAGTAGAAATAATTAGCATTTGGTGGCACGCTTACTGTTGTCTGCTTTGCAGCCCTTATTTGGTCTGGTCTTACAATACCCTCCTTATCCCACTGAGGAGAGAGCACGTAGCGTGACGAGACCAAACAAAGGTTGCGCAGGAGATTACGCTTACTGTCATTCCTCCGTCAGAAAAGGAGCAGTAAACAAAACACATTTCAACTTAAAAAATGATACAAAAAATTACCTGCTAACCTTTCTTATCCCGATAAATCTCGACCTTAATCGACGAGGCTCTCGCGAAGGCCATAAACCATTACACTTACCAAATGAACCCAAAATGTTTGGTGGATGTCATTCTTTGTGCGTGGCCCCCTTCTTACATGAAATCATTAGCAAGAAAGCAATACCCCAACGCTGTAATTGGTACAAGATATCCAAATGCTGTGATATGATTGGTCCGAGATAAAAAAAAAAAAACCACAAGGCGGCGATCTGATTGGTGAGAGATAAATGTACATATCCTAATGTGGCGATCTTTAGTGAAGCAGGTAACATACCACCCTATACACAGACTTTAAGTTTTTTGTTATAAAAAATAACTCAAAAATGAGACTCCGCCAGTATTTTAACATCATTTTAGATTTCGAACTGAGATGTTCCACAAACTGGTCGGAAGGAATAGCTATGTGCTCGGTTTCTTTGTGAAAAGCGTCCTTCTTCTCACAAGTATCATCTATGTCAAAAGCTGAAGAAAAGAGTTTGAGAAAGGTTAAATTTCAAGCTTAAGCGTCCAATTGAGAAATATTCGTTTCATGCGATCAAATCTAATATACTTGTGTTTAGCAGTCTTTCTGTTTTCATGAGTGAGAGGGTTAGGAAATATTTTGACACAGAGAGTTGAAATTTTTCAGACAATAAAACCTCCATCAATATTTGAAAAGTCACTTCTCAGATCACTAATTATTTATCAAAGCCACAAAGTACCATTACGTTACAATCAGATTTTAATAATTATCAAACTCATTTGTATCAATAAACTTTGCTCTGTGACCCTCTATACATAATGAGAAATAAATTAACAATCATTGTTTCAGCAGACATTACATGCTCACAGGTTGAAGGTGATTTTTGTTCCAAAGGCCAAGTAACCATTTTTCCCTACTTTTTAGTAAACCAGATGAACTCAGCAGGATTACATTAAATTGATCTTCATTCTTATTTGTATCTGTTCATTTTACACAGGATTCTTATCAGGATGTTCTGTTGTTCCTCTTAACCCTGTAACCTCTAAGAGTGACGAGCATCTAATTTCTCCTTACAATATCACCCCTGAATCAGTCATTAAGGCCACGAGAATAAAGCAAATGATCACCAAGTAAAGAAGCTCTCGATTGTTAAACAAATTCTCCTTGTCAATACCATAGGAAATGTCTGGAAAACAGTATGGAGAATATACCTGATGATGTTAGGGATTGAAGGTTAAGACTAAACCTAAATAAAACTAATTTAACCTGATAACATGATAGAAATAAATATAAAAATTAGATGAAGAAGAAAGATAAATTTATTGAGAGTTGTCCAGAATGGAGCAAATAACCGCCTAATCACCTCACTGTCCATGGTTAAGAGGTCAAATTTACATGTATATGCTCTCTGGGCCAAAACTTAGAGTCCATTACCTTTATCAGGGAGAGAGTATTAGGAAGATTTTTCAACCCATTGACTCCCTGGAGTGACCAAGAAGAGGAATTTTTATTTACGATATCCATACATTTTCTAGCAGGATGTAACGACCAGAAGGAAAAATATCAACAGAGTGATATTGATTGATTTAACATCAAATCCTCAGAACTAGAATCATAAGCAATATATGAGGGATGGTACAGATAATTATTTCTTAAATCTTGGTGTAAAAGGGTTATAAGGGAAAATATATTACAATTTTCTCAAGACATACAGAACTTTTGGTCATAGCTCTAGGTGACCAAATAAAAGAGGTCTGTAAAGAGAAGTTAGCCTATCCATATTTTTTTCCTGTACACAATGTTATTTACATCTTAACTCTTTCACCCCTAAGAGTTACTAGCATCTAATTTCTCCTTACAATTTCACCCTTGAATCAAAGATGAAGGTGTCGAGAATAAAGGAAATGATCACCAACTTAAGGAATTCTTGATTGTTAGAGAAATTCTCCTTGTCGCACCTTAGGAAATGTATAGAGAACACTATGGGACGCAACTTTGTGGCTGTCTACGTAAACGAGTTGATGATGTATCAATGGTAAATTCCCTTTTTGGAGGCGTTGTAAGACCGCTGTAAATAATCTGAAGGCTTCAAGAAGTTCATCGCGCATCCCAACAAAATTGAAAGTCGATTTCCCCCTTCCCCCCCCCTGTAATCAGACCATGTTGTTTGAAGGGAGTAGCCCTTTATCTCAGTGCCTCAGGGGTGGGCTGAGACTCGCCACAAGCCTATCAACTTAAAAATAGACAATTACTGATAATTTTGATGTAAAGTTTGGCTGCTTCACTTTACAAAGCAACAAAGGGTTGAAAGTTCGAGTCGTGGTGAGTACAATATTTGATTATTGTTAATTTGCTGATGTGTTAGTGATATCTCATCAATTTTACAATACATATTTTCACGCCTTTATAATCAAAGCTGCTCTTACGTAGACCATTGCTATATTGAAAACGTCGTTTTGATTAAATTCTCTTTATGTTTTAAAATGCTTTTCATATCCTAAGGAAAACAACCTCTTAAAATCGTTATTTCTGCCGTGTTGAGTCAAACTCGTTTCATTAAGAGAATATTAACTGTTGATATTCGACTGGTTTCATTTATACCTATTCAGCGTTTGGATAACAATCGAAATGCTTGTACGAACTTAATCCAATACACATGCCTAACTTGTGTACAAAAACGTTTTGAAGAGTTTTTTAAATGTTTATTTCACGAGCGGGGCCAGTTATCTTCGGCGAAAAAAAGGTTCCGACGCATAAAGATGGTAACCGTTGTTGGTGTTCCCAAGGTAAAAGATGGGTAAAATATGGCAATTGGAAATTGAAATATTTTGAATAAAAATTTTCATCAAATAAGCAGAGATTCTTCTACTCAAAAACTCTCCGTCTAGACACGTCTAATGTTGTTGCCTTGGCCGCCCTAAATAGCTGAAGGTTTTTCAGGGTCGGTAATAATGCAGAGTATATTAACAGTATTGCTTCATTTCAAATTAATTCAAGGCGGGCAAATCTATTTCGTGTGATTAGTTTACTTTGTGCGATTAATTCACGAGGAAGATGGAGAGCGATTGATTTTCAGGTTCATAAGTGACTTTTTTTGCTCTTTGAGAATCGAACTTAAACTTTACACTTGGTATCCGTTATTCTCTCTTTGGTTTAAAAAATCTTTTTTTCACCTATTAAGTTTTGACGTCTTTCTTACAGTGGCTGTTTGCATTTATCTTTGTTTTGCAGGGAACGTTATATTTCAGTTTCTTACTTTTGGTTTCATTAATCATACCACCAGAATATTAAGGAAGTCACGCTTCTTTTTCAAAAGGTTAGTAGTAAAAAAATAAATTTAGAAACATTTTTTCCCGGCTTACAAAACTGAAATGTTTTGGGTTTGAACATTCAACGGAAGAGGATTTAAAGCTCCAAATAATCTTAGATTTTGGCAAAGATTTGTTGCTAAAAACTTGACTTAAACTTATCGTAGTCTTCAAAAGTAAAAAAATTAACTCAACTCTAGGTCTTTAACTTCCATGATCTTACTAAGTATCCATTCTAAATGTTATAAATGTCACTATAAATACTTTTAGATAATGAAGTGTTGCGCCAATTCAACAACGTCCATATCAGTGATAAGTTTCTTTATTCTCCAAAACTGTCGGCTGAATGATATATGGACACTTTAGGGAGAAGTTGTCCGCGAAACAATTTGGTATTGTCAGAGTCTGAGACTAAAAGAGTAAAAGCACCCACACGATGTATGAAAAGGAAATTCCGATGCAAAAAGAAAAAAAGATGCCGTGTTTTTAATTTAAATTATGGAGGAAATTTAATGGAATCTAGTTCTGTTTTCTAAATGACTTTTTTGTTTTTTCACACTGTTTATTAACCTTCATCTCTGTTTTGCAGGTTGAGCGTAATTTGAGTTTCTTACTCTCGTCTTCCTCAGTCATACGATCAGAATACTAAACAAGGTACACTTCCTTGTTCAAGGGTAAGTAACAAAAATAAAGAAGAAATTAGCTTGCATTCCTTTTACCATTTTTTTTAGAGTCCTCAAATCAGGCGCAACAGAAATCAAATTCAAGAACATTAAATTCTGATGTAAAAAGAACGAGCCACAATGTTTATCAATGAGCATTGTGAGCGAAACGGAAAGTCGTACCGATACATCTTTGACCAAAAGATTATTAACTGCTATATTTCACCTCTTGTCTCAGACTTTAAAAGGGAATGTTTCAACTAATCGAACTTAGCACTCTGTCCTCACACGAGCTGCTTGCATTTATCTTTGTTTCTTGCGGCTTACGGTCTCATAAGTCAACAACTGAACAAAACGTGCTTATTTTTTAAAAAGGTTAACAGCTAAAAACCTAAATTTAATGATAATCATTCTTTTCCCGCTTAAAAAATATATATATATTCCGGGTTAAAATTTGAGGAAATTCATAATTCCAAACAATGTCATAATATTTGTGAAGACCTACCAAATTCGAATAGTTTTTTTACTTGATTGGAGAGTGTTTAAGGTCTGCAATTCAGCAATTCTTCCTTCTAGCTCCCTCACTTTACCTTGTTATTCTGTAGGGAGAATTTGGTGTTGTGTTAAAAGAACGCCCTTAGCTGATATGTCTTCTCGTCGCTAGTTCACTGAATAATATGTTGCTATTGGAAAGACAAGCAATATGTCTCTCACTTCTGTAAGGTTTTGAAAAATCGGACAAAGCGCGATTTAAACCACCAAAGTCTTATCAATGATGTGCGAGCTCCAACATTTATAGAGATGTCTTAAGGTTAAGCTGTAATTCAAATTCCATCCTTCTCTGTTTTTACGATGATTATTTTTAGCGATAATTTTTATATTCCATCTAAACTAGCGCTTTGCATTCTTCGTTGCTTTGCAAGAAAACATGAAATCGCTTTCTTAAATGAGGTCTCTTTACTATCCGCAAATCTTTTCGTTTTCAAAGGAAGCGGCTAAATATTTATTTCAGGAATATTATTGAAATGAAATGTTAAGGATTGAAACTTGCTAATGATAGAGAAAACGCCCTCTAAATGATGGGTCTGTTCACTCTCACCACTTGATTGCTTTACGGTATATTGACATTGTAAGGAGAAGCTACATGTTCATCACTTCTGTGATGATGTAAAATAAGAGGATCCCGTATGTCAAGTAATGAATCTTAAGGGAAACTTTGGAAACTCTTTTTCTTCCATCTTAGATGTTTTTTTCTTTTTTTTGATGATTTCGTATTACCTACCGTGTAAGTAAAACGTTCTAACAACAGCTATTGGCATTTACATTTGTTTGACTGGGAAAGTCTTATTTCATTTTCTTTCTTTGTTTCTATAACTCACACAATCAGGATCTAACAAAAGAAGGCATATTCTGTTTTCAAAGGTGAGCTTTTGTCGTTGTTTTTGTTGTTTTTAATTTCTTTATTTTCATTGCTTCCTTAGTTTCATTTCCTATGAATTAAATTCACATTATTATTAAACCAAACAAAACATTTGAAAAAGTTGGTACATGAATAACTGAAGCAACGCGAACGTAATCGAATGAAATGGAAAGATTTTCCTTCGTGTGAAAAGCAAAGTCTTTTGATAACGAGTGCGCGGTTTAAACACTGGGTAGAATCTTTGCTCCAATTTTATGCTGCATTGAAATCTTTTCATTTTTGAAAATAACTGTGGAGTAATCACTGACAACATTTTATATGTTTTAATTTCATACATCTCGAATTAATAAAACGAGTTTCTAAAACTGACAAACAGGCTTTATCTTTATGGACACACAATTAGAAATACCGACACAAATCTATTCATCTGGACACAGGTGAATGGTTTCTTAATTCGTTTGGTTGTAGAATGTAATTTTTTTTCCGTTGGCTTTATGTCCTTCAAATTTGTCCGCAACGCAACAAAGCAAAATCTACGTCGTGTAGATTTCATTTGCTGGGATTCTGAATCAAACAACAATAAAAATCAGAGCAGAGTAAAACCTAGCCTGCAGTGTAGGCGTTATAAGTGCGAGCTAACGTTATAAGCTCGCGATCATTCATCCGACCGGCCATGTTTGATTTAAAGTTAGAGTGGACGGTAAGGGTTGGGGGCAGAGGATGGGCGAGAAAACGCTTGCGGGAAGAGGCTGTTGAAAAGTAAAATACCCTCTGATTGGTTGCGCATCGCTTTATTCCCGGAAAGGAGCAAGTAACCAATCAAAATAAGTCAAATTAAAAACCGCAAGCACTGTCTTCCGACAAAAAGCTAACATACGTAGAGCCGATGAGTAAAACGATGGGCAGTTATTTTTTTTTTCAGTCAGGAAAGAAATGGCTTCGATAAAACCTCCTCCGCGGTCACAAATATGAGCTGATATTTACTGCACTCTATTATTTTCCAAACGACAATCCTTGAGTATAATTGCCGTTGACCTATTTGACAATTTTTCTTCCATTTAACCGTAAACGATACTTTGAAGCAACAAACAACTGCACTCGAGGGTTTACCCGTCATAATTTGTTTGATGCAAACCAGAATACTCTGGTGAAACGGAGAGGCTGTTATTTTTTATCAACGAAATAAATGGCTTCACCAAAACGTTCTCTGCTGACGCAAATACGAGTTAATATTTGCCCCACCCCACCCCTCTCCCTATTTTTGATCGTCGACTGCCCCCATGGTACAAATTTCCTTCTCTCCCTAGCCTTCCACTGCCATTAAAATCAAAGATGGTGGCCATAATTTTTGTTAAGAAAATACTGAGTGCTCGCTCGCTAAAATTACGCCTGCTCTGCACGTTGAGTAAGAGCCTGGTTGTTGGATGGTAGCAAACGGAGGGGGTCCTGATCCTGTTTCGCACACGAATTTTTTTGAAAAATTCACGCTTCACTTATATAAAGGAAAAACTTCAAATCTCTCTTCTTGTGTACAAGGTTTCTGGAAAAACTTGAGGTCTCCACGAAATGAAAGATGAAATTCACGGGTCACGTATATCTCAGGAGGCCAGTCACGCCTTACACTGGATCATGGATTTACGAATCACGTTCGTCTTTCTGTAAAATTCACGCCTCACATACTTATTTTGGCCTTAATCACGCTTCAAGTGTAAACCCCTTAGCACCCTCTTTTTAAAAGTCAGTTTGACAGCTTTCGTACGATACTGCAATCAAATACAGAAATATTAAATATGATTAAAAGTTCTGCGTGACTGCAAGAGTTCAAAGTTCATCACCAAAACAGTTCAAACAAGAAAACCTACTTGCCCCAAGTTGACCCTTCCAACAGCGATAACAAACATGAAAATGGGTAAAAGAGAATATGCTTTTTCTTATCTTGATATAATTTTTATTTGAACAAATATGAGGGAAGAATACCAAAAAAAAAGGAAACATCTCATCTATTTTAATATTTCAGTTGTTGAAGGGGTATCCGCCGCTTTCGCCCCCTATAGAGTTCGCCCCTTCGGGTTCGCCCCTACCTTATACCGTGTTCGCCCCCACACTTTTCGAGTTCGACCCCATCAAGTCGAGTTCGCCCCTTGATTGACCCTTGAGTGATATCCAGATGAGTTGATTCGTAAGTTGATGAGTAAATTCTTCAGTCTTAATTTCATAAATAAAGCTAAACGGGTACAAGTCTAACAACTTAAGCAATGCTGTCGCGATGAAAGCGTGGTTTGCATCTTCTCAAGTCTGGTTGTTACGATCAACACATTTCGTGTTCGTTAGATAAACCGTGTGGTTCTCTTTATCACAAATTCAGTGTATACAGTTATTTCTGGTAACCCCAGATCCCACGCAGAGTATTTAGTTGATTCCGTCAACCCAGTTCCCAAGCAGGTTCCACGCAATTGCCGAAATTCAAAATGATCGTCGCTGACGTGACATTTGGCACATTCTGCTAGTGCCTTCGTCATAAATCAACTCATCTGGATATCACTCAATCAAGGGGCGAACTCGACTTGATGGGGTCGAACTCGAAAAGTGTGGGGGCGAACACGGCATAAGGTAGGGGCGAACTCGAAGGGGCGAACTCCAATGTTAAGCTGAAAATCTATAAATCCGAAAAGAACTTTCGGATTTCAGCTGCTCACTGAGCTGAAGCGAGTGACAAGGGCGCGCATGATTGACAGGCGTGTGTACTAGATGAGGAGGGAAGAAAAACCTCCTTTATAAACTAAGGGACCACTTATGCTTGCATCGTATCTCCTGATTGAAATGACAGGAATGATTTTTTTTCGAGAAAGGTCAAAATATTTCCTCCAAAAGTGACACGTACGAATAACATAAATGCCACTATATAAAGCAAAAGGTGCGACAAAACTTACTGCCTTAACTAAAGGTGTTATAAAGAAAAAATTATCTGCTGTTTCAACTGTAAGGCAGCTAAGCGAGTTTCGGAGGCGTAAATGTGGGGAACACACGCGTGATATGCTCGCGACGCGCGGAAGGCGCCAGCTAAAATCATATCATCTTAACCGTCCTATCGTCGTATGACCAATAGCAGTTCAACATGTTACCTATCGTTTGTTCAATATACAGGAATTAAATATGCATGCTTTGAGTTGAAGTCAAATGTTTTTGCCAACATTTACCGCTTATTGTAACACCCCCAGGGAAGTCATTTTCAAGCAGTAAATTGCGAGCAGATTCAGAAATGACTAATTGGGTAGCATGTAATAAGCTGAAGACAACAATGGTAACACAATTAGTAAATTAACCGTTGCTCTATTGGTGATTTTTTTTTGATAGCTATATCTGAATCTGCTCCACAATTGTTTGAATTTAACCCAGCTGATGCACTTGAGATTGGTTTGGATAAAAGATTGAAAAGGAATGTTGCGCTCAGACATTTATGAAAAGGAGCAAACTACAACTTCCCTAAAAACAGCAAAAGTACTTCAAGATTTATCAGTTTTACTTTTTCTAAGTTTCCTTTTTTTGTTGATTCTTTCCCACGATAACAAACAGGAGAGAGTCATAATGAATAACGCTGCAGAAATCCTAAAGTCAGTCCAGATAGGTTTAGATGTCTGCATATTTCTTCTCAACACCGATCGTGGCCTACAAGCGACTGAGTTATGTAATGAATGTACAACTCTACTTCAAAACCTTGACACTGGTATTCAGCTTGATATCTCCGATGTAATATTCCATACTTACTACACCATCTTTGCTAACCGCAAACTTCTTGAAACGCTCCTCAACGTTGGAATACTAACAACACAACTGGGAGACAAATATGAAGCACAAAGCCGGTTTGTAGAGGCAAAGCAACTTTTTGAAAGCGCTCTCGCCATCTGGAAAACGATTGGTAACAAACAATTAGAAGGTTTGGCTCATGGAAGACTTGGAAAGGTATGTTATTTCCGAAGTGAAATGCAGAACGCAGAAAAATACTACCAGAAAGCACTCGCCATCGCGATAGAAATTGGCGACAGACAACTACAAGAAACAAGTACCGGAAACCTCGGAGCTGTGTTTAATTCCCTTGGCAAATATCAGAAGGCTAGAGAATATCACGAGAAAGCACTTGCCATCGCGATAGAAATTGGTGACAGAGAAGGAGAAGGAAGAAGATATGGGAACCTTGGAGCTGTGTTTCATTACCTTGGCGAATATCAGAGGGCTAAAGAATATCACGAGAAAGCACTTACTATCGCGATAGAAATTGGCGACAGACAACGAGAAGGAACAAGTAGCGGAAACCTCGGAGCTGTGTTCTATTCCCTTGGCAAATATCAGAAGGCTATAGAATATCACGAGAAAGCACTTGCCATCGCAATAGAAATTGGTGACAGACGAGGAGAAGGAAATATTAACGGGAACCTCGGAGCTGTGTTTGATTCCCGTGGCGAATATCAGAAGGCTATAGAATATTACGAGAAAGCACTTCCTATCGCAACAGAAATTGGCGACAGACGAGGAGAAGGAACAATTAACAGGAGCCTCGGAGTTGTGTTTCATTCCCTTGGCGAACATCAGAAAGCTAAAGAATATCACGAGAAAGCACTTACCATCGCGATAGAAACTGGCGACAAACGAGGAGAAGGAATAATTAACGGGAACCTCGGAGCTGTGTTTGATTCCCTTAGCGAATATCAGAAAGCTAAAGAATATCTCGAGAAGGCACTTGCCATCGCGATAGAAATTGGCGACAAACTGGAAGAAGGAACAAGCAGTGGGAACCTCGGAGCTGTGTTTGGTTCCCTTGGCAAATATCAGAAGGCTAAAGAATATCACGAGAAAGCATTTGCCATCGCGATAGAAATTGGCGACAAACTAGGAGAAGGAAAAAGTAGCGGAAACCTCGGAGCTGTGTTTCATTCCCTCGGCGAATATCAGAAGGCTAAAGAATATAACGAGAAAGCACTTGCCATCGCAGTAGAAGTTGGCGACAAACGAGGAGAAGGAAATATTAACGTGAACCTTGGAAATATTTTCAATTCCTTTGGCGAATTTCAAAAGGCTAAAGAATATCACGGGAAAGCACTTGTCATCGCAATAGAAATTGGCGACAAACGAGGAGAAGGAACGATATACGGGAACCTCGGGGTTGTGTTTAATTCCCTCGGCGAATATCAGAAGGCTAAAGAATATCACGAGAAAGCACTTGCCATCGCAATAGAAACTGGCGACAAAGGAGAAAAAGGAGCCATATACGGGAACCTCGGAGCTCTGTTTCATTGCCGTGGCGAATATCAGAGGGCTAAAGAATATAACGATAAAGCACTTGCCATCGCGATAGAAATTGGTGACAGACGAGGAGAAGGAAATATTAACGGGAACCTCGGAGATATTTTCAATTCCTTTGGCGAATATCAGAAGGCTAAAGAATATCACGAGAAAGCACTCGCCATCGCGATAGAAATTGGCGACAGACCAGGAGAAGGAACAAGCAACGGGAACCTCGGGGTTGTGTTTAATTCCCTCGGCGAATATCAGAAGGCTAAAGAATATCACGAGAAAGCACTTGCCATCGCAATAGAAACTGGCGACAAAAGAGGAAAAGGAGCCATATACGGGAACCTCGGAGCTTTGTTTCATTGCCGTGGCGAATATCAGAAGGCTAAAGAATATAACGATAAAGCACTTGCCATCGCGATAGAAATTGGTGACAGACGAGAAGAAAGAAATATTAAAGGGAACCTCGGAAATATTTTCATTTCCCTCGGCGAATATCAGAAGGCTAAAGAATATCACGAGAAAGCACTTGCCATCGCAATAGAAACTGGCGACAAAAGAGGAAAAGGAGCCATATACGGGAACCTCGGGGTTCTGTTTTATTCCCGGGGCGAATATCAAAAGGCTAAAGAATATCACGAGGAAGCACTTGCCATCGCGATAGAAATTAGAGACAGACGAGGAGAGGAAACAAACAACGGGAACCTCGGAGTAATGTTTCATTCCCGTGGCGAACACAAGAAGGCAAAAGAATATCACGAGAAAGCACTCGCCATCGCGATAGAAATTGGCGACAAACCAGGAGAAGGAAGAAGCAACGGGAACCTCGGGGTTGTGTTTAATTCCCTCGGCGAATATCAGAAGGCTAAAGAATATCACGAGAAAGCACTTGCCATCGCGATAGAAGTTGGCGACAAACGAGGAGAAGGAACAAGCTACGGGAGCCTCGGAGCTGTGTTTCATTCCCTTGGCAAATATCAGAAGGCTAAAGAATATCACGAAAAAGCACTTGCCATCGCGATAGAAGTTGGCGACAAACGAGGAGAAGGAACGGGATACGGGAACCTCGGAGTAATGTTTCATTCCCGTGGCGAATATCGGAAGGCTAAAGAATATCACGAGAAAGCACTTGCCATCGCGATAGAAATTGGCCACAAACGAGGAGAAGGAAGAAGCAACGGGAACCTCGGGGTTGTGTTTAATTCCCTCGGCGAATATCAGAAGGCTAAAGAATATCACGAGAAAGCACTTGCCATCGCGATAGAAATTGGCGACAAACAAGGAGAAGGAGAAATTAACAGCAACCTCGGAGCTGTGTTTTATTCCCTTGGCAAATATCAGAAGGCTAAAGAATATTATGAGGAAGCACTTGCCATCGCAATAGAAATTGGCAACAGACTAGGAGAAGGAACAATGAACGGGAACCTCGGGGCTATGTTTCATTCCCTTAGCGAATATCAGAAGGCTAAAAAATATCACGAAAAAGCACTAGCCATCGCGATAGAAATTGGCGACAAACGAGGAGAAGGAAATATTAACAGGAACCTCGGAGTTGTGTTTCAATCCCTCGGCGAATACCAGACGGCTAAAGAATATCACAAGAAAGCACTAGCCATCGCGATAGAAATTGGTGACAGAAAAGGAGAAGGTTCGACATACTCGAGTCTTGGAGATGTTTATTTTGCGCTTGGAAAAAACCGGAAAGCTAAGGAACACTTGGACAAAGCAGTCGACGTCGGTTTAGCAATTGGTGACAGACATCTAGAAGCCCAAGCTACTCAATCTTTGGCAGCTGTCTTTGCTTCTGTGAATGACTTTCAGAAGGCAAAAGAACATTTTGAGAAGGCGCTTACCTTCTGCAGAGAATGTGGCAATAGAGAGCTCGAAGCAGGAATTTACCTTAGGCTTGGAAGTCTATTCCTATCGCTTGGTGAAAGTGGCAAGGCAGAAGATCACTTAGAGAAAGCTTGTTCCATAAGCAGCCAAATTGGACATAAAATGACTGAGTTTGAAAGCCTTCTACGTATTACATGGTTAAAGGTATCACAGTCAGAACTTGTAGAGGCAAACGAATGTCTTCTTCGATGTATCAGAAAATATGAGCAAATCAGAAGTTTGCTGAAAGGAAACAGTGAATTTGAAATTTCTCTGTTAGAGGAATGCGGAACTTTTCCCTACCAGTTACTCACTAACTTGCTCTGCCGTACTGGAAAATTTCGAGATGCTCTCTATGCTGAGGAGCTGGGACGAGCAAGAGTCCTTGCAGGATTCATGGCAGACAAGTACTCCCTGGAAAGCCACTTCACAGCTGATCCACAATCATGGTCTGGGATTGAAAAGAGCGTGAAAACGGAAAGTAACTGTGTTTTTTTATATGTTTCATATACAGAGCGGCAAGTTCTCCACTGGGTATTGAAAGGAAATGGAGACATTTTCTGTCGAGCAACACGTGAAGTGGATATAGACACTCTTATTGCTGAGCAAGTCTGCGATGTGGAAGGAGTTTTCAAAAAGAGCGCCGCCGGCTTTGGCGTTTTACCCGAAGCAAACTGCGAAGATCGATCATTGAATGACAACGTGACGACATCTCTTCATGAAGAGAGCCGGGCAAATTTGCGAGGTGACGAAACTAAAGATACCGAAAGAACTCATCAATTGTGCTACAAATGGATCGTCGCACCTGTGGCAGATTTACTTACTGAGCCTGAAATCATCATTGTGCCCGATCGATTCTTGTACCGAGTCCCATTTGCTGCCTTGCGTAATAAATCAGCCGGAAAGTATTTATCGGAAAAGTACAGAATACGCGTCATCCCTTCCCTGACGACTCTGCGGCTCATCCAAGAATGTCCCGCGGACTATCACAGTCCAACTGGCGCACTGGTTGTGGGTGATCCTACGGTTGGCAAAGTGCATTACAATGGACGTCTTACTAACATTACACCATTGTTCCATGCAAATAAGGAAGCAAAGATGGTTGGTCGACTGCTCGGCGTTCAGCCTCTGTCAGGAAGTCGCGCGACAAAGCAGGCGGTACTTCAAGCGATACCTTCAGTGAGTCTGATACACCTTGCTGCTCATGGAAATGCCGAAAGAGGAGAGATTGCTCTCTCTCCTCAATCTACCACTAACGGTATTCCCCAAGAGGAAGACTACCTCCTGACAATGTCCGAGATTCAAGGAGTTCAAGTGCGAGCCAAACTGGTTGTACTCAGCTGTTGTCACAGTGGGCGTGGATTGGTAAAAAAGGAAGGAATTATTGGAATCGCTCGAGCTTTCTTAGCATCCGGTGCACGTTCAGTGTTGGTAGCATCGTGGGCTATAGAAGACGAAGCAACGGCTAAGCTCATGGAACATTTCTATGAACACCTTGTTCGTGGAGAAAGTGCCAGTGAATCTCTTCACCAGGCCGTTCAATGGTTGAGAAGCAACGGCTTTCCCAAACCTTCCCAATGGGCTCCGTTTGTGCTTATGGGGGATAACGTGACATTTGATTTTACGAAAAAAAAGGTAAGTCTGACCATAAGAAGCAATTATCTATAATAAACCGATTAGCACACTAAAACTGTTTTTTCGTTTTTGTCTTAGTCTTTCATACATAAAATATCAAGAAAAAGAAGATTATTTTATCTAGTACTCGGATCCGGAAGATTTTGATGAATTTCCCTCTAAAATTGGCTTGGAATTAGAGTTTCTTTCGTATGGAAGATATTCGGAAATAATTATTCAAGGTCGATAAGATGCTAGACACTTTGACAATGAAGGTAATCTGAGAATCTTAAGCTAACACTAAAAAAGTTAACTTTATTTTGTAAAAAAAAAACAATAACGACTAAATGATAATTTTAAGGTTACTTTCGCATCAAACATTTAGAAAGATTGGAAAATCATGGCCGATGACGATGAGGAAGAAAGTAATTTATTTTATAGAAAATCAGTTCTGCATGCTTTAAAGTTAAAAAGAGTAATAAATGTATAATGTTTTCTGTGTTTTTTTTTTTCAGGAATGAAGAACTCAAGGAGGACAACAACGAGGCAGAGAAGGAACAGAGTCACGACTGAAGAAAAGATTCTTCTTCCTGTACATTGTTTTAAAATGAACACTGGTATTACTTTTCGTAGACAATTTTCTCTTTTTTCTTAAGTCAAGTACGTTTTTGCGTGCTATTGTAAACATGACTGAATCGAAAGCGAACGACAATGAAACCTTTAATTCAGCCGCTAAATCTAATACGTATATCAAAAGGGAACTAATATAAGTTGGACACGAAAAGTTATCTTAATGTTCAGAAATGTAAGAGTGTTGGCAAGGTTTCGTCAGAACTCAAAATTAATCCTTGATTTATAGAACCATGATCTGGTTTTCAATTCTCCCGAGGCACGCGAACGCGATCATCAAACACTATAACCATGTCAAACATAAGCATACGCATGCAAAAGTTATTTTTTGGACGGGTGGGTTGAGGTTAGATACTTTGTGTAGCCGAATTTTTTTACATTTTTGTGAAAGTAAAATAGTATCAACCTTTACAGCAACAAAAATGTCGCATTTCTTTACCCTAAGACAAAGAATTTTGTGGTCTATTATCTCTGTTTTCTTAAAACATCAAAGTAGAAATAATTAGCATTTGGTGGCACGCTTACTGTTGTCTGCTTTGCAGCCCTTATTTGGTCTGGTCTTACAATACCCTCCTTATCCCACTGAAGAGAGAGCACGTAGCGTGACGAGACCAAACAAAGATTGCGCAGGAGATTACGCTTACTGTCATTCCTCCGTCAGAAAAGGAGCAGTAAACAAAACACGTTTCAACTCAAAAAACGATACAAAAAATTACCTGCTAACCTTTCTTATCCCGATAAATCTCGACCTTAATCGACGAGGCTCTCGCGAAGGCCATAAACCATTACACTTACCAAATGAACCCAAAATGTTTGGTGGATGTCATTCTTTGTGCGTGGCCCCCTTCTTACATGAAATCATTAGCAAGAAAGCAATACCTCAACGCTGTAATTGGTACAAGATATCCAAATACTGTGATATGATTGGTCCGAGATAAAAAAAACCCTAATGCAGCAATCTGATTGGTGAGAGGTACATGTACATATTCTAATGAGGCGATCTTTAGTGATGCAGGCAACATACCACTCTATTCACTGACTTATGAAAAAAAACTCAAAAATGAGACTCCGTAAGTATTTTAACATCATTTTAGACTTCGAACTGAGATGTTCCACAAACTGGTCGGAAGGAATAGCTATGTGCTCGGTTTCTTTGTGAAAAGCGTCCTTCTTCTCATAAGTATCATCTATGTCAAAGCTGAAGAAAAGAGTTTGAGAACGGTTAAATTTCAAGCTTAAGCGTCCAATTGAGAAGTATTCGTTTCATGCGATCAAATCTAATATACTTGTGTTTAGCAGAGTCTTTCTGTTTTCATGGGTGAGAGGGTTAGGAAATATTTTGACACAGATAGTTGAAATTTTTCAGACAATAAAACCTCCATCAATATTTAAAAGGTCACTTCTCCGATCACTAATTGCGATAAGGTTTACAAATGCGAAATTTCCAAATTTACATGTATTTGCTCTCTGGGCGTAAACTTAGAGTCCATTACCTTTGTCAGGGAGAAAGTATTAGGAAGATTTTCCAACCCCTTTGACTCCCTGAAGTGACCAAGAAGAGGAATTTTTATTTACAATATCCATACATTTTCTAGCAGGATGTTGATTTATTGATTGATTTAACATCAAATTCTCAGGACTAGAATCATAAGCAACATATGAGGATGGTACAGATAATTATTTCTTAAATCTTGGTAGTAAAAGAGTTAGAGAAAATATATTCCAATTTTCTCAAGACATATAGAACTTTTGGTCATAGCTCTAGGTGACCAAATAAAAGAGGTCTGTAAAGAGAAGTTAGCCTATCCATATTTTTTCCCCTGTACACAATGTTATTTACATCTTGACTCTTTCACCCCTAAGAGTTACTAGCATCTAATTTCTCCTTACAGTTTCACCCTTGAATCAAACATGAAGGTGTAGAGTATAAAGGAAATGATCACCAACTTAAGGAATTCTTGATTGATAGATAAATTCTGCTTGCATGCACCTTAAGCAATGTATAGAGAACAGTGAGGATAATATGCATACTGATGTTAGGGTGTAAAGGGTTAAATAGATAAAAAATGTTGAGACTAATAAATATGATTTTTGGGTCCTTGGGACAACACCCCCCTCCCCCCTTTCATTATACATTACCTCTAATAAGCTTTGGGTTTGCTCTATAGTTGCACAAGTTAAAAATCTATCTACATTATGAATCTGATCTCATCAGTGGATCAAAAGCATGAAAAGTCAAGATGCAATGCCTTACTTTCACAAGCACACATCCACCCTTAACCCTTTAACTCCCATGAGTGACCAAGACAGAATTTCTCCTTTCAATATCTATACAATATCAACCAGATAAGTGATGAGAATACAGAAAAATATCAATTTGGCAATAATTAGTTGATCCAATACTAAATTCTCTGAACTAACATTATACAAATTGTATGGTTGACAGTAAGGAGGATTACAAATTTGATCTACGAGTTTAAGGGTTGGACTCTCGGAGAAGATTAATCAGCAAACAGGTCATGAGAACACTCCAATTTATCACAGGTAGAGTTTGTTATCTTAATCTAATCTCAAATTTTTGGACTATTGTAATCTCAAGGAAATAAGTAGCAGCTTGAAGGGAATACTAACACTAACAGTCAGATCTTGGGGTTTTAGGGGGTTAACCCTTTACACCCTAAGGTCAGCATGCACATTCTCTATACTGTCCTCTATACATTTCCTAAGGTGTTAGCAAGGAGATTTTGCTTAACAATCAAGAGCTCCTATATTTGTTGATCATTTCCATTATCTCATGACCTTGATGTTTGATTCAGGGGTGATACTGTAAGGAGAAATTAGATGCTGGTCACTCTTAAGGATTAAAGGGTTAAGTTGGAAGCTTTTCATTAAATGATTTGTCAATAATACATCATTCAGCAAACAGGTAATGAGAATACTCAACTTATTAGGTACATGTTGTTATCTTGATCTAACACCAAGTTCTGGTAACTTGTTCACAAGGAAATGTGCAGGAGCTTGTGGGGAGAATCAACAATCAGATCTTAGGAGTAAAAGGATTTGGGTAAGGAAACCCCGCATAATATAGTGGGTGCTCACCCGGTAATAATTGCACAAACAGCCAAAATTCCATGTAACCGCTCATTTAAGTACTGGGGGGAAGTCCGAGTAGAAAGATGCTCTATTTTAACTACTTGGCCTGTCATGAGTAACAATTCTCACAACTTGTTAAGAAAACTGAGCAACTTTTCATGGAATTCTTCCGGGTTTGCCATATAGCAAGCATGTCCCGCATCTTTCATCATATGAATAACACTATCGGGAATATTTCGGAGCCTTCTCAGCGACGAAACTCCGAGAGTCGAGTCATTTTCGCCATAGAAAATAAGAGTGGGTAGTTGAAGGCTTTTGTAATCTGATTCTTCGTATTTATCGGTACCAACTGGGGCCACGGGAACATATCCTCGTAAATGTTTCCCTTGATCACCTTGGAAAATAAAAGGTAGAGCGTATGACCCGCTCATAGAGGGTGACACCAGAACAGGACGATCGATTTTCAGTTTCTCTATAAACTTTTTTAGGAACACACTTCGTCCTTCAGAAGTTCTTGGCTGTTCAGCATCTTTAGATTTCACAAAACCAGGCAAATCAACAGCCACTACTCTGTAATCATGCGAGGATAGGAACTTTAACGTACCAAGATCGTCCCACGTTTGCGAAGAAAACGCTTGTCCGTGAAGAAATAACACGGTGAAACGTCCGCCATTTGCGGGTGCATCTTCGCGATAAAATATTCCATTGTCGTTTCCTTCCCATTCAAGATATCCACGAAATGCCATTGCGCTCGGCGTTGATAGATAGTACACTGAAACTACCGTGAAGGCTAAAAAAATTCCAATGGTAACTCTCCAATTGATCCTGAAGGAAGAAAGTCTTCCCCGTTTCATATGGTCCGCTGGTTTTGCAGCCAACGGGACAAGAAGACAAGCGACTAAATACAGGAATGGCTCCGACCTGTGATTGGATGATAAAAATGGTAAAAGTTAATAACTTATATCTTAACTCCTTGCTCGTGAGTATGGTTAACCGCGTGTCTCGAAGCGGAACAATGAAATATCAATGTGAAAACACTGATGAGTATGGTTAACCGCGTGTCTCAAATGAAATATCAATGTGAGAACACTGATGAGTCAATCAAGAAATGGCTACTTACATAATTAAGACAAGCGACTAAATACAGGAATGGCTCCGACCTGTGATTGGATGATAAAAATGGTAAAAGTTAATAACTTATATCTTAACTCCTTGCTCGTGAGTATGGTTAACCGCTTGTCTCGAAGCGGAACGATGAAATATCAATGTGAAAACACTGATGAGTATGGTTAACCGCGTGTCTCAAATGAAATATCAATGTGAGAACACTGATGAGTCAATCAAGAAATGGCTACTTACATAATTAAGAGAAGGCAGAGTCTAGCTTGTTCAGCGAGGTCGTTCAGCGATATTCCGGCGATGAAAAAGTCATCTGCTGACTAGCTCCGCTGACTAAATTCATTTAGTCAGCTCACGCGGACAACCAGAGTACTGGAGCCATTCCTGTATTTCACCGCTGACAGGAATAGCTCCGACTCAAACGTTTAATAACTTTTTTTCAATGATTTTTTAATAATTTTTTAAACAGTTTTTGAAAAAAAAATTTAAAACTAAACTAGTGAGCATTCACCTAGAAAATCAGTTTTCCACGAAAAAAAACTCCCTCGATTGTGGCCAAGCCATATTTCTCCAGCAGAGCATACTGTAAATTAAAAACATCGGGCGCAGCGTCACGCAACATTGCGTGATTTTCCAAACGTGAGATGCAGATGCTGCATTATTTTGAAACTTAGGAACTACATGGCCCTGTAGTAATAAATGAGGACTTCATTTGCAAACACTGTAAACTTCAACATAAGAAGAATCTAATAAATCGATTTTTCAGTTTTTATCTCAGTGTATGAATTATTTAGCCAGAACGAAAAAAAAAATTAATATACGCATGAGTTGGAGCCATTCCTGTCTGCGGTGAAATACATGAATGGCTCCAGTCTCTGGTCGTCCGCCTAAACTGACTAAATGAGTTTTGTCAGCGGAGCTTGTCAGCGGATGACTTTTTCATCGCCGGAATATCGCTGAACGACCTCGCTGAACAATCTAGACTCTGCCTTCTCTTGATTATCTAAGTAGCCATTTCTTGATTGACTCATCGGTGTTCTCACATTGATATTTCATTCGAGACACGCGGTTAACCATACTCACGAGCAAGGAGTTAAGATATAAGTTATCACCCTTACTATTTTTATCATCCAATCACAGGTCGGAGCCATTCCTGTATTTAGTCGCTTGTCTTACAAGAAGTGCGCTAGACATCACGTACGCATTCAAGTGTGACGTTCGATATTTGCTGCTTTTGACTCTACCCTCCGCCACACAGTCAGTTGTATCCACTTCCCCCCCCCTCCCCCGCCTAATCTCTCAGCATTTCTAGCGTACCTATTTTAAATCGGTCCGTTCCGCTGTTTGTTTCATCTCGCTATAGAGATGTTTTAAGTTTAGTTTTTTTTTTCATCTGATACAGAGAATTCAGCGTTTTCAATGTTTGGAGAAACAAAAGAACATCTGTTCGAATTAATATTCATGTTCGTTTTCATGATTCAAATACGACTAAAAGAAAATCATCACATGAGAATAAATATATATAAAAAATGTTTATCATGTCTAAATATGTTCAACTGTTTAAAGGAGAAAAATATATATTTTTTCTTTACCAGATGGGTAGGGAGGGGAAGGGGGGGCCTCATTGGAGGAATTAGGCCTTCTATGGCGGTTATTTTCATGCTTCTATGGAAAAAGGTTGTTTGTCTTTCAAGCACTTTAAATATTCTGAAGTAGGAGCCCTTCGGCTACTGATGGAAGTTTAAGGAGATCGTGAATAACCTTGGAAACACGATTTTGATAAACGTTGGTGTCCAGGCTTACTATAATTTGACGGTCAAAATGGCGAATTTGGCCCTTAATGTGAATGTGAGATGGAATGTTTTAATCGCTCTGCTAATAATTTTCTCTGTAGCATTTTTCCTGTATTATTCTTCTCCTTGGAAGGCATGGCCTAAATCTGCAGCTAAAAAACAAGCAGAAGAGAGTGCTGTTGGTAAATATTTCACGTGGAATACTAAGGATCGTACTAAGGATCAAATATACTACAAAGAAGTCGTACCTCAGGTATCAGAAAACACCCGATTTACAGTTATACTGCTGCATGGACAGTTGTTCACGTCCGAAAATTGGGATAACATCGGAACTTTGAAGGCGTTGGCTGCCAAAAGTTACAAAGCCATCGCTGTGGACTTGCCAGGACATGGTCACTCAGAATCTGTAAAGGCTCCTTCAGATGAAGATGAGAAAGTAAATTTTGTGTCTAGTTTGATAGAGAATCTTGGTGTAGACAGGCCAGTTTTAGTGGCACCTTCGATGAGTGGTTCGTACGTGTTGCCGGCGTTAATGGAAAAGGATCTCAGGATAAAGATAAGGGGATTTATTCCAGTTGCACCAGGAGCCGTTGCTAAATATGAAGAGAACGACCTTAGGAAGCTGAATCTTCCAACTCTGATAGTTTATGGCGAGTTGGACAAAAATTTTAAACCGTTTTTTCCATTAATTAAGAACATTCCTAATAGTGAAGTTTTTATGATGAAGAATGCAAAGCATGCATGCTACCTTGACAAACCAGAGGAATTCAATGCAAGGATAATTGAATTTCTTGACAAGCTGTAGAATTGGACAAAAACAGTTGATGTTGGGAGTGGAGACATATTTGAGTGACAGGGTTGATCATTGGAAATTGTGAAAGTAGTATATTCTTGCAGTAGTTCTACCAAACACCGGTCTTTAACTTAATAAGCTGCCATGCCCAGTTAGGGATGACAATGCCAAGGGTGCCATGTGTCTCAACCCTTTACACCCTAACATCAGAATGCATATTCTCCATACTGTTCTCTATACATTTCCTGAGGTGCTCTCATGGAGAATTTGTTTAACAATCAAGAGCATCTTTCATTGGTGATCATTTTCTCTATTCTCATGACCTTAATGTGTGATTCACAGGTGATACAGCAAGGAGAAGTTAGATGCTAATCACTCCTAGGGTGTAAAGGGTTAACCTTTTTATTACATCCATTTTGAAATCACTGGTGGTCCCTGTAATCTGATTGGCTCTAATTGGTGCGATTTATTCATGAATTGCACCATTTTTTGCTTTAAATCGCATCTTTTTTCCAGCCAATGAGGAGGCTACACTAAAAACAAAACAACCAATCAGACTTCAAGGCTTGTTTTAAGTAACCAATCAAATTGCAGGAAGATGAAAGACATGAAGGATCATGTGGCAAATTTTGCAACTTTTGTTTCCAAAACTCTTATTTTTTCCTCCCAAAAAATGGATGAATTTAAGTCCTGTATTTGGGCAATTTCAAAATGGATGTAATAAAGTGGTAATTGAACCTTGTGTTGTGCAATTTTGGTCTGAAATCATACTTGTGATTTCAAATTGAACTCGCACTGCGCGCTCGTTCAATTTTGAAATCACGCGTATGATTTCAGCCCAAATTGCACTCCACTTAGTTCAATTACCATTATTAACTCCCCTGATGGTCCTTACAATATCAATACAATATCAACCAGTTTGGTGATGAGAAGAAAGAAAAATATCAATTAGGAGATTATAAATTGATCCAATACCAAATTCTCCAAGTTAGCATCACAAGAACTGTATGACAGATGCCAAGGATAATTACTAATAAAATCTTGGGAGTTAGTGAGTAATGAGGAAAAATGCTCCTTAACTCATGGTGTCAGGACTCTTATGCTGGCATGCTGAATACTTTGTTCTTAAGGACTGCTACAGCATTGAATGGATTATTACAAAGGAACCTGTCTTTTAAATTCAATGAGAAGTGACAGATTGCTTCATTCCCCCAAATAGTAGAGCTCAGTTGTAGGGCACACCACAGGACTAGACTCCAGACCCCAGGTAGTGGTTGCAGGTCTCCTGGTGTGTTCACTCAATAAGGCTAACACGATTAATGATATTGTTTTCATCACATTGCCTTTAGACAGAAAAGCTACTAGTGGCTAAAGGATATTTTTGTTTGACATAACAGTAGATTCTCACTGTATGTGCAGTGAAATGTGTGGCATGTAGGTGTTGTTAAGACAAAGGATTCAAAGTATGGATACTACTACATTGAAGGTTAAGTCATGAATTTCCAGAGAGATTGGTATACTACATTGATGGTCTGGAGAATACTTAACCCTTTAACTCCCAGAAGTGACCAATATGAAACTTCTCTAAATATCCTTACATTATCCAGCAAACAGCTAATGAGAATGTTTTAACTAATCAGGTAGAAGTTACCTTGATCTAGCACCAAATTCTCATAACTAATTTACAAGGAAATGTGTAGCAGCTAGAGGGCAGAATTACCAATCAGATCTTGGGAGTTAATTTCACTCCCAAGGGTTAAAGGGGTAATATAACTCCCAAGATTTCATTAGAAATTCTCCTTACTGTCTGTCATGTAATTCAAGTGTTAGCTAGGAGAATTTGGAATTGGATCAAACAATAATCCCCTTATTGATATTTTTCTTTATTCTCATTACTTGTCCACTTGATGTTGTACTGTAAGGAGAAATTCTGTCTAGGTCACTAATAGGACTTGAAGGGTTAATTATTCACCAGAAGTTAATGGAAGTACATAGACCTCCACAATTTGGAAAAGCCAATGTGTTTACATCAACAAAGTGCATTAACATCAGTCAATATGTTTGATAAACCAGTGACATATCAACCAAACTAAGGCTGAAGATTTGTAATACATTGTATGCCAAAACCATTCTTGGACACTCACCTCTAGTGCTAGACCTGAATACTATTTCATTACATTTGTAAACTCAAAATAAAATTGTCCAGACAAGTAGACTAAGAATAAAGAGAGTTAATGAGAACTTTCTTACTCTTTGGAATTTTTCTTTTCCTGGCTTGCTTTGGCAAGCTAACATCAGGTGTTGGCTAACTTGCCTTGCCAGGGATCAGAATTAACTTTGCTTCCTACCAAGCCAACTCACTCTTTTCTAGTGACTAATAACTTAATTTAGCAACTAGGCACTAGAAATACAAGGGTGCCTGTTCTCAGAGCACTTGCCAATGTCAAATGGTAGTTACAAAATACATTAGAAAAAAAAACAACAAAATAATCAAAAAGCTCAGTTTATTTTTAAATTAAAAGAATACTTCAGAGAGGATGAAATTAAAATATCAATGAAAAAATGCTTGAATTATAATGGATTCTTTTCCACAACATCATCAGGTTCACTTACATGGAAACAAAATTGGAGAAATTTTAAGTGCACTTGAACTGATACACAGAAAAAAGTAAAATTTTACACATGATAAACAAAAAAAAACAAAACTTTTGACTGGAAAGTTAATGTGACACTCAAAATGACATGAAGATTCAGCCCAACTCTCCAAAGTGACTTTTCAAATTAACAATTTTATTCATGGCCTGTTCTACAACTAAAAATAAGCTCTTTCCTAAGGCAATCATCTTGTGATGCCAAGTGTATTAAAAAAAAAAAAAAAGGTTTTAAAACTGTGCAAACTTTGTCCACTTTGTATCAAAAAGTAAGCATTGTTAATTTGTTTAAGTTTTGTTTGTCTCCATTTTTTTGAAAAGTTCATCTGCATCTTCACTCGTTTTCACTCTAATTAAATATGTTGCAGGTTTGCTGTTGTCTCCTTCAGCATCTTTGGAGAAGAGTGGCGGATTTGGAACAGATATTAACATTACATTGTTCTTCCCTGATCTACTGATTGGAGTGTTTTCTGCCAGATACACGTTCAACACTATTTTTCCAAGGGCTGTATCATTCCGCACCAGCAATTGAGTTTTTCCTTCAAGTTTCTTCAAGTTCAGCATCCCAATTCCCAGTTCAACCCAAGATGATTCACGCTTAAAAAATAGCTTGCACCTGATGGAATGGAAAGCTCCTTCTTCAGCTACCACAACACTGGAATAAAATGTGAGCAAAAATAACACATTATTAGTCAGGGATAATGTCTATATCGTCAAGTCCAATTTTACAAAAACAACATTTAACAAAAAAGCAACAATCTCCACCATTTAAACAAAGATGAAACAGAGATATGGTATGATAGAGAATAAAACATGTGTGATGTGGAATTTCTCTTTGAATGTTCAACTAGAAAACTCATGCATGAGTGCAGGGAATGAGTGAGATAATTATAGATTAAAACATGATTATCTAAACACCACTGGCCTTCACTTACAAGAAAAGTTTATTTCATCAGTTGAATGAGAATGATGAATGCATTTTTTTCATCAACCTGAGAGAGTGTCATGAGAGGCCAGTGATGCGACGGCAGCTAATTGGCAATATCCAACACATGTAAAAACTATTGTCAATTTACAAATGTCCAGTTATGGCTATTCTAAGGGCTGTAATTCCTTGTTAAACACCACAGTTTATACAAATCTATATTGATTCACACACTTTATGACTCCCTTGGAGTCCCACTAGGGTTTCACAGTATCATAGGAGACAACAGTCTGTAACCAAACAGACAAAAAAACAATACCTCTTAAAAAGAAGAACCTTTCCATAACAAAAAAAAAGAGAAGTTTACTCCACTCTGAGATATTCTACTATTCATGACTTGATCACCTTTTTGGTTTAGGAACTTCTTCCTCTGCATTCTCTTCCCCTGATGTTCCAGGCTGACTCTCTGCAGCACTCATCTCTGAGCTTGGAGCTTCTACAATTAAACAACAGAAAATCTCTAAAATTAGTTGTATAATGAAACTAGCTTCATCAAAAGAGTATGACAGCACTCAGCCAACCACAGTACTTGCAAATTGAAGCCCTATTCACTCCAAAAGGTAAAGGATATATTCATGCAAACCCGCTGGCAAAGGCACAGGGAGCAGAGGAGTTAAATTTGACTGGATTTCTTTTAAATCAATTGCAGCAAAGACTTCATCTTGTTTATAGACTGTTGATTTATACTACTGCACTAACATTCTGTTGAAATACAATCTGTGTCAATGATGGGCAAGATAAAGGATCACTGTTGGCTTCAGAGTGAAATAGATTATGGTAAATCTCTATGCTTGATAAATCATATCATTCTCTTGTAATCTTTGTAATGCTATACCATTTTCACTTTGGTGGGGGTAGAACCAATAACCAGTGTATATCTTTTTTTTTTTAAATTCCAAAACCAGATATCACTGCAGAAAGTTAAAGGACTCGTGTTGAGTTGTTTTGCACAAAAGATGGGATAGTGACTTGTAAGATAAGCAGTTCTTGATACCCAGTGACCCCCTAAGGAGCAAATCCATTGTAAACAGATTATGCAAAATAAATTATTCTCACCTGTATTTAAAGTATTTGATTTGTTTCCTTGTGTTTCTTGTGATGCTTGAGGAGGAGGAGGACCACTGAATGGTGAAAATGAGCTCTCTGCAGGTTGAGAAGATGCGCTGAATGTCACTGACTTTGTTAATGATGAATTTGCTGCGGCTGTTGTTGAATTTGAAAACTTTGAGTCAATGTTCTTCATGTGTTGCTTATAATCATCGAAAATTGGAGATAAATCAACAAATGGATTTGTGTTAAGGTGCTTTTGGATCCAGGCAACAATGCTTTCATTGAGGGCCTTCAGATTATCCTCATAGGAACTTCCCTGAGCTTTGGTTGTCTTTGACTCCTCAGATGAGTTAGATTTGCAGCCATTTTGATTGCTGGATGATGCTTCTGTTGTTGGCTTGTTCAAACCACTGAACATATTTTTTGAACTTGAGGCCAGACTAAAGAAACCTGTTAGTGGTTTGGTGGCAGGTGTGCTGGTTCCAAAATCTGTGGCATTGTTATTTAAACTGCCAAAACCAGAGAATCCTTGGAAAACCCCTTTACCCTGCTGAAACAAGAACAATTAATTTTACCCCTTTAGCCCCATAGTCAAGATATAAATTCTTGCTCTGTGGTTTCCATGCATTTTCTTACGGCAGTTACTGTGAAAATTGTTTTAAGGTTGGCAAATTTTTTTTGGTGACCAGTTCCTTAATTCTCATGATCCTTAATTGCTCTGATATTGTGAGCAGGAATTTGATGCTGATCACTCTAACAACATGTTCAGCAAACAAATTTGTTAAACTGGATAAGGTACCAGCTTAATTTCCAGCAGATTATGTCTAACTATCAATCTAACAACAACATTGTAGAAAGGGTTGACAAAATAAGCTGGCAAATGGTACATTTCATGATCAAATCTGAAAAACATGCCAGCTATCACTAAAGCTTGCCGCTCAGTTTTCAGTATGGAAGCATGACAGCATGACATTTCTGTTACTCAAAATCTTTTTAATAACCCTGCTGTTGAGGTATAATAAGTTATGTTGGACTGACTGTAATTTATCTATGTGGACCACTTACAGTCCAAGTACAGATTATCCACTAGGAGAAATTGAAAAACACACACACTTCTCACAAAGATTAGGGAACGTAGCTCCTGGTGTTTTGGTCTGACTTTGTTATTGTTTCTACTGGCCCCCATTTAAACAGCTTTGAGCTGAACTGGGCCAGCTTGTCTAAATATTGCACACAAAAAAACAAAAACATACAAACATAAAAACATCAAAGAGTTTGCCAGAGAGCACTCTGACAGGTCTACTCCTAAAATACAAAGTACCTGATTATCCGCAGTGTTCACACGTCGTTTAGCCTTGATTATTCTGATAACAAAACAACAATAAGGACTGATGCATAATTAAAAGTTTTTGACAGACAGCAAGCTTGAGTATAAATATTTTTCACTAGCCTGTTTCATGACTTTAACCCTTTATACCCCAACATCAGTGTGCATATTCCCATACTGCTCTCCATAAATTTCCTATGGTGCTGACAAGGAGAATTTGTTGAAGAATCAAGAGCTTCTTGAGTTGGTGATCATTTCCTAAATTCTCATGACCTTAATGTATGCTTCAGGGGTGTTATTGCAAGGAGAAATTAGATGCTAGTCACTCATAGGGGTCAAAGGATTAAAGATAAGAGGCAAGATGATAAGTGGTATAACACTATCTAATGATACTGCTACAGTGTGTATTGAAGAGGGAAACTGTAGGTTAGTCCTGAACTGTTTTCTTTACTGAAAAGATAAAAGCTCTGTTAAATACAAAATTAACAAAATAGGAAATTTTACCTAGTCTACTAAGTGCATTACCGGTAACTCAAAAATCTTCAGTAAAACAGATTTTCAACAACAAAATGGGCAGTTACTGCACAACACAAGTCTTATTTTAACTTTATTTTCTTTACTCACTTCCTCTTGCTTAGATCCTCAGAAGTTGCAACTTTGAAATGACCAACCTGTCAAATAACAACGTTTAAGTAACATGAGCGAACTTTGGTAATTTGACGTTCTTTAGTGGTTAAGGAAATTGCGCGCCACGCCGGCAACAAATGTACATTTGTAACCGGCCCTCGGGCCACTAAAACAAACCTAACAGAAACATAGCTATGAGGAATGTTAAAAAAACATAAAAATGTAAAATAGACTAAATACTTCTTCTTCGTCTTCTTCCTGATCCCAGTTATCTTGAGTGAGCTCCTTGTCCGCGCCTCTCTTCGCCATTTTGGTGTGCACTACACATGCGCGTTCCAGCCGTAGTAAGAAGCACCCTTCATCCGGGATCTTGCAAGTGCGCTCTCTCGCTTCTGTACGTATTTGGTCATTTCAGTTCCCTTCAGAGACCCGTGGACGGTACCCCTTAACCGTTCAACCTTTCATAGATAACGAGAAATCCCCGCAAACAACGGCCCTCGCTGCTTGATGGAGTTGGAGAAATTGCAGTCGCAGTTGAAAAGCCAACTTCAGCAACACCAGGTAGGCTATTTTCCATTCGGAAGTGCGATTGACAAACTATGTCCACAAGTGTTTTGCATGCAGATTAGGTAGGCAAAAGGTTTTTGCGATTTTCTAACTACCCGAATGCTCATTTACGTCAGGCTGTTATAGGCCGTAGGTTCGAACAGAGAATATTATGGTAGTTCGTATTACAGCATTCTTGGTCTAGAATGGGTATTCTGTCGGCGAAACGAATCCGCGAATTTCTTCGAACTCGAACGAGCGACACGGTACATATTTAATCAATTTTGCTGTGTATACCTCCCCATTAGTTCACTTGAACTTCTAGTAAATGCATAAATTGCGGCGGTCGGTTCGAGTTTCGTTCTTGGCTGTGATTTCACTGATGTTTTCTCTCAATTTTTGTAGATTCTTATTCATCAAATAAAGACAGATCCACAGGTAAAATATATTTTCGCTTCTTTTGATCAGAATGTTTCAGTGTGTTGGGTTTCAATTGTTTTCCGTCGACGCAGTTTTTGAGAAATATTTTCAAACACGGATATCTCTGTTTTACAGAATCCCGACCTTCAGAAAAAGTTACAGAGTCTTCAAGCCCATATTACAAGTTTAAGCGAACAACAGGTAGGTTTATGGCGTAGAGGAGAGTTTATTTAGGGCCAAAAAAGTGGCAAGGAGAGCCATTAAAAAATCACATGCAAATGTAGGAAGGAGATTTTGCTCTGAGACATAGAGGGTGGTGAAAAATTAAAATGCAGGGCATTCATGCTCATAGGAGCCAATCAAAAAGCGACAAAGTCCCGTGGGACTTGCTACAGGTGTGGACACAGCCAAGGAAAAATGTTTTGTCGTGAAGTCAAGTAATGTTGTTGTTTTCTCTCTTTTTACTACAGTTGTCGCAAAACGCTCGAATTACAAGATTTAACTAATAGCGTTTCATGTTTTCGATTCGCTACGATTTTACGGCGTTCATGATCTTTGTTGATCAATGCTCTGATGAACCGGAAGTGAGATCATACATTTTGATGCTTTCGTATCTGTGGAGTGTCAATTTGTGAGACGTTTTTTGCATCTGTTAAAAATTTGTTTTGTTCCATTTTGGACCCTCTGTCACTTTTGACTCTTCTCTACCTCTGTTATAGTTTCAAAGATAACAAACTTATTTAGACTTTCCCTTTCTAGCTTCCAAAAATATTTTGATCTTATATGATAACAACAATACTTTGAACAAGAATTAATTTGGGGAATTTGTGTTGTCTTGAAAAAAGAAAAGAAGAATAAGGGGAAGGAAGGAAATAAAAAATAAAGGGTTCACTTTCAAGGTTCTGACATTTTTTTTCTTGTTTGAAACTAGCTAGTTGATATTGTTCTGATGCATTTTCATTATACTATTAATAACTGTTTTGCAGAGTCATGTTGTGAAGCAGTTGAGGCAAGAATTAATGAACAAAGCAGAATTTAGGGGAGAGGTGAGTTGAAGCCAATGTTACTAGATAATTTTCACAGTTTTTCTTCATAAAGAACTTCTATATCTTGTTGTTGTCTTTTGCTGTCTTGCTTTCACACCTTCCTTTTGAAGACCCATGTATACCAGCATCTTTGAGCACTTTTCCTTTTGTTTTGGCTGGGTTTATTTGATGAACTCTGAGCTCTGATCGATAACTTTCAACTTCATGGAATTCCATGCATGGTTCACAGTTTTCACAATAAATTCTTTAAGTCATTTGCAAGGCTTTTTCTTATTTCCTACAGATAACTAAATACTTTTTTCTTAATTGTAGGAAAACAATGTAAAATCACCACTAAGTGATAACCATTCAAACAACATCACCTCACCGGACAACAAGGAAGCAGTATTTGCATCGAGTAAACCTCTGGTCAAAATAGAGCCTTCCATTAAAATGGAGATGTCAATCAAAACAGAACCACAGGATGTTAAGCCCTTTAAGGTTGCCTCTCAGCAGAAGCCGCTGCCGATCCAGCTCCCAAGAATAAAGCCAAAGCCACCACCTGTGGTTCTTGTCACCCCTCAGGTGATGATATTTACATCTTTATTAAAAAAAAGATATATTGTTCTGGTTTCAATAAAATATGGTACAACTGGGTAGTTTAGAATTGCAGTATTATCAACTGAGTTGATAATTTAAATTGGCCACTGTAAAGAGTTTCAAAGCTGACATTTTGAGGAACAGCCCTTTATCAGAGGGAATGGATGGATTGAAAGATAAATTTATTTCAAATCGGCACTCTCAATTCCCATGGTATCAATGAGCACTTTTCATCAAACTAATTTATTCTTGTTTTCTCATCACCATATTCCCACCAATAGTGTAGTTCCATTTTCTTCACATGAACACACACAAAACCTATAATTCTTCCGTTTGCTCTGACAAAGGGCTAATCCTTGAAATGTCAGCTTTGAAACTATCCCACTGATGCAGCATGACAGTTTCTCTAGAAACTTACCCCCCTTTATAGTTTAGAATGGCAGGCTGTTATATTTTTAAGGCACAGAGGACCCTCTCTTCTCAGTGAGGTCAAGCTCCAGGTTCACAATGTCTTAATTGTCATCATTAGTTATCAATTTCACACTAGATCTTGGTCAGTTCCCTTTTATTCAATTTATTATTGTTGCTTACTCAATTTATTTCATGAATTTTATAGACTATTGCCGGTGTGCAGATGAGCCCAATGTTTTCTCCCGTTCATCCTCAGTCTTCCATGAAAGGTTCAGTCAACATTACTACACCTTATCAACAGAATAACAGAGCTCCTCAGAGTTCATTCAGACACGGTGGAAGACCATTCCCTACTCATCATCTTCAGCCAATACTGCCACGCCCCACTCCTCAAAGCAATTCTTTACCAATTCAGGATACTGGAAAACAAGCAATAAAGACTATTGAACCCAAGGTACAAGATTTTTATCATAGGAGCTCTACCATTATTCAATATTAATTCTCCAGTTTTCATCTTAATTTGGAAGCATTTTCTCAACTTAATGTTGACCTGAGTCCTATTCATGTCGACTCTTTACACCCCACAATCAGTATGCATATTCTCCATACTGTTTTGTATAGATTTCCCATGGTTCTTCCAAGGAGAATTTGTGTAACAATCAGAAGCATCTTGAGTTTGTGATAATTTCCTCTATTCTTGTGACATAATTTTTTGATTTAGGGATGATACTGTCGGAAGAAATTAGATGCTTATCACTCGTAGGGGTTGAAGAGTTAAAAGTGTTTGATATCATATTAGGTCAAAGAGATTCTTTTGATAAATAATTTAACATATTTAATCCCAAATATGCTCGAAACGCTGTTTTTTTTTTAATTATCTTGCATGGAGATATTCATAATATTATCCCATGGTGGAAATCAGATATGATTTCAAATTGTTGATCATTCATATTTTTTACATGATTCTGCACTGTCTTTCAACATCACTCCATTTTTTTTCTTTTTGATGTAGAAAATGGAGTTCATGGCTGCTCTTGGACTTATTACACCACAGACGTTGATTGGTAAGAGCTGTGAATGGGAATTTTGAAGGTGTTTACCCCCCTGGATTAGATGAGAAGCTTTTAAAATATATCATATACTTCTGTGTATTTTTAGTTCTAGTTAAACTGTTATAGTTCTTCTTTTGTTAGTGGTACTTAGCTAGTTGCCACTTTCTCTTCTTTTTCCATGTAAAAATGGTATGCAGTTGGCCAATTTATTTTCAACTCATGAACAGAAGATTTCTTTATTCTCTAGGAGGAAAAACTAAGTTTTCAAATTTGAAATAATTTGCGCAATATCCTGCTTGCAAGAGTTAAGGACATAATGGCTCAACTTATTTATGCAATTATCAACAAAATCTACAATACAGTACATTGCAAGAGGCAATATTGGCAATATTTTTCCATGGAATATAAATAGTAATTTGTCAGTATTAGTGTCCAATTAAGGGCTCAAAATTCCTTGTGGTCTCAACACTTTTGAGAGGTATTTGGCTATTGGTGCTTGGATCCTTCAAATAGCTCATGGGAAGTGAAGCGTTATGAATACGGCTAATAGTTTGTTTGAAGACAGATAAAGTTTTAGTGGAAAATTATTGGTGTAGTTTGCCTTTCCTTTTGTATTTCTACGGATAAATTAAGGTTGGCCAGTTTTTTCCTATTTTCAATAACATTCCATTGGCTTTTTCACCTTTCTCTATGCATTAATTCACAAAAATGCAGTGTAGTCATCATTAGACTAAATATTGCTTTACTTTTGTGTTGAAACGACTGCATTTTTGTGAAAATAGGAATTCATGTTCCATCCTAAGATGTTGGCAGTTAACACTGAGTGATCATAGAAGCTTATTATGTTTCATAACACAACCTTGCCACTGTATTTTGTAGAGAGAGGGAGAAATTGAATGTTTTATATTTGGAAACATTATCCTCTTTCCTGTTTTGAGTTAGGCTTGCGTGATAACAAGCTGTTGCTTCAGTCATTATAATTCAAAGATGTTTCAACATCATAATACTAATGGCACAAGGAATTTGTGATGTAGATTTCAGTTAATCTGCCTCTGACAAGAGATAAAACTGGCAGTCAAAGGTGCTAGGATTGCAATATTGATGTCTCTATGTCAATAAATTTAAATTTGTTTTGTATGATTGCAAAAAAAAAATCACTACTTTGTGTGGAAAGCTATACACGCATGCTTTTGGCTCTCTATTTTTACAATGATTTGGTTTTGTTGTCATATTTTGGCAGAAATTCAGCTCAAGAGACAAGAACGGAAAAGAAGGAGTACTTGTATATCTCCACAGAATGCACTAGATATAGACCCAGAGGTGAGTTATGTGAGTTAATGGATTCATTGTGATTCTAATGATCAGTTTAAACTGTATTGTAAATAACACACTGTTTTTAAGCTACTAAATGCCTCAAAATACACTGATTCATGTTGTGGTTTAAAATCCTTACCGGGGTAATGTGGCTCACTCTTATAATCAGCTTATGCTATGCTACCCTTTTGGAGTTGTGTAATCTTAACAATGAGCATGTCTCCAATTTTAAAAAAAATGAACAAGGATCGAGACACAGATGAGAGCCAGGAGTCATATCTGTGGCTATATCTGGAGTTAGTAATAAGGGTAACAGAGTGTGTCAAAACATGGGATGAGATTGTTAATTTTGTTTTCAACTGTTAGCTGTTGTAGGATGTATATACTAGAAGGATATTATTTGTATTGTTTAAAGGGAGGAACAAAGAAGAATTTTGGAGTCCTCATTAGGAGTGGAATCTCAGATCTTCATGTTTCCCACTTTGATATATGTGCATACTTTTGCTTTATACCAATGCATGATTTCTTTCTCCTCTCCTAGCCCAAACGAATTAAGAAGATAACAATGTTACCAGTTAAAAGAGGCAGAGGTCGACCTCCCAAGTTCAACAGTGCACCAAACTCACCAAAACCTACTTCACCTGTCCCTAATGGTTTTGCTGAAAATGGAAAGCTCAAAAAATTTAAATATAAGCGCTTTGTTACAATGGATTCTCCAGTTGATGAGGTAATAAACTTTTCATTTTATAGTTATTGTATTACATGGAATTCTATTCAAGGGTCACAAAAGTTTGTATTTCAGTTTTCCCTTTTAAAAAATGTTTGGAAGATAAATTCACTCAGCAATAACACTTTTTGTTTCAACATTTGCATGTAACCAATTTTGAAGACTTGCAGTCATTTTGTACATTTTTTCTCAATGATAGTGATCCTACATGTGAGGTCAATACTGAAATATTTGGTGTTTGCTTATGAAAATAATTAATTCCAATCAGAAGTGTATTTCCTTGTTTGTTATGAAACATTCCAAAGGTGTTGGCCCAGATTGGATCTGAGGAACATTTAAACATTATTTAAACTCTTTTGGTCATTATCAAAGGGTATATATGTTTAACAATGAATAGCTCAAGTTTGTAGCATATACACTTTTTCCTGCAATCAATCATATAATGAAAGAGTCAATTGATTTGGCCAAAAATGTTTACTTGCCCCCACAAATTCTCATTTCTTTTTATCTGTAGGATGATAATCATGATGAAGTATGTGCCATCTGTAAAGAGAGTGGAGAACTACTGCTTTGTGACACTTGTAATTTAGTTTATCACATGAGCTGTCTAGATCCTCCGCTAACCTCTGTTCCTCCTGGCATGTGGCTTTGTCCTAAGTGTCGGGTGAGGATCACATTTCTGTAAAATTGTTATATTTGGCTGGTTTGAATTAAGGCCTTTTCGTGATCCAGCTATATGCATACCCTCATTTTTAGAAGTAATTAGGTATTACAGTTATTCAAAAGTCCTTATTGTCTGTAAACAGCATCTTTACATTCAGGGATCAACTAAACTTCCTCTGAGAAAAATTTTGAGTGCAGACATCCAACTTCGTTGCAGACTTAACCCTTTAACTCCCTGAAGTGATCAACATGAAACTTCTCCCTATAATATCTGTACTTTATCCAGCAAACAGGTCATGAGAATATTCAAACTTATCAGGTAGAAGTTGTTATCTTGATCTTACACCAAATTCTCATGACTAATTTACGAGGATATTTGTATCAGCTAAAGGGGAGAAGTAACAATCAGATCTTGGGAGTTAAAGGGTTAACAGTGCCTTTGTTTTTATTTTAGGAAAGAGTCAAAGAGGATGAACCCATGCCTTGGCCTGGTACTTTAGCAGTGGTACATTCATACTTAGCACACAAAACAGGTAAAAAGAATATTCATCCACGAAGTTAACTATTACACTACAATTATTAGGTAAACGAGTTGTGGAAAAAGTTTGGTGACAGGGTATTGACTGTAAAATAATGTTGCTGTCACCACCACCTTTCCTCATTTTTAATAGTGACTATTGATTGTGAAAACCTGTTGCCACTGGTAATGGAGCCAGCTTCTCATGTAATTAGCAGGATTTTTAATGTCAATTGTGTTTTCCAAACTTCATTCACACCCTGCTCAAATGTAAGTCACACATCCATTTCAATTATCAGCCAAACAGGAAGGAGTAAAGTCTACTCACATATAGTTTTATTTATATATGATTAATTTGTATATCACCATTTTCCTCTTATTTAGCAAAAGAAGAAGAAAAGAATAAACTCTTAAAAAGAAGTGAAGAGTTAAAAGCAGAGAGAGTTGAACTAGAGGCCAAAGCTAAGCAGCTCAGTAATGCAATCATGGTAAGGTTACTTTAAGGCCTTTGGAGTGCAGCCAAGGGACAAACAATTTTTTTTTTAACTTTTGGGAGTAGGAATAGAAAGACTTTAAAAATGAACTTTCTTTTTCTCTGTTACTGTCTGTGCAAATGATTTTTTTCCTTTTGTTTTGCTGCGGACTTTTTTTTTTTTTTTTTGGTAGAGAGGGGGACAATTCTTTTGGACAATTTTTTGATTTTGTCTTTTGCATCCACTTACAAAAAATTATGGCTTAAGACCAAGGAAAGGAGTATTGTTGTGTTCATGAGCAAAACACACCTTTCCAAATTATTTAAGTGTGAATTTTGTCTCTCAGTTGGAAATCTTAGCCAGTTGATGTATTTGATTTAAAGTGTTTGCTGCAACTATAACTAGGTTTTGATTCATCTCAATAAACAGCCATAGCAAAAAAAAAAAAAGAAAAAAGAAAAACATCTTTGGTTTTTAGTTGGAGATTAATGATCTGCATCGAGGGTTGAGATGTCTTCAGGGCAATACTGACAAAATCAGCTATATGTTGCTTCTTTGGAATGCTTGCAATAGTTTTGATAAGTATCTTACAACTTGTTTAAAAATACAAACCTATCTGCTCAAGTTGTTGAATGGTCAGTCACCACTACCAACTACAGTCTGTAATACAAAATTTAAGTTCATAGTTAGATGGACTAAATTTTAAAGAATCTGTCTTTTTGTTTTTATTTGAACTTAGGAACAGATGCAGGCCAAAAGTGAACTCTCAGCCAGCAACAAATCCGCACAGAATTCTGTTGATAGATTGATTAAATTTATTGAAGTGGTTCAGAGTTTATGACAAGAATTAGTTTTTCTCTTGAATTAACTCTGAGAATATTTATTGAAACCATTGTTTTCAAATTGGTTTGTTAATGTTAATTGTTTATCAGAAGATATTTGCTACAAAATGTCGGATTGTATGAACTATTTTTTGGGTTGCGCATATGTTTCAGTGCATTTTGTAAGCGTTGTAGATAATAATATACATAATTAACAGAGAAGATTGTTGCATTTTGTAATAGGAAGAAAAGCACAGATGTTGTTTGCAAAAGTAATAAAAGTACGTAGTGATACTGAATTTAAGATTGGTTTCTCCGAATTGTGTACCTTGGTCTTTACTGTTAACCCTTTATATTCTCCATATTGTTCTCTATGTATCCTATCAGGTGATAATAAGGAGAATTTGTTTAACAATCAAGAGCTTCTTTAGTTGCAAAATTGTGAGAGCAGATCAAATTAGAGGCATTCTGCATCCAAATGAAGAAATGTAAAATGGTTTCCGTGTTTACATAGCCTGATGTAAACACGCGGGAGGTTGGGAGAACACGAGATAAGCGTAGGAAACCACGACGCAAAGCGGAGTGGTTTCCAGCTTATCGATATTATAGGGAGAAGTTTCATGTTGATCACTTCAGGGAGTTAAAGGGTTAAGTCTGAAACGAAGTTGGATGTCTGCACTCAAAATTTTTCTCAGAGGAAGTTTAGTTGATCCCTGAATGTAAAGATGCTGTTTACAGACAATAAGGACTTTTGAATAACTGTAATACCTAATTACTTCTAAAAATGAGGGTATGCATATAGCTGGATCACGAAAAGGCCTTAATTCAAACCAGCCAAATATAACAATTTTACAGAAATGTGATCCTCAACCGACACTTAGGTAAAATGGTTTTATGGCCAATCAGAGCACGCGTACTATTTGAATTATTTTATAAACCTTTTTGTCAAATGGATATCAATTTATTTCCAAAACTATCATCTCCCCCTGCCTAAAAAAAGAGAGCCCTTCAACTTGAAATCTCCTGAGAGTTATTTTATTATTATTATTCTTATTTTTTTTTTTTGGGGGGGGGGGAGGGGGAAGGATATCAGAAGTCTTCTCATTCATAAAGGTGATAACAGGTGGACTGGAATTTTACCTCTCTAGCAGTACTTTGAGTTATAGCCTAACTAACACGTTCTGTTTGAGTCCAACACCTGCCAAGCCACTTCCCCACTGGGAGTAAAGGAAATGATTTACTAGAATTCATACCACAAGTTCTGTAAAATTTGAAAGGAGACACTTGAAGTTAGCCAAGCAAAAAGCCTATTAAAACTGGGATTTGCAAGCCTCACCGATTCTCTTTTTCTAGGTTCCTCAATCTGCGTCAATTTGAAACAGACAGGTTGTAACTCAGAAAATGGCTGCATCGCGAAATATACGAAACACCTATTGTTCCGGTGTTCCTTACATCTTCGAGTCCTCCCCGTTAGGATTTTCTTGCTCTCCCAATCTCCATGGTAACCATAGATTCGATTTCCAGATTTAGTTTTTTCGGTGGAGACTGTATTATCTCGAGAAGTTTAAGTTATGGCGTTTTCTTCTCGATCAAAAACAACTTTTGGGCTTCCACCAAGAAAGGAGTCTCCATCAGAACTCACTTTTGACTTGAACAGCTTCGTTCGTCAAGCTCCGCACGATGAAAAAGACAAACCACTGAACACTGCTCAACAAAGATTATGGCTTGACATCACTCAACTGGATACAACACAGTTGGAGCAAATTGACGATAAATACAACAGCAACATGTGGAAGAATTTCAAATTTGTTCGCCCAAAAGACAGTGCTGATCGTGAAAGAGGACGAAATTCACCGCAGTACCCAGATGGTATAATTGCAGATATTTATCCCTTGTCTGTCCCTAAACCATCGCGAATCGGTGACCATACTTACCAGAAATTCTTGCAAGAGGTGAAATTGCCGCCCACGACACAGAAAATAGTAGGATGGCAGAAAAAGGGAAAGCAAGAAATACAGTCAAGGACGTTACAAGTACAAAGCGAATGTCGTGCACCGCCATTAGACTGGGAGGGAAATATTTTACCCCCAGAAAAATACAAAAGATATCCACGAATGGAAACTTTACTGTCGCCGGATCAATTCGTTGCGTTTTATCCGTCCTACAGTTCACCATTTCCGAGGAAAATACCCTCGATACCATCGACTTCGCTTTACTCTCTGTCTAGACAAGGAACTCCATGGCATTATGGATTACGGGTTAGAAGGCCTCAGTACGATGGAGGCGTTGGATAGTGGATAGCTTACGAAGGAATAATCGGCTCATATGCGCGAAGATTCCATACAGGCGTTGATTGACAGCAGAAGGCAGGGAAGGGGAAGAGGAGGAAATGGTAAAGCTACAGGTAAGCTTCAATAAGGATGGCTGTGTAAAGGATTTGACAACCAAAAGTTCAAGCTGTTAACAGCCCACAGATGAACAAGATAAACTAACAGCATTGGTAAACTGTGAAGAAAATGCTTCTGTGAGCAGTAGCAAGACGATTATCTTGCGAGGATCACTAAAGCCATAGTCCTTAGTAGTTTGGGTAATGTTGTTCTCCTTGCCTGAAAGGAACTGAGGAACAGTTGCCACAGTTTAGTTCTTTACACTAACATTTTTGTGCATCTCAGAATGATCCTGATTTTTTCATTGGGAGAAGGGAATAAGAATCTTCACAGATTAGTTTCATGCAAAATAGTCATCACATTATCACAGAGTACAACTCTAGTTTATTTAAGGATTCTGAGTGGTGACTAAAAAATGTCTGCACAGAATATAGGAGAGAAAATGGTTGTCCTCAATTCTGCAATCCATCTCAATATTACAAAGAATTAAGTTATTTACATTGTTGGCCTCCAAGCTTAGTATTTGTCAAAATCACTTTTAGGTTCATCATAGCTGAACAAACAAACACATAACATCAGTGAAAAAAAAGATTGGCAAAATCTGTATTTATAGCTTACTTTTATCCAATTCAGTATTTATCATCTGGGAATAAATCTAATATTTTACTACAACTGTGTTACAAGTTGTAAAAGTTTCTTGTTTAGTTAAAATTGAAGATCAGAAATTAAAGATTTCTGGTTTCTCCTCAGGAATTCACCTTTAAATACAAAAGTACTGGGTGAAGTAATTACTCTGATGATAAAAAAGGAGATTAACCTGTACATCAAACTCCAAAATGTTCTTTGATAGCTTCTATTAGATCAGCCTTTTTTGAGCCACATTTGATGCCAGCTGCTTTAACAAAGTCTTTAAGCACTGGGACAGTGAGCTTGGAAAGCTGAAAACATGAAACACAAGTTTGAGTTACACTAAATTTTTAGGATTTGTAATACTTTGAAGTTTCTGCAGTCTTTAAATCCTCAGTTTTGCTAACACAAGAACAAAGCACAAAACAATCTAAAGAATTAACTGTCAGACTGCCATGCGAAGGTCAAGGGTTAAAGCTACAGACTGGACAAACACTAAGGGTCTTATATTAACTGAAGAGAATATGCTGCCTTTCCTATGACATCTACAAATGTTTTGATGTTCTAGTTTTCACAGGTAAGGAAGATAAATTGTAGGCCTTGTCTGCTACATGTTCTCAGTGCTGGTTAGCAGAGGACATTAAAGAACCCACACACTTCTCACAAAGAGTAGGGAACAAAGCTGTTGGTGTTAAAGTCTGGCCTTGATTTTGAAATTGGGGGCACCTTCAAAAATTTCCTAAGAAAACTGTGAACTGCTCAATGGAGTCTAAACAAAGTCTCCAAGAAAGTGTTGTAAAGAACCATGGGTTTATCCATATGGCATTACAGAAATCAATCATTATTATCATTATCATTATTACAACTACTGGCACTCACTCTGCCTTGCTGTGCCTCTTCTCGCATGTTAACTTCAACCCCATCTCCTGCTTTAGTTCTTTTGGCAGCACCTCCTGATGAATCCACAGCCTAAACAATTAAATCCAAGCAAATGGTTAGGGTAATGTAGTGGTCCACTAAAAAACTGTGTTGATCATTAACCCTTAAACTCCGATGATCTCATTAGTAATTCTACTAACTGTTTGCCATACTGTTCTTGTGATGTTAGTTTGGCGAATTTGGTATTGGATCAACTTATAATCTCCTAACTTACATTTTTCTTTATTCTCATCACTTGTCTGTTTGATATTGTATTGATATTGTAAGGAGAAATTCTGTCTTGGTCACTTGTGGGGGTGAAAGGGTTGATTAACCCAATAATTTAGTACTATCAACTGAGTTGATGACGTAAATTAGCACAGTAAAGAGTTGCTAATACTGACATTTTTAGTGTTAGCTCTTTCTCAAAGTGAAGGGCTAACAAAGGGCTCTGACAAAGGACTACTGCTTGAAATATCAGCTTTGAAAACTCTTTATAATGGCCAATTTACCTTATCAACTCAGTTGATAAACCAAATTATCTTTTTACCCCTCACTGACACAACACCACAGTTTCTCTATAAAATTGCTTCTTAGTTCGTTACTTAACCTGGTTTGTTTTCAGGTGTGTTTCTTTTTACCACCTTTCTACAGCTGGAGTGAGTGAGAATCTGTGAGGGTAGAACATTTTTCAAATTGTTTCATACCTTTCTCTTTGGTGCAGGTTTGGCATCTGGATTATAATCATCAGGAAAAACTACATCTTTAAACTCTTTTATGGCTTCCCCGGCTTGGCAATCAATGGATTCTACCTTTGGTTCTACAGAGAAACATTTAATTCAACTGTTAATGAAGTATTGAAAGCTTAGAAGTGTTTCTTACTCTCTCAATTTGAGGGCTGCACTTTCCACACCACCTTCCTAGTGCACTTAAAAACAGTAACTTTGTCCAGGGCAATTGGTCCCAATTTTTTGCAATTAAATCCTAATTCCATTGCATCCCTTGTAGTTTCACATTTATAATTGGTATGTTATCAAAAACATAAGTTATCTTAGTGTAATGGGTTTAGAAAATGTTTGACTCTTACACTAAAAATTTTAAACAATCCAAATTAAAACAATAAATCATTTACTTGATGACTTACTTGTCTTCTACTGTGAGAATAAATCAATATGAGAGTAATAATTCACCTGTTAAGTCAATAACCTCTTCAGGCTCATCTCTATCCAAAGCTAATGCCTCCAGGTTCTTGTAATGTTTCTGTAGGGCTGTAAATAAGTGAACCCTTTAACTCACAGAGGTGGTTAACACGTAACTTCTCCCTATGGCATCCATACATTATCCAGCAAAAAAGTAATGAGAATATGCAAACTTATCAGGTAAAAGTTGCTATGATTTTGATTTAACACCAAATTCTTGTACCTTATTTACAAGGACATGTGTAGCAGGTAGAGCAGAGAATACACATTTGGGAGTTAATGAGTTAAACAATATTAATTTACATTAAAAAACACAACAACAACAGCAACAAAAAAAGCAGAACATACAATTTAGAGGAACCTCTAACTGTGCCCACTAAGCAAGAGGCCATCCATTGTCAATAACATTATTATGTGATGTTGTAAAGATTTGATTGGTCAAAAGTTCCATTACATTTCCTCATACAAAAAAAGAAATAATACCGATGACAAAATGTTAAAAGTCAAAATTCCTATTATTTACTTTATAATTGCATGAAGACCACTAATTTGAAAGCTTACTAGGATTCTCAAAATTTGAGCAATCAAATCCCAATGTGAGTTTCTTGATCACTTCCTTGGCTTTATTCACTTGTTCTGTAGTGGCTGAAATTAAAGAAATAACAAAAGTGCTAAATTTAGGCTACATGATTATTATACTGTAATAATACTTATCACCAGTAATAATCATGGGTTAGAAAAATGCGCTCTATCTCTAATAAAACAATACTTTTTCATCACAGTACTAATTGCCAAGAAATATTTGGGAACTGTTCTTCACTTTTACCATTTTATTTATTATATTGATACACAATATTGAAACAAATGTAAATATAAGAGGTGAAAAGGTGACATGGAAAAGAAACCTTGAGGCTCGTAGAACAATACTGTGTGGTTCAAATCTCAAGTAAAAATCACCCTGATGCCTGTAGGTTGTAACCTTTACCATAAAAAAAATATCTTCTTAGTAGGTTTTTTTGACTTTGTTTCAATTCTGACAAACCCTGATACCTTTAGGAGTTTCCTCATATTTCAATTTCCTAAGATCATCAGTGAATGGAAGAAAAATTAGATGAAATCCAGGAGGGGTAATTTGGTTGTTATGCTCATCCAGTTCTTCTTCCTGTAACATAAACACATGACAATCAAAAAAATCAAGAAATGCAATGATCCTCTCAGCTGTGCTGCAATTTAAACTATGCAGTTTAGAAGCTCGGAAAACTTAAGGCTTCAACAGGATTGGAACTATACCTCCCAGATATTAATTTTGTACTATTACAATCTGAGCTACAAAGCCTCATGTTGGGAGCAAGTTAAAATTTTTTAAAGGGTTCCTCTTTCCCTCAGAGGAATCTGATCATAATTTCAAATGGGATAAATGTCACTTGACCTGCAGACAAAAAGCAAGTTAAAAGGGTGAATTTTTTCAGGTCAAATGAAATTTATATCATTTCAAATTGTGAACAATTGATGATGGTGTTCAAAAAAGAAATTAATGTCCCACCCAAAGATAATTTTCTTCTTTGTGAGGTACATGTATTATAGTTAATTAATCGCCAGAGCAATTCTCACCTGTGGGAGTAGAGCTACAAATCTTGGAGCAGTATTGGCCCTTGGAATCAACCGGCATATTGGAATCACATCTCTAGCAAGACTTCTGTTAAGAAGTGCAGAGAACAATGTTGTACTCCCAGAAATATTCTGAAAATAGAGTTGAAAAAAAAAACATTCTTGTCAACATTCTGTGCTTTAATATTTCAAGAGAAATAATTGTTTATCATTACTACATCTCTGCTGCCAAATTTACAATAATGTTATTTCACTACCTTTTCATTGGGATAAAGAAACTGTGCTGGTCTGAGGTGAAAATAGTTCTTCAGTGATGACCTTGGTTTGAACCCCATTAAGAGAAGACCTGAAAAAGTTTGTGAAGGAGAAAGAAAGGATGCAAGAATCAGAAATTACAAGCCACAATTATAACTCTCAGTTAGTACATGCACTATTATTGGTCAATTTAGCGGGCCATATTTCACTGTATGGCCCACTAAATTCAAAAGTTTATTTGAATTGGAATCTTCCCTCTCTGTTTGAGCCCACAAATATAATTATTATCTCATTAACCCTTTACACCCTAACATCAGTGAACATATTATTCGTCGCACTGTTCTTTATACATTTCCTAGGTGCTGACAAGGAGAATTTGTTTGCCAATCAAAAGATTCCTTCCCTAGTGATCATTTCCTTCATTCTCATGACCTTAATGTGTGATTCAGGAGTGATATTGTAGGGAGAAATTGGATGCTTGTCACTCTTAAGGTTTAAAGGGTTAACCTCCTTTTCTAATTCCACACAGTAAGTGATGGAGCCTCCTTTTTCCTTCTTTGATTTATGGCCCAAGCACAAAACATGCAGGCCATAAATCAGAGCTGAAAAAACTTGATCCATAACTTATAGTAGGGACCTCAAACTTGATTTTGCTTAGTAAGAGGTATTTAAAGCAATCTGGTTAATGGAAACAAGTTTCTTGTAAATGCAGGTTGGAAATTTGTAACTGAAATTACCTGGGCTGCCAAAGCTTTTCATTTCTGCCACCTCCTCTTTCTCAAAGATAACCTGAAATTCAGCAATTGGACTAAAACTCATTGCACAAATATAACAATGATAAAACAATGCAGTGTATTGCAATGTCTAGTTGATAATAATTTCTTAAGGTAATAAACAAAATTCCCTTTTTTTTGAACAATTATTAACCCATCCCCCCCCCCTGCCAAGAAAAAAACAAACAAACCAAAAAAACAAAAAAAAAATTCACATACTTTTTCACCTCCAAACATCTGATAAAGCTTTATATCTGTTGGCATTAGATCTCTGCCAGTATCCTAAAGAAAGGTAAGATTAATTCAAACTGAAGATTTGTAAATAAATTTCAATTGAAGATAAGCGTTGACAACTGATTTAACATATAATCCCTAATGAGGTTCATAAACAAATATCATATTTCATGTTAACTGCAAGAAATAAGTATTTTTACATGAATTTCAGCGCAAAGTGCATAAAAAAGCCCACCACACATATATATTTGGTGTGTATTTTCACTTCTTCATTCTTATGACTGTCTAGGTTAACATAGCTGGATTTTGTTGCTGGTCTGCAAAGATTGTATCTGTAAAAATAACACAAATTATATGAATTGAAATAAACTTACTAATTATATCTCTCAGTAAGTATATTGTGTGCTGTGATTGGTTAATTTAGTTGGTGGTATTTCACAGTTCTGTAAGGCCCGCCCAATTCAAAAGTTTGTCCGAAGTGAAATCTTCTCCCTCCATTTGAACCCTGAGATATGATAACTACCTTACCAACCTTGTTTTCTCGGTCCGTACTGTAAGTTACAAAACCTTAATAATTTTTGCTAAGGTTTATGGAATGCAGGTGCCGTAAGTCCAAGGTGAAAAAAAAAAAGTGGTCCACAACTTACAGTAATGACCTCAACCTCAGTTAATAAGAGTTTCTAAGGTACCAGTTGGTTGGTATACAGGACCTGAACAATGAGTTCGACTAATTTTTCCTTTTATTCCAGATGAACAAGACATGTATCCTTCCTTGACATTCAATTTAAACTTCATCATATTTATGGTCTCTGTAAAAGAGGTTCGATAACAAGGGCAAGTAGGATGTAAGCTTCAACCACAGCATAACCAGGAACTTACACAGACACTCCAAGCTCAATTCCATCAGCCAGCATAAATGGAAGAGTTGCTAATGGTCTTTTCTTATGCTCTTTCTTTTGCACTCTGTTACAAGGAATGAAAAAAAAAAAAAAAAAAAAGAATTCAAATCATTTTCTCCAGACAACAATCAAGAGCTACTTCAGTTGATGACCACTTCCTTTACTCTCATGACCTTAATGCCTGATTCAGGGGTGATATTATGAGGAGAAATTAGATGCTAGCCACTTTTAGGAGTCAATGGGTTAATATCAAAGTCAAACACTTGTCAGGAAAACCAAATTCAACAGAAATTTTCTTTACAAGTCACCTGGTTAGTAGTTCCTCAAACTTCTCAGCAGGATCTGGCAAAATCCCTCCCTCATCATCATCCATTTGTATTACATCCTGAGCAGTTGCCAAATCATTCAAAGTAAAGATACAAAGGAAAAAAAATTGAAACTTTGGCTGTGTGTAACAATTCTAGGCAGTCAGAATAACTCAGCAATGGAGAAAGATGTTTTTGTCTTGTCACAAGTGTGGGAAAAAGAAAAAATTCTGAGTCCTCTGTGAGTAATCAAAACTCAGACCTTTGAATTCAAAGCACAGTTAATAGTATGCAAACCAAGTGACAAGCTTATCCCAGTTTCCATGGCCTGAAGTGACCAGAAGTATAACTACTCCTCCCTGGATGGGATGCCTTTTAATCTCAAGGTGACCCCCTCAGCATTTCATCAGGCTTCCCTGACAATTTGCCAGTACCCATTTATACTCCTGGGTGGAGAGATGCACTGTGAAAGTAAAGAGTTTTGCATAAAGACATGGCACATTGACCCAGCCAGGTCTCAAATCCCTCAACCCAGAGTCCAGTCTACTGTCATTAGACCACCTCATCTCCCACAGTGATGTAGTGGCATATCAAGAATTTATCAACAACCCACCATTTTGATAATAAGAAGACAGCAACTTTAAAATAAAAGAAGAAGCTGGGCTCTCTTTAATTCAAACTAAGGACAACTAACTGGGTGAAGAGGAAAGGGAATCCAAGTTATGTGAATAGCATCTTAAAATAAACACTAATAGTACAAATACCACAATGTACCTGGTAAAAAAGACTTGAATCGAAAGCATGGTCTGGAGGCTGAATGTGCATCAGTTCAATTGCAATACCAATTTCATTCAAATCCTAAAATAAATTGATCTACATTACATTTTATATTTCAGTATCAGTTACCATTATCTTTGGAACTACAATGCAACCACTTAACCCTTTAACTCTCATGAGTGACTGTCAGACAAAATTTCTCCTTACAATATCAATACAATATCAAAAAGATGAGAATAAAGAAAAATATCAATTCAGCTATATGTAATTGATCCAAAACCAATCCTCTGAACTTACCTTATACAAATTGTACAGCAGAGTAAAAAAAAATTACTAATGAGATCTTGGGAGTGAAAGGTTTAAATGAAAGAGTGAGCAGAAATACATGATTGTATCAAAAAAAAATCTTACTCTTGATTTTGTCTTGGCTTGTCTCTGAAAAAGAATTAGAGGAAAGGAGATCAATGTTATTAAATTGATCACCATTGATCCTTTCAATTCCATAACTTAGTAACAAACAACTTCTCCCCACAAAAATATTTTAATGCATCATCTATAACAGAGAATTTGACATTCAAACTCAGAAGCTGTGTAAAGGGTCATGAGGGTTACAATATTTCACTAATTTGCCATTTTACCAAATTAGGACATCCGGATGTGCAAAATATACCACAGTATTACACTGTAGAACATAGTGAAAATATGGAGGGAAGGCTGAGCAACAAAATGGCTGCATTGAATGGTCCAAACTTTGGTTCTCTTCTATTTTTTAGGCTTGATCTTTAAAGCAACACACTTCTAAGGGCATCAGTTTTTCTTGTTAGTCACAAAAACACTCCCATGATTTTGATTAATGTTGCAATGTTTTCATGTTTCATGGATACTAAGTTCAGTTAGACCATTGCATGTATTTCCCTAACTAAAAGTCCATAAAAAATTATATACTAAAAAAATGAAACAATGGTGGAATAATAAATCCCTTATTCTATGGTTTAGATATAATGCAAACAGGCATTTTGTTCATTGCTCGTATATTTCCTCTCCCTGACCAGGGTCAGAAAAATATTACTCAACTCTAAAAATATCTTGGCATGTTATATGCTAAACCAACATGTAAGGTGTATGTATATGTCTACGAAATCAAACAGATTTGCATGAGCAAAACAAAAGAGCCTCAGTAAATAGTTTGAACCCAGGAGTTACAATTGATTGTGCAGTCTGAGTATCCAAATGAGGGTTGTCCTAAAAAAGATTGTTGTTGGTAGCAGTGACCAACATTTTGACAAGCTGACAGTAAGTCATCATGAGGGTCAAGTGATAATTAATTCCACTGTGGTTGTTAAAACTTCATCCATAGCCATGCACCATCTATTCAAGACTTCCTTCACATGGATGATAAGAATATATGATCATATACAACAGGAAAAATGAAAATAGGAAAAAAAAGAAAAATCTTACTTGGAGAGCAAGATTCCCAGCATGGGGATTATCATTGTTGGTAAATAACATAATTCGTTTGTGGCCTTTTTTTTGACGACTGAAAAGAAAAATACATGCAATGGATTGTTACCAAAATTAAATAGGAGATATTACATAAACTGGGTGAGAGTATTCAATATTGACTTCTGATTTATTGGCTATTTTTACTCAATAATAGCCAGGCAGGAAACTAAGGCCATCCAAACATCTGGGACAGCAAATATTTCCATTCGGACAAAAAAAATTATCATGATTTCATTTGTCTAAACGGACTACACAGAAATGGGCAGTAAATGTTTTTTTTACCTGACTTCTGAAATATAATAAATCATTGTTCAATGTATTACATATCTTTGCTGTCCATAAAGATAAGTATTGCTTACAGATGGCAAACTAAATATCAGTTTGGGTAAGTTACATGTGTCTGATTTTGGTACTTGAAATGTGGCCGTTGATTTTTAGGCAAATTTCACCTCTTACCCAGTTGCTATCGGGTTTTTTCCGACATGTAGGATTTTGGTTGGGACAAGTAAAAATAAACACTGCACTTGTCTGAAGGAACAACTGAGCTGAAAAGAAAGTTTCTTGCTTTGCCAGATAGTGTAACTGCTTGGGTATCATCTGACAATATTTGCAATAAAAATACTATTTAAATCCTTTTTCTGTCAACATTTGCATTATGCCTTTATTTACCTATTTGAAAACATATTGGAACAAGTCCACAAAACATCATTCAGAGAAAATCCACTGTTATGTCCGAATGTGTTTCCAAAGTCATCACAACTGTCATCTGAAAAACCCATGGATAAATCAGAAGTTAAAGGTGACAGAAATGCTGAATGGGGAAGAGATTCTTCAAAACTCAGGAATTTCTTTCAACAAATGCATAGCTCTACTACAGAATTAAATCATATACCAATCCTCAATAAGTTCTTTTTAGGGAACTTCACATCATTACTCGTTCCTACATATGATTCATTAACCCTCTACACTTTTATATCAGTGTGCATATTCTCCATACTCTTACTGACACAATTCACATGGTGTTGACAAGAGGAATTTGTTTAACAATCAAGAGCTACTTTAGTAGGTAATCATTTCTTTTATTCTCATGACCTTGATGTTCAACTGAGAGGTGATATTGTGAGGAAAACTAGATGCTAGTCACTCTTATGGATAAAAGGGTTAACTTTATTTGCTAACCTTCTAGAAATTTTTCAAGGTCAAGAATACACTGAGCATCTGGGAGATCCAGCTGCTACAAAAAGGAGGTAAAATAATGATTTAAGACCATGTTCTGTAGTAATAACAGAAAAAGCTATACCTAAGTTGACAACTTTCATCGATTTTTAATGAAAAGTACATTTAACAGCAATTAAGTATCCAAAGAGATATGTTTGCATGTTGACAATTAGGGTCAGAACAGTCACCTGATAAATGTAAACATGCTTGAAATCACTTGAATTTTTGCTTTTCTCCTGGTAAAATAAAATGAATAAAATCATTTTTTTGAGGCCAACCAATTCAGAGAAAAAGTGGATTATTAAACAAAAGACAAAAAATAAGTTTTTTCCTTGTACTTACAGTTGCATAGAACACTACACCTATCAGATCTTTGTTACTGCTAATGATCTTGTGCTTAAGGATGCTAATGGCACACTAAATAAAGCAAAATAAATTAGTGAGAGGCTTAAAAATCATTTGAGATAAATCTTATCATGATCTTAATGAATCAATTCAGAAGCTCTCTGGGTAACAAATAGCTTTATTTATATTTTTGTATGATGATGTTACAAGGTAGTTACCTTTACGCACAACTGGAAAGGGATCTCATCTCTGGAATATAGAAGCATTTCCTTTGAGCAGTCAATTACCAATATAAGGCTGTCTTTGTTATCCCAGGATGTCTATCAAAACAAAATAATTTCTAGGTTTCACCAGCTGATTAATGGAATCAAAAAGGGGTAAGGAGCAGTTTCTAAGGTCTTACAAGAAACGTTAGAAGTGTCTAGAATTAAGTCGATTAATGAAATTAATGAACGTCGTTAAGATAGGGTATTTTTTTTATTATTTTTTTATCAGGACAAGATTGATATATTTTCTATGACCTCCTTTCCCCCCCCCCCTCCCTTCACCCCTCACCACCCCTCTCACCCCTACGAACCCGCGCCTCTTCTAATTTACAGGTTTAAGCACGCCCGTCTCATGAGATCTGGCCACTTGCATAGCAACATCCAAATTACAGCAATTACACTTTAACCCCCTATGCTTACATATACGTACTTGTTGTTCGGCATCGCCAGCCTCTGCTTCATCGTCCTCGCCGAGTAAACCCGCAGTGCTCCCCCAAAATGTCGAAGACCAATGTGACATATTAGTCAGAACAGGGCAATTGTGGCAATATTTCTGATTCAGGTCCAATTTGGGCCAGAAACTAGAAGAAAAAATACTTCTTGACAGGAAAGTAAGTCAAGAAAGAATTTGCAAACGTTCTTTAGTAAAAATAATAATAACTTTCGGTGAGAAAATCAGATAGGGCAGATTCCCGCGTTCTTCCCAACTCACAAACCGATTTACTTTGTTGTGTAAGCTTCATAAAGCGACACAGAGAATTATAAGGTATGCAAAAAGGTATTCGTTCCCAGTTCATTGCTTTTCAGGCAGAAAGGTAATTGACAAGAATTGTACCAACTTTAAACCACATTGTTAGCTAATGTGCATGGCTTACAGACAGACTCTATTAAAGGTTATAGAATTCACAGAATGATACTAGGTAAGTAAATCTATTTAATGAGAACTAGTGCTGATTCTTTATTGAAGATCACACACACAAACGGACGTTTTAGGAACGGAAAACAAAGTCCTACGTTGGATAGTTATCGACTGCAGCCAGTTTTCATGCTAGTTTTTGCGCTCGTGAAAGTAATATGATGTATTAAGGGTAGTTTAGTCGCAAGTTATTACAGAATACGACTGCAATCAAGGTATATGTATTTTCCAGACATTTTAACATCCAGTATAGTACAGGACTGCCACCAGTATCTTGATTTTCTTTTAAAATTTATTGAATCTATTTATTCATTTACCTGCTTACTTATTTACGTATTGATTTCAGTGTATAATGTTGCCATGTTTGACGGTTTCCCTATTTGTTTGTATTTTTTGCTTGTTGTTACATTTCCATCGATTTCTACAAATTCTCTTAAATCAAACTACTTTTTCATCACTCATCACAGACCACACTACATTCGCCATATATGGTGACATCACGGAATACGATGTTTCCGCTGACTTATGTAAAGTCGTAGGTAAAATCCGCTCGTTTGGTCCTGTCTCTTCTGTAGCTTTTGTAAACTTTGTGAAGGGACTTCCTCTGTGTTTGAGCCTTAATCTCGCAGGTAACTTAGCGGTGTTTGGGCGATTTTGGACTGCTCGCTTTTGGAGACTTAGCGGAACAGCCCTGTGGTTCTTTGAGCCATTCTTGCTTTCCCTAACTCTAGGAAAAGCACATGATACTTTTCGGTATTTATCGACGCTCCTCTGAAAATTCTCTTCTCTACTTATTGGTTCTTGATCAAGACGCGCACTATTTTGCATAAATGTCGCTAAATTACTATAATTAACTCGACTTGTTGAATTGTAAAACCTATTATTAAATAATTCTTTGGAATCTAATTTCAAGTCATCGTCAAACTTTTCTGCCGTTATAAAAAGGCTTGGAGATATATTTAAGGGCAACAGAGATTTGCTTTCAGAGCAGTTTTTTTCGTCAAGATCCGGAGTAGGATGTGGTGGTCTGGACTCCAGGTATCTTTCATCTTTCGGTTCACTTTCGTTGCCAGTCCCACTCGTTAAATGAAAGAAAGACGAAGTTTTCAATTCTCCACTTATTCCTCTAATTGACTCTTTTTGGATTTCTGAGGGTAGACAGGGAGTGGAACTCTCCTTTGCTTGAGGTTTTGATTCGTTGTCACTTAGTTCCGATCCTAGTGAACTAATTGACGACTGACGACTTTTAGAACTATCTTGCGCATCCAAAGAATATCGTTGGATAGACCCATCGTTTTTTGTTTCTAGATCGAAACGTTCACTGTTTTCAACTTCACTGCTGACCTCAGAATCTGTTTCGGAATCGCTGCCGCACGTGCCTTTTCCATTCGTTCTCCACCAGCCGTTGCTTGGCAACAGATCGCTTGGGGCTTTGGCTTCTGAAGATGAGGGAAGTCCTTCCAATTTAAATTGGCGTCGCTTTCTTTCGTTTGACGTGTTATTGGGAGGTTTTGAAGGAATGTTAGGCGGTCTGATCAGTCTATTTGACGAAAACCCGTTTCTTGACGGAGCGGAGGATATACCATTACGCAAGCGTGTTGATTTGAAACGCAAATTTGACGGCTTGTGAACCGATGCGCTTTGACTTGTACGAGCAAACGGGCTGAAACAACTTTCTTGAAGTGTTTTATATTCGTCCTTCTTTCGAAAACCTTGTCCAGCTCTGAGATTAACCCTATCTCTTTGATTACTTGGTCCAAATTGGTATATTCTTGCGTGTTTGTTGAAGAATCCGTTGAGTTGTTTTGACAAACAATCGTTCATGTCTCTTTTGAGGAGTCCATCTAGATTATAAAAAAGTTGATCCATGGAAATTCGGTATCCGCTTTCCTCGGCATCGATGTGAGCACATGGCACAGGAAAACTTTGCCATTCCATACTCTGTTAAATAATATAGCGTTGATGAATGGTTTACAGGAGGATCGTTCGCGGCGAAACGCTTCATCCAAATGTCTTTATATTATTACACCTGTTGGTAAATACCTGCCAATGCTGTGTGGCACATTTGAAAAGCTAATGTGGCGGGATTAAGGTTTTGTTTACTTGAAACACAAAAATTTTTATCTTGCTTCTTGAAAGACAAATATTGGCTTTTTGTCCGACGCGTGGAGCTAAAACGCTTCCGAAAAAATCGTTATCCATGATATATCGTACATTTCCTTTGTTGTTCTTAACTGCAGTGTTAGTGCGGGCTGCACGAATGTCGGCATCTATTTAAAGCATGGCTGTAGGCTATTTGTTGGTTACCAGGGTAACTTGATGTATCAGCTGTCTTCACATTATATTCATCGTCAAAGTCTTCAGTTTTAACCCCCGTTGTATTATTTTACCTTAGCCAATATTTGCTGCACTTTAATAGTAAAAAGTGTTAACGTTCCAAAAATAAGAGGTTTTTTTGAATTTTTGTCGCACTCTACTTTTTCCTTGTTTTCTTAATTTTTTTGTTAAAACTGATTTTGACAATATGCTATCCCCTCACTTTATGGTTATGATGCGGTTATAATCGATATCACTATTCGTTTATCTTTGTGTAACTTATAAAGAACTTCAGATCTATATCGCAAAATAATATATTTCCTAGCTAATTTACTTTTTAAGACACAACTCAAACGAGGAAATTCAGTTTAACAATATTCGTTTTAAATTTTGCAGTGTTGGATTGTGGGACATCTCGTTCGATAAGGCGATTTTTCGATCCACGAAATACTTAAACAATATTTACTCAATACAGGGTAATCAGAAACATTCCTTAGATTTCTTCATATGTTAAAAAAAAACGTGCAATTACTGAGACAATTTATTCTTGCCTTTAAACTTTTCAGGAGGATAATTTTTTTGTCTGTACGTAAAGATAAAATCGAAGAAATGAAAATTGTGTCTTAAGTTTATTGTATAAAGATTTACCAGAAATATATGAAGATTCTCGAAGATAAACTTTAGAGACGTCCAAGGAACATCGAAGGATTTGAAAATTGGGCGAAATTAAATTAAAGTCGAGACAGAACTTTAAAATGCCTTGACATCTCTCCAGCTGTGTTATTACAATGGTTTGAATTGCAGCTTATTCCACAGCCAGCCGGGTTCTATCAAATTTTCGCTAAAGAAATAAAATCAATTATGTCACCTGTTCAATTAAAAACATTCAAGATTCCTACGAGCGTTTCTGTGGCTGGCAACTGAAAGGAATTTTACAATCGATAATTCATTCTATTCAATAATTTTGCGAATTAGTAAGTTCATTACTCTCTTTTCCTTTTGCCATTTTTTGGAGTGGAAATCTAGGAGCGAAAAGTTAATTTGTATAATTTTGCATTCTCGATGTTTTAAGTTTTGTGATTTGAAAAACCTTTTTGATCTTCCCAATGATGCAAACAAAATACTGAGTTTTCTTCAGTTCCCACCATAAACCTTGTTGTTGGCGAAGGAAGTTAGAACTAGCGCTGTAGAAATTATTTCTACGCGTTCCCTAGGAAATCGGGAAGCAGGAAAGCGTTAATTATTTTCTAAAAAGTTTTTTTCAGAAGCATTTCATTAAAAAATCGGCAGGATATCGTCACAATGGCTTGGGCTCCGTGAACTTAACTCTAAACTTGCTTTGAGGGAAAATCAACCGGCTGGTTTTGCTCGAATTTTTTCTGTTTAAGGGTTTGGAAATCAACCTTTACTTTAACAAGCCTTCTTCCCCCTTTTTTTCCTGAAAAAAATTCCTTCACTTTTGTTAAAGCTCATCAGTTTCACAATTGTTTTTGATTGTTTTGTTTTTGGTGATCGACCCCCTGTAAATATTAACTCAAGTCAATCAGAGCTAGATAAATATCTGAAAAAGATTATTTTTAAGCCAAGAAAAAGTTAATCAGAAGTATTTACCTTGCCCGAAGTAAAATTTTATGACTTTTGTCGGATTTTTACAGGGATTCAATGAACGTAAGGCAAAGGTTAAGGATTTTGTTATTCATTTTGAATAGATTCTTATACTTTTAGACGTTTCCCAGCCAATATGCATCAATCAACTTTTTCTTGTGGCGACCTGCAGTTCGGAGCAAATTTGTTCTTGGAAACGCTTTGTGGAGGAAGTATACAAGCAAATTTCGTTTGAGCCTATTCCTTGAAAACCGCTGAAAAAAGCAGTACCGAAGCGATTTTTTGAGCAATGATTATCGCAAGAAACCCTTAAAAACCCTGAAATTTATCTAAAGTAGAACACGAACGAATCTTTCTAAAATTGAAAGACTTCCACGTCGAAGATCTCCCTTTTTGGCGTTGAAAAAACTGGCTAGAAGTGTGGTCAATTATGAATAAAGGGAGAGCAAGATTAAAACTCCAGGATATCACGCTTTTAGGCTAGTGAGGACAAAGTAAACACAATGGGTTGGAAGCACAAGCTCACAACAGCTGGTATCCTCGACGGAAAAACTTCGCGCTTCCTAAGAAAGAAACCTCCGTGAAATTGCAAAATTTGTTTTTATTGTATATGGTACTAGCAATTATTGTTGATCTGCATTTTGAGTCTTATTTTCTTTTGTCTCAATTCACTTGCGCAAACAGTATATTCTTTTAACATTTTAAAAGTCACATTTCTCTCTCTTTCATTATCGCCACGGGCGAACCAAAATTAGGGAGAAACAATGCTCTTTGTGTCAGTGTAGTAATGTAGAAGTTGCTCTATTTTTTTTTTTTTTCGTCTTTTGAAAAATCGTATTTTTTGCTCTTTGATACCTCGCTTTCAATGGCGACAAAAATTTCAGGAGACATTTCCGTGATTTATAACTTAACGTTAGATACCAGCAAGAATTTTCCCAATCAGCCGAGCTACTGCATATTTAAGCAGTTTTTTTCAAAACATTCAAGCCATTAAAAATTTAAAAGAAACAGGAATTTGAAGCTTTATATTCGGTTTAGATATTTCTTCTTAACAAAGGTTTTCGCTTTTGTTTTTTGAAACTTGATATTATTGTGGGGCTTAAAACAACTGAATATAAGTTGAAAAAGAAATCAATATTAAAAAAGCTTTGACCCGGACTTGAAAAAAATTCAATTTGAAATTTTAAGCGCTTGTCTTTAACACTATTACTGTTTTTAATTTTACTAAATATTTCCAGTAAAAGAAAGGGAAAGGTTCTCCAAATAAACATTATTGTTTCAACAGTTCTTCTGTTTAAAAATCTTCCTAAGTACCTCTCGCACAGTTATTATATACGGTGATTTAAAATTCCCGATTTTGATAAAATAAAAAACGTTGTATGTTAACTGAAGCTAAATTTTGAGATGGTTATTTGTCGAACGTTCGCGGTTTGCCTCCAGTGAAATTTTTACATATTTTTCCCGTCAATTCGAGAGCAAATAAGAGCGGTTTTCTTTGACAGATAACAGCGCCAACGGTTGTTTAAAACCCGAAGCCACGCAAACGCTATGTTTTCGATTTAATTTACGAGTAGTAATTTTAAGAGTTAAAAGTTTGAATTTTGATATCTTTGCCGGCTATGAACAGGTGAAACTGACGTTCGTTATCTCTACAATGATTACTTGTGAAAACATTTCACAAATACTTCAGGAAGCGTCGCACGATTGCAAAAGACGAGTACTTTCTTTCTGCTACTTTTACTGGAGAAACAAGTGGAATTGGCCGACTTTCAAACATGAATTGAATGCTAAAAGTTTACAAATATGCAAATAGCAAATTTGCATTCCTCTCAGTTGGACGACTCTTATGGCTTTGTTTGAACCCATTCCTTCCTCTGCATACAAATGTCCTCGCCTCCAACGTTTAAAACTTTCACAATTCTCAATCTAGGCAGTTCACTTTGCGTTACTGCTCTTTTCACCGTTCGCTATCCAAATTAAATTTTTTCACGCGACAATTTAATATTTAGCGAATGATTTTAGTAAGGCAAACCCAAAGTAAGGTCGTTTGTGAGGTGAATAAGCAGTTCCTTCGCTGGATGTGCGTTCATGGTTAATTACGATTCTAGACATCTTCATAAAATAATAATGTAACAATTTTCAATGGTCTGCGAACACAGGGTCATAAATATATTGATGTAAACATGTGTCAAGGCTTGCATTTGTTAAATCAGTGGAGCCAAGTAAGGACAGAAGCCATCGGCTCAACGTAAAAGGCAAAATCTACATGATTTGATGCGAGGATCGTTGGACTTCCGCGCCCAGTGAAAAGAATTGTTGGCATCCATCGGTGTTGATTACGCATGTGTACAAAGTTTGCGGTAACGGTGGCCGAAGTAACGCGACATTCAAGATTAATCTGTAGGCCTACTGACGGACGGTTACTCTCGTTGTTGTGACATTTTTGATGTTGACGACTGCCGCTACTTCTGCCTCGACCAGTTCGGACCCGAATGGAGCACCGGGCAGTAGCTACCGAGGGTATAAAGTGTTGATGGAAAAATACGATGGCCTGACGAATTACATTCCTTCCAATATGGACGATCCCATCGTTTTAAACGTTGGAGGGAAACGCTTCGAGACTTACGAAGAAACGCTTGCAAGATTCCCCGACACTTTGCTCGGCTCCAAGAGTCGGAGGTCTAAATTTTACAACAGCAGACGGCAGGAATACTTTTTCGATAGACATCGCTCGGCATTTGACGCAATTCTTTATTATTATCAATCCGGTGGAACTCTTATAAGGCCAGAGCATGTTCCCCCGCATGTATTCATAAACGAAGTTGTCTTTTATGATCTGCCAGAGGAAGCTGTTCAAGTTGTTCAACTTGAGGCAGGCATAGCAGACGAGCCCGAAGAACAACCGATGCCAAGTAATTACTACATGGGAATCATTTGGAACGCGTTGGAATACCCAAACTCATCGAAAGTGGCCAAATTTTTAGCCATTTTTTCTGTGTTAGTAATCACTCTGTCTTTAATAATTTTCTGCGTCGAGACTTTGCCAACTTTTAAAGTGCCAAACCAAGATCGACCGCCAAATGCTACAAATGAATGGAAACCACCTCCAAACCCTTATGATGCAGTGTGGTTCCAACTTAATACGTTTGTCATCGTATGGTTCACAGGAGAGTATGTTATTCGCTTCATTTGCTCCCCGCAAAAATTGAAATTTTTACTGGGTGCTTTGAACCTCATTGATTTATTATCCATTTTGCCTTACTATGTACAACTCGGACTTAAAGAAGATGACTCTTCCATCTCCGTGCTGCGCGTAGTGCGTGTGGTGCGCGTGTTTCGAGTGTTTAAACTCTCGCGTCACTCGCGCGGGCTTCAAATATTGGGAAACACGCTGAAAGCGAGTTTGAATGAGCTGATTATGTTAATGTTCTTCTTAGCAATTGGCGTTATGATATTTGCAAGTTGCGTCTACTACGCCGAAGGAGGGCCTGAAAGTGATGGTTTTCAGAGCATTCCACACGCTTTCTGGTGGGCAGTTGTCACTATGACCACTGTGGGGTACGGAGATGTGTCCCCCGTCAGTTTACCAGGCAAGATCGTGGGTGCCCTGTGCGCTATCTCAGGTAAGCCGACATAATGCAATAACTGACCTGTCTCTAAATAACGTTTCTTGACATTCATTCTTGCTCTTAAATGGCTTACCTGTCAGTCATACTGATGGAATGTCAAAGCCCTTCAAATTTCATATATTTTGTTACTTTGTTGAAAATGTTTGTTAAGCGTGCAGCTTGCGTGTTCGTGAAAGATCGCGCGAATGGAATTGATAGCGTTATCATTTGTGTTTCGGCTTTCAGTTAGTTCATATCACACTGCCTTAGAATTCAGATCGCGGTATCTCGGTTAACGCGCTTATCTGATGGATCCATTCGAGAACAATAATGAAATCAACTGTTGAACATGGCTGAATGAATAACTATAGTAGGACGTTATCACTTAGATTGAAAACTACAACGCTGAAGCTATTGATTTATAAGCGAGGCTCTATTATCTCAATCGACTTTCTGTTGAATACCTAAGGTGAAACAATTTGTGGTTGAAAGAGGGTGATATCTTGTGCCAAGAAAAGATAAACGCACTGCCTCCACGAAATAAGAAATGATGACAAACATTATTTGCGATTCTCTCGCGTGATTCTCGCGTGGACATTGCCCGCACGTCCTGTTCACGTGCTGATTCGCGAGAAAAACACTTGATTACCTTCTGCCATTATTCCCAACTTGAGGGAATGAGTAATTTATTATGTGGGATCCAAATACAATAACTTTGTTTTGAAATGTTGGCGAGGAATTATTTTTGCTTGAAAGGAAAGGCCATTAAATGTTGTAAAGCAAACAAATGCACTTTGCTGAATTTTGGTCTTTTCATTAAAATCAGGAATTTTTATCGACAAACTAGCTCGCTTCAGTTCAAAATTTGTTGAGTTTTGTCATGTATGATTGAACACTGAAATTTCTTGTTAAATATTAATTGGCTTTGGAACGCTGAAGTTGATAACATCAAAGAGGTGTTGCTTTCACATCGTTCATTTTTTAGCGGTGAAAGTCAAATTTTCAATTTATGCCAAACGTTAGTCTTAACGAAATCACGATAATTCAGAGATAGCAGCGCAAATGAGTTGAATTTAAAATCTAGTGCTCCTAACGGAGTAAAATAAATTAGATTAGAGTTGTGAGTTGACGCTGCAAGAAGCTTGTCAGCTTTGAAATATTTATAAGTACCTGAAGTTCGAAAAGAGAATGAGATAAAAAGCTTGCATTGTAAATTATAGAGGCCCGAGCTTTACGGCTTTTTCACCCAGTGCATGTCAGAAAAATTTTGGGCCTAATAAAAATCGAGTTCGTTCGAAAAATTTTTGGAGTAAAATCGTTGTCGGACTGAAGTCACTCTAGTTATTGTAAACTAAAATACATAGATGTATTCATAATGCCTCATCCTTTTATTGGGTGATGCGAGAGAATAAAGCGTGTGATTATATGTGGCAGTTATACTTTAAATTCATTTAAAAGAATTAAGGGTGCGCTGTAAAATTTACGGGATTCAGACTTGCTTAGAACTCAAGAACCTCTTAAAATTAACAATTGTCATACGAAGTAATAGAGTTAAAAACCAAACGACAACATGTTGGACCTGCCGCTGAGGGTTTTAAAAATTCAAAACTTGCCACACGCACTCGAGGTGCGAGAAGTGAAAAGGAAAACTTGATTCGACGTAATTTTGTTCAGGAGGCGTACAGCTATCATACAGAATGTATATTAAAGCGACAAACATTCGGTGGTTACCGCACAAATGTCAAAAATCTTATTTCATGTTGTCGACGAGCTGGAAAAGGTTGAAACTCAGCAGGGTATTGACCTAAAGAAAACATATTTCTTAAAAACACACCCGGCATGTGCTATTGATAGAATTGATAGAAAAGGAAGATCTAAAAACAGCGCGTGGTATTACCAATAAAAACTTGAAATGAGATTCGTTTTCAGGGAAACGTTTACTGCATTCATATTCAAAGCAAAACTCATTTAGACAGGCAAATGAATTTATGAATTTAGTTCGTTAAAATACAGGGTAAAGCGGGGGAATTTTAACAACCTCCCACGCAACTAAAAGATTTAATTTTAGTCAAAAATAAATCTATCAACGAAACTACTGTCAATGCTCAGTAGAAAGGTTAAGTTTGTTTTATTAATCAGCTGATGTATCGTGAGGATTCAAAGCACCTGTTAGTTCGTTTCGCTCTGTTTTCAGTTCTCGAAAAATCGAATTATTTTCAATAGATTGAAGACAACGCTTGCCGCGCTTCAAACCCTATCGAAACTGCAATTTGCTACAATAAGCAAGAAAAATAGATATGTCCAACCTGTTAAAATCTCTTGAAGATGCGTTTAGTCTAAAGTCAGTTCATCTTGAATTCGCTTGAGTAAAAAAAAAAATTCACTTCTTCTTGCTTTATAATACTTAAACGTGGTATTCTCGTTTTAAAATGAAAGCAGGAACACCGTTTACCCGGTTGAAATTCTGTAATGCTTAAGTTATGTCACTGTATATTTCAGCGATTTATTGGGATTAAGTTCGGTAATTTCACATAGTTTCTTCGCCAACGCGTGGACAAAATATTCTGTATTTTAAATTTTGGTAATTTTCCACTTTCTTTCGTAGTTTTTGAAAACTTTTACCGATCTTCTCTCTCATACTTGTACTTCGGTCATATCTCCGCCATTTTGAAATCATGTAATCTTTTATGGCTTCTGTGCTTCATACATTTGCAAAGAAAGTTGTTCTTACAGTTTATCGTTTAGCTTAATTAAAATTTTGTCGTGATGAAGGAGTACCTTCGTTTATTTTCCACAAGGAAAGAAACTCATTGAAAATTTAGTGGAATACGCAATTTGAAAGAGCTTATCCATAAGGAAAACTCTAAACCCTTAAAATCTTATCTGTTTTGCCAAATTTCGTTCCTTCAGTCTTTTAGTGCTTCAGATCTCAGTTCTGTTAGTTTAATCCGTACACGTTTGCACTGCAGGCGAGAATTTCAAAGAAATCCTCTCGTTTCCTCGTCTCACTAATTAATATTCACAGTTTGAAAACTCAGACTGTCTTTGAAGAACTATCGTCTGCCTTTCATGGTACATGTTCTTCTATAGCCGGAAAGACATGCAAGTGGTACTTTTATTGCCACAGGAGTTACTTATCGAGGCAAATGTTGTTGGGAATAGAGAGAAATATTGTAAATATAGCAGTTGCGAGGGCAGCTGTGAGATTTGATTTTTTACTTAAAAGCTGAAGACTGGAGTAATCGAGGATTAGTGAAACAACAGTATTTTATCGTCAAAGGCTTTGTTTTCACAAAATGCAGTAACATAAATGGCCACCCATGTACTTTGTACTTGAATATCACCCGCTTTCGTTGATAATTTTCACTCAGCAACTTGTCAATAAAGATGGAATTAAATCAATTACATCTGAGAATCGAAAGTAATCAAGGAATGCAATGGCTTTTCTTCACTACGCACTGTGATTGGTGAAGATAACTTGCTTTGCCCTTAAACCAATCAGATTCGAGCTTTTAACCGAGTTTTCTTACACTGTGTACAGTGTGCTTGTTTTTACTCTAGTTCTCATTGGCTTCTTGTGGCTATGTTTTTATTGGTTTCCGTAATTAGTTTTTTGTTTATATTTTTGACCGTCAATGGAACTACTCTGCAACTGCGAGCACACTTAAGAGGAACTAGCTAAAAGTTCCCCAAAGTTGTGGAACTGTAAGGAATGAGTAATCGCTAGTTGCAGCTTAGGATCTTATTTAAATTACATTTTACGTTCAGCTTCTGATGTGTTTTTTTTTCGATAGAGCAATTTTCAACCGAGTGTCGAAAGTAACGCCTGATTGCTGTAGTTTTGCTTTACTTCGCTCTGTGATCGGTCAGAAAACTCGCGCTGCTCTTTTCAACCAGACAGATGCAAAACTACCATCAATTACGACATGGTCGCCCGCGTTTTCCTGCGGGTTTTCCCGTGAGTTTACTTTAAGTTACCATTTGGCTTTTCAATGTATCTTCCTGTCCTCAGATTGATTTGACGTCACTCAATCGAAAAGCGCCTTATCATGATATGTGAATCTCTTGATGGATGATTTACATTCAACGCTTGTTGTGGTGGATATTTCCCACGTGAACAGTTTTAGCCAAAAAAATCAGAGCTTTACCTTACATTTTATCTTACTTCTCAGGGGTGCTAACTATTGCCCTGCCTGTACCTGTAATCGTGTCCAACTTCGAGAACTTTTACAACAAAGAGATGAACCGACGAAAGGAAGAGGAACTCAAAAAGGCTGAAGAAGCTCGAGAAAAGGGAGAGGCTAAAAAGTCCGGTCTGAACAGCAGAAAGCAATCCATGGAACTCGAAAACATGGATGGTAAGACTCCCAAGTCACCCAAAGATGTAGTGGTTTGTAGCGTGAACAACAAAGACGAAAATTCGACCGATAAGACTCATCCAACACGGAGGTCAGTTGAGACTGTGTGACGAACTGTATCACGTGATGCATGTCACGTAATGCACAATGTGTCACGCTGAATTTCACATTTGAGAACATGGAAAGACTTTTATTCAATGATATATTAATCCTATTACCTGCAAGATAAACTGCTCAAAGCAAGAGTGGATTTCAACCTTTATCCCTCAAATTGAAGAGGGGGTTGTTTCCTTTAGGAACAGCTGGCGTCGAACATATGAATTGGAAGGAAACTAAGGGGAAAGATTATCTGTATTCACAGCAAATCAGAAACCAAATAAGGAAAAGCTATTACGCCAAATATTCGATGCTCTTAGTTCAATATTATGCATAAATGTAGACCGGGAGTAGATTATACGGCATAGGCGTCGAGGAAAATCTGAGGAAATTTGGTCGTCCGCTTAATCAAGCTTGAAAACACAATATGAACGCACAAATAGTGGCTGTAGTATCCGCAATATACCAATTCAGTCACAAGAAAGGAAATTTGGACCTAGCATTCTGAGCACTCGCCTACTGTTAGTAAATACACCCAAACTTCTATGCCGCCTGGGAATAGCCTCTCGACTTTTTATCACCAACGGCCCGATCCATAAATTTGTTCCAAGTTTTAGAGGATTCTTCGAACGATTACAGTTGTGCACTGTAAAGTAGATATAACATGCCTTTAGCATTATTCACCCTTCTGGTTCCCACCGGTTAAATGTGGCAAACTGTGGTATTAACTAAGAAGAAACTTTCTAGATCTCGGTGGAGATGGACTTAAAACCAGTTTTTGAAACTGCAAGGTCGTTACACGAAGTAGTCACTAGCACTGTGCTGAGAACACAATCTCGAAAAACAGAGCAACACGATTTTGTCCAGCTTCTCGTTGAAGGCATCTAGCATGTTAAAATCTTGAGGTACACGCAGCAACGTTTGTCTTCGGGTTCTGCACCTGGGTCTAATGGGGAAACAAGTCCTCTTAGACACTCTTGGTGAAGTTGATAGAAGTGGAAATGTGGCCAGTTGAGATTCTTGGTGAAAGTGTGTACCTATCTATCGATGAACATCTATCTAATGCTTGGGAAACAAGGAAATTAGCTGAAATAATAAGAGTGCCCACAACAGAACGGGGGACGCTGAGTTTGAAGCTGAGGAACAAGACGTCAGTTAGAATTCTAGGTTCTAAGGCGGTAAAGGACGAGGACGGTAAATTTGAGAAAAATAACGAAAATTCAATCTTCCTCTCTCAGGAACATTAATAAGTGGTGAGGAGAAACATCTCGTAGCTAATAGTCCTTCTTTGATCAATTATCAAAGATAAAACCGATTCAAACCAGGTCTCAAAAGACCTGTTTAACCCATTTTATAAACTTGAATATATGATTCGACATTTTTTATTCCTGTAGAGAGAGCGGCAGCTCAATATGTGCTCATTAACAGTCTCCAATGCAGCAGGTAGTAAATAGAGATGTTTTCAAAATCGGTGTTTTTATTAGCACACAATTTTTGGTATTTTAGCCTCGTACCATTTAAATTATCAATTGATATCTTTATTTAGCTACATATCCCTTTTATTCAGGGGTAAATTTCAACTGAATCCCTTACAACTTTGCTTTCTTAGCAATATTGCTTCAAGTAACACGATATGATAAAGGTGTAAAGCCCATAATTGTATACTTGTGCTGCTCAATAATGAGCTATAGCATTTGGTAGAGTAACTTAATATAAAAATTTAAAGAAAGTTTCTCATTGAGCATGAAATACACATTCAAATTTAGATTTTTTTTTTGGATATATTTTTTAACACTACAGAATAACTCGAACTGATTTTGGTAAATTTTTTAGTTAATAATTTCGTTTCTAAACGATTGGTTGACAATTGTCAGTGAATAAGCTTGGCTTGTCATCCAGATATTGGCGAGAAGGGTAAAAACATTGTAATATGTCAGTATGAATAATACTGAAGTTATGATGGTTACCAGGAAATCTATGCGGCTTATTTGTGTCATTGGATAAAAAAAAGAAAGGGCCTTCTCTAAAACTGACTTGAGGGAAACGAGTCGCCAACTGAATGATGCTTGGGTTAAACTTGCGTGACAAAAAGACAAGCTCAACTGAATCTATGTGGGAAGATGTTGTCAATATCAGCTAGTCTTTGATCTTGCAGGATAGTATTTCAAACACAGTATGAAACTACTCCCATGTGAAAGTAAGAGGCTCGCGTAATGTAAGCAAATGAAAATCTCTATCTTTTGTGGCGATATAAGTCGCTCTCTTGTTCAGACTGTCGTTTGTTACACACGCCAGTCTTTGGTTTATAGTTCACTTAGTTACTCTCTTTCCTAGTTATAGAAAAAAAATTAACAGGCTTCTGCAGTTGCATGATAAAAAAGGTATCTTTGCTAGAGGAATAAAAACGATCATGAAGTCTTTCTCACATTCGCATTGGTCAGAAAAATTGACCGTAATACGTATGCTTTTTTATAAGAAAGCTAAGAAAGGAATGTAGAGGAATGATTTAAAGTGGCAGCTAATTGAATTTCATAACTTACACGTTGTTTTATTACAGCTGAGACGGCAGGTTCGCCTCTTAGTGGTCTGCGGTATGCAGTGTGCGAATCACGACCAAGCTTAACCTTGTACTTAGGCTCCTCTCTGCCATGTAAAAGGTTATCTGGGTATGGGGGGGGGAAGTGATAAAGAGCCTAGGAGCAAAGTTGTCTCGAGCCTTGATATCGGTCATTTTATTATTTCTTATAACTTCTGTAATATGGGGCTTAACTTAAGGGGGCACTTTCGTTTCCATCAGGAAGCATGATACTTGAAACACCGAACAAAGGTTTGATTTACCAGGTTTCTGTTCCCAGAAATAGTTTTAGATTGCGATAATTTGTATCAGATGTCACTTTCCTTTGTGCATTACGAGACCACATCAGATGAAAGTGCTCCCTTATGATAAATTTCTTAGATCCGTTCATTATTTTGAGCAACTGTATTTTTCAAGGCATGTTTATGTCACCTTATTTAGAATTTTTATTCTTATTTGAAACATGCAATTTCTTGTTAATCTTAAACACTCGACCGATTCTCGTCTCTCATCGGTTAACACCGTCGCACACTGCTTATGTCACTATAAAGCAAGAAGTAATTTCAAACAATTTTTTTAAGTACAAATTTTATATTGCAGTTTAAGTCGTGGGTTGGCAAAACACCTTGGCGTTATAGGTGTGTTTGTAACTTATTCCGACTGGATTTTCTTCAATAAAATATTTCAAAAACTTTATCTAGCCCTTGTCTCTAGTAACACAGCGGTTAAATGTCGGGCATGCGACATGAGTCCAGCGGACCGCGCGCCAATTTCCCGCCCTAAATTTGGAAGGAAAAGATAAGAGAAAAACCGTTGTGTCGCAAAATAGATGAAAGAAAATCGAAACTTTTATAAAAATCTGTTAAGGGGACAAAAGTATGGAAAAGGAGAACTCAAGACTTTTCAAACATAGAGCTCATCCAGTAAGAGTATCCTTTGAGCCTTTTGTAAAGGCAATACGCTTTTAAAACACCGTTGCTTACTCGCTTGTGTGCTTGTTTGTAACTCTTGTCAGCCAACTTGGTTCTGACTACCTTAAAGCATGCCAGCTGGTCACGACTAGTCAATACAACTTTTGTACATACACAGACGTCTGACCGCTGTGTTGTCTTTAGTATGCTACACGAGAAATCTTTTATGGCCAGCCTGTACTTCGTGTATGACTCAACTGAGTGTCGAATGAATGATCTAAGAGTACTTTGGTTATACGTCATCCAGTCTTTGATCCGGGTGGAAAGCTACTCCACCCTCCCTTCCCTACTCTAAGTCAATCGAACGCTCAACTAAACCGGTCACGACCTGGTCTCTTGAATTGTATTTCTCCGCGCTTGAGGACGGTCACGTGTACTATGAAATCTAATTAGCTTCTTGTGTTGCTTACGTTTCTTAAGATTAGCTTTCGTGACTGTGTTTTGTTTAGTTTTTCTTTCACGACCTTACAATCAAAAATTGCTCCATCCTGGTGAGCCTGTTAAACTCGGTAAACGTAGAGCTAACGCTCGTAACGTCAGCTTCAGAATATTTCTATGGTGGCCAATCCATATCCCCAACTCAGTTGATAAAACAAAATAATCTAGGTTGGGCCATGTTGAATTACGAAGGACTACTTGACTAGAAACATATCTATCTTGAAAAAAAAAGAGAGAGAAAAAAATAAATGAGAGAAGTTGGATTTGCTTTCTAAGTCAAGCTTACTGTTGTAAATCTACTAAATTAAACTGCTAAAAAACAATGCTATACTCGACGGCAAAATTGTCGAGCAGTGAATGGGCGACGTATTGTCGGCGGCACTTACTCTGTGCATCGATCTTTCTGGTTTCTCCTCATAGAACGGAATAATGCCAGTCGATCCTCCTTCTCCAACATCTTCTGTCTCTGTTTTAATGATCACTGCCCTAGCTTTTCATATGGTAAGCGGTGAAGCTGCGTCGTTTCTTTTACGATAGGTCTTATAGGTCTCCGTAATATTTCTCTTAGCCGCCTGCTCCTTGGGCGATAAAAGAATAAGTCATCGAGTCGTGGAGGAGTCCTTAAGGACCAAGTCTGAATTCCTTTGAAGTCCTAGGTTTTTTTAAAGGTTTTTTCGAGTTTAAAACTGGTCGAACTGGAATTTGTCCTTCGGCGGTCATGCCCATTAAGGAATGAACGCCCATATAAGGATTTTAATACGATAATACAAGTTCAAGTTCAAGCTAATTCATAACTTTAAATTTTGCAAGGAATAGTTTTCAACTGTAAAATCAGTCGTAAGGAGACATCAAGAAACCCTCGGCTAGTGTTTATATCCAGAGTTCTCCTCGACGACTCATAAATTACTAATGAATTATTGTTATTATCATAAAACGGCGAGACAGGAGAGCATGACAAATTCTGACTGGTTGCTTAGTGTGTTTTGATTAATAATTGAAGAAAATCTAGAAACTTTTTTGAAGGAAGATAGACTAGGAGAAGAGCTGACTGAAAGTTTTTAAGTATTCCTTATTTTGGTCCGTATTTTTGGTCCTAAGTATAGTTAACTGCTCTAATGTTCGTTCTACATATTCATACTCGGCACGCCCAGCATTTGTTATAATGCTACAATAACGTTTAACTGGACTCCAACTCCACCCCGAAGAAATCAAATAGCAACACTCCCTTTCTTAGTGACTTCGTAATACAGACAACTGTAGCCATATAGGCCGTGTTAGGGCGGAGCTAACAGTGGGTTCTAAATAACTATGAGCTTAGGATAGGAGTCAAATTTTAAGTCTTATCTGTGTGACGTTTTTAAGCATTGTAATAATACATCAGATAATTTCTTTAGTAGCAATTCGAATTAAACCTCTCATTGGATCAATTATCAATGAGGGTCTGGAATTTATAATTCCTCTTTGCGCCCCCTGTGAGAGGCGCGGTGGCCTTATGTTAGCCGGTGCGCCGGAGGTCTGGGTTTGAGACCAGGCTAAGTCAGTGTGTTGTGTTTTGGGCAAAACACTTAATTTTCACAGTGACTCTCGCTACTCAGGAGTATAAATAGGTACCGGCCCGCGAATTGACAGGGAAGTCTGAGGAAATGCTTGGGGTAGCCTTACGACAAGCTGGCTTCAGATCCTACACGTCTCTAATGACTCGGCCTTATAAGCAGCCCATCTCTGACATGAATGCGACAGTTTAGAAATCCGTTTAAGGACTGGGATTATTTCAAGCTTATGCTCAATTGAAAATTCAAACAACAAAGTTCTTTGATGAACACTTGTTCTTTAACGTCTCTACGCTGTTACATGGTTCGGCTTGGTTTGTCTCATTTCCAGACCGCCCACGGTCAAAAAGAGTGGATCGTGGAGATACAAAGCCAGTTCCGAGAAGTGTTCTATCTTATTCGTACAGGCTTCATTAAAGGTAGAAACCAATAAATATATTAGTTTTGACTCGCGTCAGTCTAAGGTATGATGAGTCTAACTTAAGAATTAGTGGGTTAAAGAAAAACAATTTACTTATCGTTGGTGCCCAAAAAACATCGTCGAAATAACTCCGAAATAAATTATTGATAGATCTGCATTGTTGGCAGCACATATGAATCATAATTGTCTGCGTCAACGGCAACCTGGCTGAATTAAAAATATTCATTAATTTATTTAATATCGCTAGGTGAAAAGTGAAAATTTCACTTTTTCGAATAATATCACACTTGAATTTCTTTCCCCTCTATATTTTGTCGGGAATTGCGTCTCAGAATTTTTTACTGAATACAAGAAAACTAGCATAAATTCGTGTCATTTCAAGGTGTTGCGCGTTATCCGCAAAGAAAAAGCGGATGAAAAATGAAATATTTATTCACTTGATGATCATGACGTCACAACATGCGAAGTATCGCGTTATCACGCGTGAGCAAATCGAGGATACTATCGATCACGCCTGGTTGCTTTGACACACGATATTTATGCGTTCAAAATATCCGTCTGAATGAATTTGGATGTAACTGCCCGTGGAAATTTCCATTATGAGGATATTGTGCATGATGAAGTCTTATTCGAGACTTAAATAACCAACAACGATGAGCTCAAGTTCGCATGCCATGCAGACAAGACTGATAGATTATCTTGTTGTTGTCGGTGTACGCAAACCGACCATCGACTCAACACAAACGCCGGAACTTTTACGTCGCTTTCCACAAAAGGACCATAAAGATTTTCCCTTACCTGGAGACGTGGTTTTCTTCTGCCAGCCGGAGGGTTGCAGTACAGTGTCGAAGAAATTTTCTCTCCGCGAGGCGAACTCGTTTGCGTTTACATTGACTGAGAAAGACTCTGGCAAGGTCCGCTATGGGATTTGTGTCAATGTTTTTCGTCCTTGTTCGAATTTTGACAACAAGGAGCGAAGCGATTGCAAAGAGACTACGCTTACAGTTCGGAAAAGGTCTCGAAGCACCTACCACAGGCGGAATTTTTGCATGAGTCTCACATCTCTGTGCATCGTTTCACATTATCCGTTCTTCCCAACATTCAGGGAGTGCCTGTTTTTCCTTCGAAAAATGATCGACTCGAGAACTGGAATTAACGGCAAATGTGACAAGAACGACAACATCATACCAGGGTTAAATAGCTGGCCTGTTTTTACTTGTACAGAGGACCAAAAAGCAAGTCATTTGGCTCGAGATATGGATGAAGTGGAGACGTGGATTCAACGCCTGTTTCTTGCACAAGCACCCGTTCCCGGGAAAACTCGTGTTGAGGTTCAACTTCATTCGCCTGAGATTTATTCTCCTCTGACCTTTGCAATGCCAGAATCGAACCGATTTTCGCTCGTAGACTTCCCCATTCACATTCCCCTGGAACTTCTTGGAGTGGAGACATGTTTGAAAGTGTTAACGTGTATTTTACTCGAACACAAGGTAAGTCCCTGAAGTTCGTAAACCTTGAACAAAGTCAAAACAAACAGTAGTCGATCGATCAGGATTAAGACGCAGGTGTAACGAAAAGTTTACCAGCGTAAAATCCTCATTCTCTTTCTATGGTTTCATAGAAGTGAAGTATATACCCAAAGAAAACAACTTAATGTTAATTAGAAGTATTTTTCTCGTTCTCAAAGGAAATTTTTCAAAAGAAAAATTATGAAGCAGTTTTCTTTTTCTCTCAGTAAGTCTCAGTAATTAATTTGTTTTTCTTCGTTGGTTCACGTATCAATATTTCTAACACCTTTTGATCGCAGCGCTACGAGATTTTATTTTTCGATATCTACTACTTACTGCAAAAAAATTATTTGGATAATTTTCCCATTCAGAAATAGGACTTTTACTTGTCTTTTCGTGAAAGTTTTGTTTTATACGTGAAAGCTCGTTCATAAGCTGTGTTTGTTTACATTTTGAATAAATTGATCCTACTGGCTTAAATGACTTGTGTGACTCCGTTGTTTGCTTTCAAAAAGTAAACGGAGAACCTCAGTGACTGCAAAAATGCCCACGTTAGCGATTATTTTACCAAACGTGTTTTTTTAGAGTCTAATTTGCCTAGAGTGGATTTAAGAGTGTTATTGATAAAATTTGCAATCCTTTGCACTGCCCATTTTGATGATTTACTAATTATTTTATGTGTTAAGGGTGCTCTGCTCTCCAGAGAAATTGCATTTATTCAGACAGCACCAAAAATTTTGAACTGTGGTATCGTATTTTTTATAACACTTGAGATTTTATAGAATTGTTTTAAGTCAAAGATGCATTAATACTACACAATTAATATCTTTAGGTTGATTATTCAGAGGAAAAATTCCTGACAAATTTTTTGGTGCAATACATTTTGACATAAACCTCTGTTTACAGAGAAATATTACTAGTTAGTACTACAGGTGCACAATGTAAATTATATTTAGTCTGTGCAAGGAAGAAACCTTCGATATCCCTTTTTTTGTCAATTATCTATATATTTTTGCCTAGATGTTCAAATTAATTTTTCTTTTCTGATATTAGGAATGATTAATCACGGAAATGGAATTATGTGATATCGCAACTCCTCCTTTTAGTTGTTTTGATCTGGTTTGATTTATAAATTAAGACTTGCAACATTTATGTGGTTCAGCCTACATCAGTGCTCACAAAGCTCTGTTCTAGAAGCCCTATACATTTAAATTCAAATTCTGCAAAAATCATTATCAAATCAACATATGAAGCAAATTTATTCATTTTACATGTCTCACATTGAGATCCATTGTGTAGTTTTATATTGTTTACAACCTGGATTCCAGTATAGTTACTTCATATTAAGCCTTGAACTAGATCACTGAACTGTATTGATTTCTTATAATAAGATGTTTCTCTTCTCTAGTATTGTCTCTTTCAATCCAGTTCTAATTATAAGTCTGTCCCACTATTAAAAACCTAGTGATATAGTTGTGATAAAGTTTTGAATACTAATATCCTATTCTTGAGGCAGAAATTTTTCAACGTCTTTCTTGTTGTGAAAATTGATTTTGGCTTAGTAGTTTATATTTAAAGAAAATTATTATGCTGTGACAGGCAAGCTTTACCCTTCCCTGATTATCTATTTAAAGTTGATAACAGTAGATTTTCTGCAAAAGTCAATTTTGAAACACTAACAGATTTTGATCATAAGCATTCAGCTTGATTGAGGTTTGCTTGTCCCCCTTCTCTTTAACCCTTTCATTTCCAAGATCTCATTAGTTATTCTCTCTTCTTTTTACTTTATAATTCATAAAATGTTAGTTCAGAGAATTTGGTATTGGATTGACTTGTTATCCCCAAATTGATATTTTTCTTTATTCTCATCAATTGTCTGCTTGGTATTGTAGTGATATTGTAAGGAGATATTCTGCCTTGGTTATAGGGTTAATTATAAACTTAGATCAGGCTTTTTGCATTTAAGCTTGACCCACTGTTTTCTTTCCTGCATTTTTTCAAATTTATTTTTCAATTAATTTTCAGGTTGTGATCCAATCCAGAGATTACAATGCTTTGACCATGAGTGTCATAGCACTGACATCCCTCCTTTATCCACTGGAGTACATGTTCCCCATCATTCCTCTACTGCCAACATGCATGAACAGTGCAGAACAACTGCTACTTGCCCCAACACCTTTTGTGATTGGTGTACCAGCAAGTTTCTTTCGATACAAGTCAGAAGGATTTCAGATGCCAAGTGATGTCTGGGTGGTTGATTTGGATTCAAATAAGGTTTGTGAAATGAATTCCAGAGAATATAGACTGTTTTGTTGTATGGACTTTTGGAAGGCACTATTTAAATTTTTAACCTCAATCGATAATTGTCTGGTTGATCAAACAATCACATTAAATTTACCCTTTCACTCCCAATACCTCATTAGTAATTCTCCTTACAGTCAGCCATAAAGTTATCATGATGTTGGGTCTGAGAATTTGATATTGAATCAACTAGTAATCTCCCAATTGATGTTTTCCTATTTTCTTGTCACTTGTCTCCTTGATATTGTATGATATTGTTAGAGGAATCCTGTCGTGGTCACTCATGGCAGCTCCTTTCCAAGTGCAAAATTAAGATAAAGAGGTGGTTCTTTTTTATATCTGGAGAGGTATGGGACAGGCTTTGGTTTTTTTACTTTTGTTTCCTTTACCAAATTTGATTTGTAGATGTCTTCTCCTCCCAATTTCTTTGAAAGGAGGGGGAAATGTACTCAGCTAATATCATTATTTGTGAAAAAATAGATAACATACAAATTTTGAACAAATATGGATCTCCTTGCTAATACTCTCTCAACGTTCTCTTATCTGTGTGATTATATTTCAAATGCTAATTACATTTTCAGTCATTACAGTCTTACTTTCTAGCAATTGTCACATATTTTATGATACACTCAACACTTTATTTAACCCTTTACACCTTGAAATCCATGCGCATATTCTCCATAAGTGTTCTCTATGCATTTCCTATGGTGCTGGCAAGGGAATTTGTTTTACAGTGAGGAGCTACATTAGTTGGTAATCTCTTCTTTTATTCTTGTGACCTTAATGTGTGACTGAGGGTGTTTAGGTTTTGGTCTCTCTTAGGGGTCAGAGGGTTAGGATATTGTATCATAGTTTCATGTTCTAGGAGTAGTAACTTTTATTTTTTGTATCAACAGATAACAGTTCCCTTGACTGCTGATGAACTTCCTCCATTGCCACAACCTGAAGGCACAGTGCTAATCAAGAGATTGAAGTTGGTCAGTGTCACAATTTGTACTAATGATTCTTTTATTTTCAGTTATTACGAATCACATCCTTGTTGCGCATTTTGTAGATATGTTTTATATATATGTTATGTTAAAGTAATATCATCATAAACTTCAATTCAAACATCTAAAATACCTGTTTTTAATACCCCCTCTAGCAGCACTATTTACCACATTCTAACTTTTTTACATCAGGCTCTTCAAGCCCTCAGTATGCCTCCTCAGACAGTTACAAATCTGAACCATTCTGCTCACCTGGAGGATCATGGACCTCTTTCCCCAGATAGCATCAAAGCCACCTCAGTGCAATTTGTCTATGGAAATGATGTGGATGCTGTAGACACTGCTGTCAGAGTTGCCATGGTGAATTTCTTTACAGCACCAAACATTCTTGGGGGTATTAAAGAGCACACAAGGACTCTACGGCTGTTTTCACGACCTGTTGTGGCACTCCAGAGAGGACCTTTCTTAAGATCAAGACCAGAACTGTCAGAGTTTGTGGAAAGACTTGCTGAAACTCAGGTGAAATGATTAGTAGAGGGAAGTGGTATTTCAAAGAAACAATTGTGGTTTAATTTTGAAGTTGTAGTAAGAGAATGTCTTTCTCTGATACCTTCTATTTTACAAATTTGTAGTGAAAGAAATAGTGTTTGACCTGCAGATAAAAATCAAGCAAGGAATTTACCATGATTCAATGGGATGTGAACCATCTCTTTGTTTGATTTTTCTTTGCAGGCTAAATGAAGTTTCCATGTATTTAGCCTGTTAAGCCTAAATTTTATTATATGCTTATATTCTGCAATTGCTTAAACTGCAGTGCATCTAAAAGAACCATTTCTTTGCTTGGCTTTCATTTTGACTTTAAAAAAGTTATAATAACAATTTTTTGGCTTATTCTTTTGAGTTAGTATCCAAAAGTATTTATCTGAGATAGTTTCTTGTTTTAGTCTCTAGAGTATTATGGAGAGTGGCTGGTTTATCCATCAAACACAGTCTTTTTGAAGATTCTAAAAGGTAAACATGTTTTTTTTTACCCACTGACCTACTCAGGTAATGATACATCCCTGATTGAGAAAAATGTTATTACAATTGACCAATCTTTAATTGCATTTTTCAGGCATCTATGACCCCCAGATCATTGGAGACAAAGCCAAATGGTTCTCTAGAGACCTAGAACCTGTTGTTTATCAAGTGTTTGACTCAGATTCAAAGATCTACATGGAACCATGGATTGATGTTGACTATGAACCTAGTTTGATTTTTGATGAAGAAGAAGCCACACCAAACAACGATGAGGATGATGACAGCAGCAGTTGCCACAGTTCTGTCGGAGATCTTGTGCAGAGGATGATTAGTGGAGAAATTAATGGTTCCACACCCACTGGTTCTCATGCTCCCCCTTTTGCCCCTATGAGGGCATCGTCACCAGTGCCAGACTTACAAGCATCTTTTGCTTTGCCAGGCACTCCAGCTATGGTTGAGACCATGCTTATGCACAAGAAGGTATCAGAGGATAGCACAAGGTAAATACTTAAGTGGAAATAAATGCAAAGATATCCTGAAAAAAATGTTGTCAAACAATTTGCTATGATTGTGAGAGAAAGAAAGAAATCTACACCTCCCACTGATTTCATTGACAAATGGCCAGCCTAGACTAGCATCAGCTACCTGCAGGCCAGGAGAAAACTGTCACTCATCTTCAGAAAATTTGGGGTGATGTTTGACTGTTTTTGTTGAATTCTCTCCTGCTTGTACCACAAGGTGCCAGAAGGCAAACCTTGGTTATAAATTAACTGGGTGTACATGCACAGAAATGTTTTTGTTTCTTTTTGTAGGACTGATCGGTCTGACTCAACCGCCACAGACTCTGCAGCTTGTTCCATGAGCAGTGGTGATTCATGTTCAGTGCAAGATGAAGACAGTGACGACTTGATGTATTCTGTGTCAAACCCTCCCACTCCAAAAGGAACCAGGAAAAAGTTGACTTCAGATGCAGAAAGTGAAAGCACTTTTGTATCTGGAGCGTCTTCACCATCTGGGTCATCCACAAATACTATGTCTCCCACTGAGAAACAGAGTATGTTCACCAACAGTACTGAAGCTGTACTGGGTAAGACACAAATGTATACAAATAAATTAATTTAACTTAACCCTTTACACTCTAGGATTAGCATGCAAATTCTCTATACTACTATGCTTTTATCAATTTACTATGAAATTCAAAAGGAGAATATTTGTAGAACAATCAAGAGCATCAATCAATCAAGAGCAGTTGGTAAACATTTCCTTCATTCTCATGACCCTAATGTTTGCTTCAGGGGTGAAGCAAGATCAGATTGTATATTCTCCCCTCTAGCTGCTATGCATGTCCTTGTAAATTAGTGACAAGAATTTGGTGTTAGATCAAGATAACAACTTCTACCTGATGAGAGTTAGCATTCTCATTACCTGTTTGCTGGATGATGTATGGATACTACAGGGAGAAGTTACATGCTAATGACTTTAGGGAGTTGAATAAAAATTACCAATTAACTGTTATTACTGTAATGGATGTTTGATATTTCATCAGGCATTTATTGAACCTCCACTGTACATTTTCCTTTAAATCTCTCAGGTCTGTGGAACAGTTTTAAAAAATCCACAATCAATGTGACCAAACCAACTCAACAGGAGAATTCAGAAAAACCTGCAGTAAATGGCTTTGCTAAGAGAGTTCCTCCATATCCTTTGCTGCCCAACAAGCTCTCTCCACAAGAAGAAAAACCTTTCTTTCCTTTCCCAGGTAAATGATAAGAATGAAAATAAAAACCACAAAGAATTGTGCACATCACTAGGAAAGAAAAATTTAGCATCATATTTGATTGATACCAATTTCCAAACATGATCAGGAGAATTTACCAGTACATTTAATGTTGCTCACTCTCTTCCAATTTGTAATTACAGCATAGATGCTCAAGAAATATATGTGTATGTATATATGTTTTTAGATCTGATTCAGTGATCAGTGCACAAATGACCAAAAGCCTAACAGGAAAAGTTAACTTACTGCTGTCTGTACTTCATTTTAATTTGGTTTTACATCTCCAAACTAAAACTACTTTCAAGTTCTATAAGCCTTTAACTCTCATGAGTGACCATGACATAATAATTTTTCCTTACCATATCCTTAAAAAAAAATTAAGCAGATTAGCAATGGGAATAAAGAAAAATATAAATTATGGAATTATTAATGGATTCAATACCAAGTTCTCCAAACTAAAATCATGACAGCTGTATGGCAGACAGTAAGGAGAATTACTTATGAGATCTTTGGGCTGGAAGGGTTAGGACACTCTATCAACCCATTGCAAGCAGAAAATTGTAAATTTTTGATAGGGTGAAGGAGGGGCTAGTTCTTGTTACACTTTTGACATGAGCCACACACAGGTATGCTGCAGAGAATATATTTTCTGTTCATAACTGAACCAAAAGCATTGAATCGATTGGTTTGGAGATAGCTGTATACAAGGGCAAGAATCCTGAGGGGAAGAATTGGTGGAAATTTTTCCTCTCCCACTCCCAACTGTTGTTACCAATTATTGCTCACAATTTTCAATGTCATTGATGTTTCCTTGACAACTGTAGACCTGCAGCAAGCTCAGCTGAGGCCTGAGAATCAAAACAGAAACAAACATCAATGTGGTTTGGCTCAACCTTCTCTTCTAGAAACTGAGAAATAGCTCAAACTTTAACCATTGAAAATTGGTAATAGCAACGTATGTCTAGTCAATGTGCATGATTTAAAAGTTTTGGGCAAATAGGATGTGATGATGACTCAAAAGTGCATGGATATTAAAAACTGCAAACCTATACAAACCTCTTGTGTAGACAATCTCCCTCAAGTCTATGAGCTAATTATTTCAAATTGTATATTCAAACAAGGAATGAGGTCAAAACCACCCATACCTGGTGAAAGATTACAAGGACGACCCAATCTGACAAAGCAAACATCTACAGAAAAGCAACTGCAGAGGTGACCTTGTTGTTTTAATGAATTTATATCATTCTTTTGTTCATTTTCATTCTCCAGAAAAATATTAAAAGTGTTAATTTTGTTCAGAAGGGAGGTGATAGGGTGGTTTGATTGAGGGGAGGGTAGTCAGTGATTGGTTTATGTCTGTGTAAGCCATCATCAGAGTTAATAATTTATTGATCACATGAGTGAAACCTACTCTCCTAATGACTAACCCTTTTACTAGCATCACTAAACTGATGATCACAATATACACACAATACACAATCAACTGCTGTTCCAAAAACCGCCACCTGATTAGCTTGGGTTGCTGAACACCAGACTGCCATGCAAGAGGTTGGGGGTTACAGCCCCAAACTAAATCAACACTCAGAGTCTTAAATCACTCTGGAGAATGTGCTGCTTTTGCTATGACATCTGTAAATAGTTAGATGTTCTAGCCTTCTTGGATAAAGATTTTAAGCTGATGATCTTGTCCCCTGCATCTTCTCTGTGCTAGTTAGCTGGTAATATTAAAGAACCCATGTAGTTCTTGGTGTGGCATTGTATTCAAAATGTCCACAATTGGTGGTACCTGTGAAATTTACTTTCAAAATTGTAAACTACTCAATGCAGTGTGGCCGAAGTCCCCATCAAAGTATTGTTGAGCACCTTGGCGCATATTAATATGGGGAATGCAATGTTTAAATGTATCATCATCAACATGCAAACCTTCTTCTTAGAACTAAGGATCAACTGAGAAAGTGAAAGAGAAGGAGAGTGTTTAAAAAGATAAAACAATCATGTGAACCTTACGTTTGTTATGAAGTTTTAGGAAGTACTCAACCTACATCTTCTTCAAATGTTTCTTTTAGCGAAAATCAACAGTTCTTGAAGGAAGTTGTGCGTGTTGTAGTGAAAGGTGATGGTGTCGGCTGGCTGGCATCCAAGAAACTTCGCAGGCTGATGATGGATGAATCTCTCAGGACTGTTGTTGCTAATCGTCTTTACAGTGCTCCATCTGCTGACCAGACTACAGATGCAGTGGATGACATGGTAAGTTTGCACAGTTATTCTGAAGATTCTATTTCCAGCACAGGAGTATACTTTTGAGTGGCAGTTGCTGGATGTGAATCATGGCTTAAGGGTAAAGAATATTGGATAAAAAGGAACAACTTTCTCCAATATTTAATTCTTAAATCAATAAAAGACATTCTAGGTGCACACTCCCAGGCACCACTGATTCAAGATAAAAAAAAGAGAGAGAGAAATCAAAGTTTGAAATGTCATAAAAATCAGACAGTTAGTATTTTCAAAAGCATTTTAAAGTTTTGTGTGTGAATATTTTATTATTTTTTACTTTCTGGTACTTGAGTCACATAAGACTTAGCAAGACCAGTGATAACTTTTTTTAGTGGATTAACCGTCACATAAGATCCTAACCTTGTTAAGGTTTTAGACAGCTTTTTCAGTGACATGCTGCTTTACTGTTGTTAGTCATTTTTCTGTTTGACAAAGACAATGGCTGAGTGTTCCTTTCTGTAAGAATTTCGCTTTGCAGGGGTTTCACAGAACAAATTTTCATAATTTTTTATTGTAATTATTATTTTTGATTTGGTGGGGCTGCAGTCCATTGTTTTAACTTTGACTGCACAGTTTGTTTTATAATAAATGGCAATTTTATTTTGAATGTTACAAATGTATGTTGCTTGTTTCTGTGTGACTGTAACATTTTCTCATTGAACAGCTCATCAGTAATATAATTCCTCCCTCAATCCTGACGCAGTATGCACAGGGGCATAGTGAGCTTACTTCTTCTAAGACGGATCTAGACTCAAAACAAGATGCTAATGCTGTTGTTAGTAACACTCTTCTCTCTGCTTAAATGCTTAGTCTCATGTTAAATCTGTTTAATTTAAAAAGTTAAATACATGCCTGTTAAGATCATTAAGTTAATGCATTCTGTAACTTATGGAATACTGTAAACTTCCATTATTGTTGATAAGTGGTCAAATGGCTGACTGAATTTGAAAGTGAAACATGAAATTATCATAAACTTGATTAGCTTCTTTATCTGAGAGGGATGTTTGGGAAGAATTTACAAAAGGAATTCATTACCTCTGTCTCTCCACCAAAGCATGTTTAGTTGCTTTAAAATCCAGACATTGATGGACAATTTCCTTTGTGCGCCAAGCTCATTGACTTAAATAAATCATTCAACCAACTTTGAACACATTTTTCTGATTTCACATACTTGACATTAATTCTTTTCTTTATAGAGAGTAACATTGTGATCATCTTTGAGGAAAAACCTCCATAACATTTGTTTTCACAGTCGCATTCATTAATTCATTGTTTACTTTTGGGACAAAGATGTTGAATGAAAATGGAAGTTTGCAGTGTCTCTAAAAAATATCAGAGTAAAACTGTAACTAGTGTAATTTTTAACTATGATCTTTTTTTTGTCTAATACATGCAATGATGTTATCATTCTTTTGGGATTCTTTCCATGTTTTACTAATGCTTGAAACTCAATGTTCTTTTATGTTGGTTTGCTTCTTCCTTGTTGTTCTTTTTTTTACTCTTGTTTGGTTTGGCATCTTTCTTGGCCTTTGCTGTTTTCTGTTTGTTTTATCATTTTTGTGGGGTCTGTACATTAGTATCTGTTTAAAGTATATATCAACAAATTGTGTGTTTTGTGTCAAATTAAAAAACTGGTCAAAGCAAATGGAAACAAATTTCATATAATAAAAGTTTGATTTTCATGAAAGATAATCCAAAAGTAATTGTTGTTTATCATCACATGATGATAACATAAAGTTACTTTAAAAAGAAGACAACATTAAATTCAAACAGAAAAAGTAAACAATTTTTTTCCATCTTTTGGTGTAGAATGGTGGACACATCAAATAAAAGATTTACTTCTAACAATTAATCTAAATTTTAGATTCATCATTCTGCACCTTAGTTATAACTTTTGCATGTGTTTCTGTACTGTGGCCATCTTTGTTCTGTGTACGCATGTTGTTTACTAAGCTGGCTCTTCACCATATGCTTCAGCCTCTCTGGTGGAATACCTTGTCCTCACTCTCTTTCGGATGGTCTGCACCCTCTGCTTCTTCTTCCACTTGGGGAACTGGGGCTGACTTGACCCAGCCCCCAGTCCCTGAAGCTAAGGTAGGTGACCATTCTCCCTACTCGGTCACCATGGTAACTTAAAGTTTAAAGATTCTTGAAATCCACAAAACCATCGCAATACTGCTAAACTAAAGCTAGTAAAAAAGAAATGAATCATACATTATTCTGAATAAATCTACTGCTGGCAAATTGTTAGACAAAGTTTTTTTTTTAGAATCTTAAACCATTCTTAAATATCCTTTCCACATTCCTTAAAACCCCTCTCAGTGAATTTATGTCATACCATTCTTTGATCTTCAAGAACTCTTTACTACATATCATATATTTTATCTTTTAATTTGAAACTTTTTTGTTTGATTCAACACTGATAAGTTTTACTCATTCATTTAAGCTGTGGAATATTGTGCAGCACGAATGACTCTCGGGGATGTTAAAATACTTCATTAAATATCGTGCATGCTCCTTTGCCATCATGTCATTTCACTTCTAAAGCCTTTAGAAGGGATCTCTGTGAATGTTTGCTCTGTTCTGTATGCTTCAACTTGTAGTTATTTGGGCAAGGAACCCCGCAAGCAAGTATTCATTCCTCTGACTGAATTAGTATCTTTTATTTTAGAGAATTTCTCGCAGTGTCTACAAGGGGATGTTAGAAGTGCTTAGGGCTGCTGTGCATGGCTTTGAAGTAAGCGTCGAGAACCATGGGATAGGAGGCCTGGCGTCTGCCTATCAGTATCTTGAAGTAGCGCACACTCATTACTTTGGGCGAGACATCAAGGAACAAACAGAGAAATTAGCGAGACTTCGTGATGATGATGAACTGTCAGTCATCTCTAATTGTGATAGTATCTCGAACCTGTCAGACCATTCACAGGATATGTCCGCTGTACAGTCATGGGTTGCTGAAACAGGTTAGTAAGGAGCCATTCAAATCTCAAAGTGAAAACCAGCAAACTACCTGAAGCGCGGGAAGACGCGTGTGGTTAAGTCACGATTGGTTGTAGCTTTGCATCTGATTGGTTGAAGGGGTAGAGAGAGATTTCTTTACCAATCATAGAGCCAAGTACAAAAAAACTATTGCAACTCTGGAATTTAATTCCTGCGCGTAATGTAAAATGTTTTCTCAATCTTTGTTCGTCTGGTTGAGGATGGTTCAGGTTTGGAGTTTTGATAGGACAGTCATTGGAATAATTTAAGCAGAAACTGTCAACTGTGTGAAGTTAAAAGAGCTATGGTTTCTATCCCAATGGTTAATCTTTGCGCCTCAAATGAGTTACCTCACGGTGGATGCCTAAATTTTCCCACTTCGTCACAGATAATCCCTGTTCAATTAGTCTTTTCTATCTTCAGTCATCATTTCACCCTCGTGAATAAGCTTTGTCTCAAGCATATTACCCAATCTTAATGAACTTCTATTTCAAAACCTCCTTAAAGTTGAAAGCCGTTTTGCGTAGCGCAAAAATATGACTCGAAACATCTCTATAAGCCTAGTTCTTTGAGAGATTCTCGGCTTTTACGACAGGGTTCAACTTGTTAGCTTTAAATGTGATATTTCCAATGTTCGTAGGCAAGAGGCATGCCATGTTAAATGGCAAAAGCGACAAAGACAGTGGTCACGGTGAAATGAGTGATGCAAACAGCGAGATTGAAACAATAATGTCATCAGGTTCACACAGCAGCAGGGAAAAATCGAAGGAACCTCCTGAGCTCATCCGCTCAAACAGTGACGTAGCTGCACTGGTAAATAGACAAGGAAAGGAGTTGAAGGACAAAGCCTGGAGGAGCAGATCCATTGATCCCAGTAAGATACAGGTACAGTAAGACAGCCTTGATGAAAGATCATGCACCTGGGTTTGGTCTGAAATGTTGAAAATGAGCATCAACGCATAACATCACTGTTCAGTGGTTTTCATTTGAAAAATCGCGTACCTAAGGTTTTACACCCCTAGAGTGCTTTTCGATTTAGTCTCGGCCAATCCGAAGAAAGGAAAAGACCCTTAAGAGCCAATGAGAACTCCAAGTAAAAACAAGTAAACTGTCTAAAGCGCGGGAAAACGCGGGCGACCCAGACAAGGTTGGTTTTTAGTTTTGCACTCGATTGGTTAAGAGATTGGTGCTAAATTTTCTGGGCCAATCACACGGCGAAGTAAAGCGAACCAATTAAATCCCAGATCACTTGTGATACAATTGAAAATTCGAGTGGATACACCGAAGGGTTTGAATGCTACCATGGACGCTGATAGTCCCAGTATGCTGAATGGGGGGGGGGGGGGGGGGTAGAAATCGTTACCTTAAATTATTGTGTTAACATTGAAATTTTGTTAGGATATTGCAAGAGCTAACAGAGAAGATAGACTGAGACAAGCTGACAGATGCAAGAGCCCAGCTTTAGCTCACATGAAGTTACAAAACAGTTTAGCACGCCGCAATTCTTTTGACCGTCTAAGTCAGGTTTCGTCTTCTATACCCTCGAGTCCCTTGCTGAGGAAAAGCAATTTAAACAAAGGTAACTTCTGTTGCGATACAAATGATTCCTTGTTCACCTGGTCCATTTCGTGTTATCATGCTCATTTAAACATTCGGTGATCTGATATATTTGTGAAAGTACAGTAACTCTGTTTGGGGAAACCTAAAAAATTGAGGTTTTTCTATTAGAAGGGAATGTGTTTTTCTGTAAGGAGACGAGTTTGAACTTTTGGGGGTAAACTGACAAAGGTGGGGCGAATTGGTAAGGTGAGGGCGAATTGGTAAGGTGAGGGCGACCTTGTTTTGTTTCAGTGGACGGTCTTGCATAGGTGGTAGGGCGACCTTACAATGGGGCAAAAGCATCTGAGATCGTTCTAGACTAGTGTCCTTTTGCATCGCAAGTTTACTCCAAGCAGAGGATACGAGAAGGGACCTGGGATATAGAGTCACCAGTGACAGTTTCATTATGTGGAAGGTTTAGGGAAGAGTGCCAGACTTGCAAGCGAATGTTTTCAGCAAAATTCTAAAAGAAAGGAGACGTTCAAGGGAAAACCAGCTTATGTTTTAAAGTGAACCATTAAAAGGTTGGCACAATTTTTCTTGACCTATCAGAGAACTCAGAGAAGCAATTCCACTGCAGTTCCGGATCACTTTTGACACTTCATCAAAAATTTCTCCTGGAATCCATTAGTCCTAACTGAAAGTAGCATCGCGTGTTCATACTTTTGATAATACATCGTCTGTTATTTATATTTCCTGTTCTTGTTTCCAGGTTATCGTTACCACAATGGAGACATTTTTCCCGTAGAGGGTGAGGACGGGAAGAAAACGACAGGGCGACGTTACTTGTTTGAAGGTCTGTTGAATGAGAGATCAGCTTTGTGGGATAACATGGACTTCTGGGAAAACATTTTTCTTGATGCTGTCGCTGCTGAGAGAGACGCTGTTGGAATGGACCAGGGGCCTGTCGAGATGATTGACAGGTAAATCAGTAAAACTTCGAACGCACTACCGCTGACATGAGAGAGTTATGACGATTTTTTAAATCGATTTAATTGTTTTACTTTTTGCTCCTGCTTTTTCTGTACCAGGTACAACTCATTAGGCCCTGCAGAGAAGAAACGTCTTGAAGCAGATGAAGACAGACTCCTAGCGACCATGTTGTATAATTTGGTGGCATTTATGATTGCGTTGAATGTTGACAAGGATGCTATCAAGAAGAAAGTCCGTAGACTGTTAGGAAAGTCACACATTGGGTTGCTACAAAGTCAACAAGTCAATGATTTATTGGATAACATCAACAACTTAGTAAGATCATATTATAACTACGTACAGATAACATTTTGCCCATTCAAGGATACTAGGAAGTTAAAGTCTTGAGTAGTCCTGGCCTTGGATTATTTTATTAAAGCACATTTCGATGGAGTTCTTAAAACCAAATAATTATACTCATAAGGAGTAACTGGGAACTCAAAATAATAACAACTTAAATCCCTAACAACGTGAGCGCCTAAGTCTCGTTTTTTTTCAAATTTTGCATCTGATTGGTTGACAGAGTGGCGCGAGTTTTATGGACCAATCATAGAGCGAAGTAATGCGTTGCCATCTTGGATTTTCATGGATAAAATTGCTCTGTTGAATGTCGAAGTAATCAAAATTTGCCTCGGTTTTGCTTCATCTCACTGTGTGATTGGTGAAAGAAACTCAGGGAACGTATAAAACCGAATTCACCTTTGATTTGGTTACAACCCTTTCTTTGCGCTTTGTACCAGTCACGTAGTTTTCTTTGAGCTCTTATTAGTCCATGTCTTGTAGTTGTTGGGACATGCCAATCAAAACTGCTAGGTGCTTTTTCTTTATTGGATGGTTTCTTATTGATGCTGCCAAGATTAGTTTGTCTATCGTTTAGTCTGATTATCCAGTTGAGAGTAGTAACTATCAGTGGCGTTGACCTGGTGACATTGGATGACCTCACGACAACCTGAGGGGAAGTGATTAACAGAGTCAATAGATCAGTTGTTATAAATTCGGGTTCGTAGAAGTTGATTGGTCAGTTTTGTCGTTATGTCAGTAACTGTAAGGTAGTGTTTGGCACTTGACATCGTGAATTTTTAAAAGTGTCACTGATTTAATCTTGGAGACTGAAAGCAAACAGAACTTGAGCAATCGCGTTTTCGAGACGATAGGAAAGAAACGTTTGCGTTAACTTGCAGGAATGTTTCTGTAGATGTTCAGTTTTGTACATAATTCTCTAAACTTAACGAAATAGTGAACACATCTCATTCAATTAGACCAAACAGGATTAGAACTTTGAACTTCGTAGGGACATGTCAGTTTTCATATATTCTTTTGTCAAGACTTCTATAAATGCTTTTAAGCGGAAAGTAATCTTATCGTGAAGGAGCCATAGCAATTAAGTTCAACGGTTGTGTCAGCAAAACCTTAAAAAATATTCGAGTTAAATCAGTATGAATTTTTGGTACTTCTTCAATTTTAGCATGGTCACGAAATTTAAAAGCTTGACAAATATATTTGTTTTGGGCAGAAATTAAACGAGTACCCATTTACCAGTAATATTTGCCAAATGCTTTTTTTTTTCCTGAGGAAAGTGTTACGTTTGTTGTAGTTGTTAGCGATGACATCTCTATGGAGACGGATTTGTTTCAGAAGCATGTTTGTGACTTATTGTTTTTAATGTTATTCGAACAATACAGATAAAGCGAAAGTGTTAAGTGAAGAATAAGCAATCTTGTGTGTAAGCTGTTTTTGGTCTGAATTAACTTCAAAGAGGCCAGAAATAATCAAGTCAATACCCAGTGGTGTTGATTCAGCCGATTAGTCATGTGGTCGTGTTTGAGTTTGATTCTGAACAGAGGTTCTTACCTTCTTCACAGCTCTGAGGTGAGCGGTGTTGTTTCTCTCTTCCTTGATTTCGCTTGGCTATGAAAGAAGTTTAATAGCTTTCTTATTAAGTCATTGCGTTTTTCCGGGTGCAAGTTGTTCCTGTTTTTTATCCAGTAGTATGCGAGTTGTAATGTTTAAGTTGTTTTCAATCACTTTCCGGTGTACTTGTTGTGACCTGAACGATGCCGAATTGATCGATGTTCGTCTTTTGTTCAATGGCTCAAGCTAAGAGATTGTGAACTAATTTATTTCTTTAGCTGTTCTGTAGATACAACTATGGATAGACCAAACTTGCAGAGTGTTTCCTTTTTTTTTAGCCAAAATGAAAGCATTTTCCACAAGCGCCGTACAACAGAACGCATAAAATGGAAGTTTTCACATTTTAATTCGGGAACGATCTTGTTACGTTTGTATCCTCCTTGTAAATTAAGGATAACAAATTATGTTTCATTGCGTTATTTCTCAGACTTACAACTTCATGTTTCTTCACTTTGGATCTTTTGCTATTTCATGTTTCTCTTTGTTTTTTTCAATAGCATTAATCCTAGTCAGATCACTTTGCTTAAAAAAAGCTGCAGTTTTGTGATGTAGGAGAAGAGGTGTTTTCTCCGACCGAACCCCGATCTTAAATAAACTCCAATTATTTTTAGAGACTGTTTAGAAAAGGGACGTATCCTTTTGAAATTATACTGACTGGCTTATGGAAACTCAGATGAGTGAACTGCGGAGTTCTGAGCAGGGGTAGGAGGGGAGGGGAAGGGCTGGGTATTTTTGGTACACGCATCTATCGTCACGCGTCTTTTTTTCCATAAACAATGGTATACTACCTACGTGTCATACACCTCTTCTCCTTAGCAGTCAACTGGCATCCATGTATTAAAACTAGTGATATGAATATTCAACTTTTTCTCTGCACTTCTCTTTGTTTTCATCAGAACGGTAATGACATCGATCTCAAGCCAGCGGGCAGTCGTCAGATGTTAAAACAGTCCTTTGTTGTCCATTCAGGGGATTCGATGAATGGTGATGTATTCTTCATGGAGGTAGGAATCGAATATTTCCATCTGTTTACTGGATTGAAGTGTGAAGAAATGTAATCAAACATTCTTTTCACTGATTGGTCCAATGGGTGCGCGGTGAGTGAATCTTCGCGCAAAGACCCTGGAAAAGAGGGACCTTTTTTCTTCCTCCCCGTACAACTTGTGCGTGGCCATTTATGCGCCGCCCAGATTATTCTGTTGTAAAACAAGAAAAGTGATGAAGTTTTCCATTACAGAAGTGGAGGGTACAGGTGACCTTCTGCAGTACCTTTTAGATATTCTTCTGCTTAGTTACTGATGTAGCGATATTCTGGGTCTTAAGTGAAACTCGTTCTTCCTGCGTCCTGCTAGCCAAGGTGGCCATAACCTTTTCCAGGTGTACATTTAGTTAAGACGAGCGCGGATAGAAACGGCTGAACAAAGACGAGGAAGGTTTGCGTACGGTCGGTTCTTGTTAGAGGGCTGTTACTGCTTGTTGTGAATTCAAATCAAGTTGTTTTGTATTTAGGTTTGCGACGACTGTATTCTTCTAAGAACTGGCGCGGGTGCTGTAGTGGAAAGATGGTGGTACGAGAAGCTAGTGAACATCACATACGCCCCAAAGACTAAAGTGCTTTGCCTATGGTGTCGACAAAAAGATGAGACGATCCTAAACAAGTTTTGTACAAAGAAGGTAAAGCTTTTTCGTCACGTGTGGTGGGTATGTTTTGTTGTTGTCAAAGAGGTGTATCGCGACTATCCTTGTGTGACTATCCTTGTATGACTTTCAAATGCTTCGCAAAAGCATGATTAACATACAGAGGAAGCCGAGTGGTTTCTCATGGGCTTCCTCGCCACCTTTAGCCCTTTTTTTAATGCCCGTAACTTGATAATTAAATTCATGGCAAAGCAAAAACAAATAAACTGAATAAGATGCTCACGAAAGGCGAGGTAACTGAGCAAGAGTTGGATAGATAGCGTGGCACATGACAGTTTATGGATAGATAGCGTGACACATGACAGTTTGAGACATCTTTTTTTCTTCTTTTCCTTCAACAGTGTAAAGCTTTGTATTACTGTATCAAGGAAAGTTTACAACGAGCGGCTGACAGACTCAGTGACAAGGGTACAGGTCGGTTGATTTGGTTAAAAAGTACTTCTGTGTGTATCGCTATCCAGAGTTAGCTGAAGAAGGATAACTTGGTCTAGACTTAATGGGCAAAGTAATCTGTAGACGATGTGAACAACTATTTCCTGCCTGAGCTGTGGTTTCCAATATTTACGGTTTACAAATGAAGCCTTTTCCATTCGGTAGTTGCTTCAGGAAATTTGTCTAGCAAATCAGATGTAACTAGTGTTCTGTAAAATTGATACTGAAATTAATATCAGTCAGATCTGTGTTTTGGTACAATCGCTTGGGTTAATATCTGTTTGCCGTTCGTGTGTTTTATTTTATTAACCCTTGTCGTTGTTTTAGTTGTTGTTTGTTTACAGGTGTTCTGTGTGTGATTTCGTCATGAAGCTTCCAACTTTGTGTCTTTGCGTGTTGTCTTTTCCTGTCTTGTGTGATCGCCTGCAGCTGATGTCCAAGTTGTTAACAACAATATTGTGTAAAACCCTTGTTCAAGTACCTCATCATATCGCACTGCCATTTTGTTGTTGTTTAAAACTGTTTTTGTTGGCTATTTTGTTACTGTTTACAATTGTTGTGAGTGTACTTTGTGTTCAAATTAAGGAGGCTGACTAATCGTGAGCAATTTGTTTATCTTTTTTGTTAAACTTATAGGAGTTCAACTTGGAGGGGAGTTCCCTGTAACGGTACGTGGTTTTGTAGATGACCCTTAACCCTTTAACCCTTCAGAATGACCAGCAGCTAATTTCTCCTTACAGTATCACTCTTAAATCAAACATTAACGTTATGAGAGTAACGGAAATGATCGCCAACTGAAGTAGTGAATGACTTTCAAACAAATCCTCATTTGTCAGTACCATAGAAAATGTATAGCCCGAGAACGGTGAGGAGAATATGCATACTTACGTTAGGCGAGTATAAAGGGTTAAAACCAGCACTTTTCGTGCGTTATATTTTACAAGGGCTTCCGTCATTACAAGCTATGACGGATGGAGTGCTGATCCAGCAACAATCCAGTGCAGTCAGTAACTACAGTTTTATTCATTGTTATATTTTACAGGATCTTAATACCAACGAAAGCGGTCTTCTGCAGGTCACGTTGGAAGGAATTGGTTTAAAATTTGTCAAACGACGAGTAAGTTGAGCATTGGCTTGTTTCAAGCATCTTTTATAACCTTCAATTCCGTTTTCCTTTTGTCATTCGATCCTCTGCTTATTTATTGGTGCGTATTTTCTATTACTTGATTTTTTTAAGGTACATATTGATCTGTGCCACATAAGGAATTGTTCCACGCAAAGAAGCGTGTTCCTTTTGGAGGAGTTTGGTGAGTAATGCGCTAAGTCACGTTTGTCCACATAATTAGAGAGAGCTTTGTTTGAGAGAATGTAATATACCGGATGGATGAGGTTTTTTAGGATACATCTTTGCTTTCGCAATCGTAAAATTCAGTAATTTGCACTGATCTTTAGTATGTAGAGAAATAAAACCGATGTATTATGGTAAAGAAGAATCTCCTTGACTTGAATCGAACGCAAAATTGTCTCCCTTGAGGAACAATTTGCATGTTGTTCACTGTTAATTATCACGAAACCCCACCCTAACCCCTGTATCTCGAAGTACTTTTCCTTCTCCGCGGCAGTTATACAGAGTTATACCGTATATGAAAGATACTTTCTCTAATAAAAACATTAACCTTGCGTATTATAGTGCCGGCAACTCAAGGAACAATTCAGCACAGATTTGGTTCCCCAGTGGTACGTAATTAACTATTACTTTTCTTTCTAATTTACCATGTATATTTGGCTGAATTACGCCTACATTTCGACTGGTTCTTACTTACGATCTATTTAAGGATAGACAAATAGATGACGTCTTCGTTAAATATTTTTTCCTTTTTTACACAAATAGATTCCATGTTGCCGCAGGTATGGACGGCAATATTTAATCCATTTGTTTAATAGATCTGTAAGTTTACGTAATTCCTCGGTTATTAAAAAATACTAAACCTATTGTCTGAATTTGTTCCAGTGTAATCAAATCTGTTACGCCGTATTGTGTCTGTTCTCCTATGTGGCTGCATCGCGTAACTCAAACAACACTGGCTGAAGAACCACGTCACATCGTTGTGCATGCGTATCAAACATTGTAAAGGACAGCCTGGACACTAGTTTCGACCCAGTGCCTTCAATACCTAAGAAATCCAGCGAAGATAACCCTTTACATTACTTTCAAGACAAAAAAGTTCGCGGAAATTCTCCAGAGATTTGTGAACCGTCTGCATGTAGAATATGATAGATAGACTATCATCTTGCCCATACCTCTGTTGTTTGTAATTCATTTGGCAAAGCATTTGTAATTTTATCTGCTGGTAGTTTTATTTGCTAGAGTGTTCGACGCCTAGAGAGAGGTACACCACCCCCATTCACAAGGACGTACAGATTTTAAATACCGCAATGGGAAAAAATACTCTTATTTGAAAATCCGATAAGGACGACATTAACGGAGGCAAATGGCGAGTGTTTCCAGCCTCTTCTCAGAAGGGTGTGATGACCTCTCCAATAAGTGTCTTAATTTTAATTATTGCAAATAATCAACAGATTTTAAACAGGTTATAATCTCTTGAATTAATTGAATCTTTGAAAACGAACTTACTATGTTTCTCTCAATGTCAGTTGTCAAGTAAGCAACATTTGCGCAATCTTGGCTCGTTCTGCGGACCTCCAAAGAAGCCTTTAAAAGCAAAGCAAAGCTGATAATTTTAGAAACTTACCTAAGAAAAATGTGTCTTTGACTGTCCGAGTTGCTGCTTAAGGGAGGGGGGGTCAGGGGGGAGGGTAGGAAGGAGCTACTCTAAGGTGGAAGTTCTTCCCTAAGATTAAGTACCCGGGGATTACTAAGCAATATCAATTATAATTGTTTAAGCAGCATAACAAGGATTTTAGCAAATACTAAAATATCTATTTATTTATTGTAAGTATTGCCAAGGTGAGGGAGCTGCGCGAATTAAGTTGATAATAATACATCTAATTTAACTTAATATAATGAAGCTAAGTTATGAATAAAATATCGCATCCACGTTCATTCATCATGATGAGTGCAAAATGCTCAGGAGAATTCTTGTAAACTAAATGTACTCAGAACCGAAGGATCTGTTAATAAATGGAGCATTTTGTAAGTGTGTGGCAGTGTGATTCAAGAATTTCGCCCTAGTCATCAGATTTATTCACCAAGAAACAGAGACATCGGTAAAATGTGTTTTCAGAACTCTACGTCGCCCAAACTCGCGCCCAAAGTGGTGCATTACTAAAATGCGTTTCAGAACGTTGCGGAACGGAACTTTCTTATAAGAAAGTATCTACAAGGGAAATTCAGGCACTCGAATGGGTTCTCGGAGTACCTTTGCAACAAGGAATATGAAAACAAAAGACGATCAAGCCGTGGTTCATCTGAGAGGCGATTTTATTTATGTTCTACCCTGTGAATATTGTGTGTTTTTGCGAGGTACTCGGATGTTTATGTCAATAGCAACTGATTAATCCATTGTCCTTTCGTGATCTTTGTTGGCCCTGTCCACGCTGAGCTAACGCTATTAAGACCCATAACGAACGATTTATTTCAATCAGCAACTCTCTTGTCGAGGTGATGTTTATTTTGACTGAGGTCGTCGTCCACTGTTCAAACCATGAATTTCACTTAACACTGACCAGCTGATCATTTTCAATATGGAAATGACAATCATGTAATTTTGGAAGCGTAAGATTTTTTTTGGAAGTCATTGAAAATTAAAAGTTTTGTGCTAGTTGAGAATATTCTTTGAACCTTTTCTACAGCCGGAAATGGTAGAGAATTGCCGGGAAAGTTTTCAATAGCCTGCCTTTTTTGTGTAATTTAGAAATTTGAATGGAGATTACTGTTGAAGAATAATATAGCAAACCCGCAGAGTGTTGTGGATTCGTTTTTCCACCACCTGTCTGTGCAAGCCGCCTAATAACCGACCATCTGTCAAATGGAAAGTAATGTAAGCGGAGAGAACTGTCAACAGCCTTTAGACACGAGGTGTTTTGATTGGTGGAAAGATCAACCGATATTAAAATCAAGCGATTGTCAATCAAACCTTCTGTTGATTTCCACTCTGATAAGGAGAAGAAAATTTATGCAAGTTCGAGGCGAAAGAAAGAAAACATTTACTAAATGCAATCTTAATCTTAGCTGGGAGGTGCCTGTATGGTTCAACAGTGACACAGAGAGGTTGCGTTTGTGGTATTTATAGTTAGTTGAGAGGTAAAATATGAGAAATTATTTGCCTTCTGAAGTACGATTGGGGGAGAGAAAGATTACCTCTATCTCATATCATATTTTTTTTTGTCTTCAAGGTTCAAAAAAGATCCGTCTAAAAATGGCGGAGCTAAACTGTGGCATGAAGTGTTTAAAGTTTATGCTGTGCGTTTTCAATCTATTTTTTTGGGTAAGTTGGACATTCGATTTTCTTGGCGTTTTGCTATTTAGATGGATTCGCCTTTTTGTCTTAGTAATAGGCGCTTTTCCATTCATTTTGAGGCTTGAACAAAAACAAGCTTTCGGCTTTTTGATCGCTGTATGCGGCACTAACCATTCATTAATGTTTAAGCGCGGTGTCACTCGAGCTAAATTTTTAAGGCTCACATTTAATTGAGATAAAAATTTACTCGTGGGGAAACGGAGATCTTTGCCGTAGCGCTTACTCTAAATAAAAACATCAAGGTCGAGCCCTGCTAGAAGCTCTCAAACTCCCGATTCATTCGACAGGAAAATTTATTTTCGATGTTGTGATTTCTTAGACTGATTGTACAGTGACTGTTCAGCTGTAATCATAAATATTATCTTTTCCTACGCTTTAATTCAGAACTGCAAAAATGACAAAAACATATGGGTAATGTTGCGTGGCTTCTACGCCTACCTTGGAAAAAAATTATCAGCGAATTTAAGGCTTAAAACGTAGATCATACCAAGAAAATTTGCAAATTCATAATCTTAAAGCACATAAATTGTTCTTGTGTTTTAACTCATCAAAAATGATTACTACCGATCACTTTTTTGTTGCAACAAAAATATACTAGTTTTTTAAACCGCCATATTGGACTGTGGCTTCCTTCTTCACAGAAAAAAAGGAAAGACAAAGACTTAGATAACGACATACGTTTCAATTTCCGGCTATGAATACACTTAAGTTTTTGGTGAATGCGAAAAATGCTGATTTAATGGTGACCAATTCCATTTTGCTCGTTCAAAAAAATATCCCTTTCTCCTGGCAGTTGCGCCTCAAAGACGCTTTCAAACGCCCATTCAAATCTGTAAAATGCGCGAACGAGCGCAGAAGAGAAAGTTCGAGAAAGCCTCCGCGCTTCTTAATTGAGAAAAGGAAAACACAGGCAAGCAGGTTCGCGAGCAGAGCGAAAAATATCCAACAAGGGAGAATATTTTTTACATCTTACGGCTTCAGCAGTTGCATGTTGTTATGTACATTGACAACCTGATGTATATTAGAAGCTGGTGTAGTTCATATACGGCGAACGGTTAAAATTTTCCAATTAAGTGACAAGCTAAAAGAGTTGGTCACCAGGACAGCGAAGTACTTTAAGAAAAATTTTAACTCGAACAACACTTAAGGTAAATATGCCCCTTTTATGAACGAATTGTTTTAAGAGTATCCATGACTGAAATTATCCTTTGTATGTTCTAGAAATGTTTCAACTATGACGAGCTCTATATCTTTCACGGGTCCAGCAACTTTTGCATTTACATCGCGAATTCACTTCTGAAGAAGTTGACTTCAATTTTATATTTTGTGTGAATGATAACACATACACAGCAATAGAGAGTGCATGGCTACGGTTCAGTTGATAAGCTAAACTACGGAGATGAATATTTTCAGTATAATCAGATATTCGAACCATATTCGATTAGTGTTTGAGAAAATGAGCGATAACTTGTCCCAAACAAACCCGATATTTTTTAAGTAAATTCAATTTGAAGTTATCGCGAATAAACGCGTTCTTTGACGAGGTCTCTCATTGTTATATCTCTATATCTCAGATTAAGTACAGAGCGAAAGATTTTATGTTCATTACTTATTTGGTTTCCATAGTTATATTTCCAATTCCAGATAGATTGACATATCCGATAATTCAATTCTCGAATGCAAAACGAAGAGTTTCTTTTGTTCAAATTTCGAGGACCTAGCGTCTCTAAGAATGAAAACCTCCACACCAGAAGTGGTGAGCTGAAATCAATTTCAGCGACTTTGTTCCCTCTTTGTAGTCAATGTTTTACCAATGATTAAGGACGTCAGAGTGTCTTCACATGACCTGTTGATGTTCGATCGCCATGGAAAAATTTCAAGTTCTAGCCCGAGAGGATTAAGCTTTAACCTTCTACTATACTCTTCTCTCTGTACATTTCCTCTGCGTTACTTACAAGTAGAAATTGTCCAACAATCAAGAGCTTCTTTACTTGGTTACCATTTCCTGTTTACTCACGACCTTAATGTGTGATTCAGGGGTTATATTATGAGAAGAAACTAGGTACTAGTCACTCTTACGGTTCAGCGGTTGTTTGATCAAACGATGACACAGAAGTTTTGATGATAGCCATGGACGAACGTTTGTGATTTGATCACAGTCGGCCAAACGACTCGGAAGACCGACTTTCATATCACCATTTATCGCTGAGTTTAATTTTATCTCCAGGCCGCCGGCATTGCAACGATGGCCGTGGGGATCTTTGTCAGAGTTAGCGCCAATAACTACTCGGCTTTGATGGAAGAAGGGGATTTTAAGACCGCCGCGAACATTCTGATAGCCGCAGGGGCCCTGGTGATGATAATCGGAGGAATTGGCTGTTGCGCTGTGGTGAAGGAAAACAAATGGCTGTTACTTCTGGTAAGATTTTAGTGACTTCAAGATTCTTATCTCATATCGCATTTTGCGGCTAGAGAAACAAGAACCGTCTGAAGTAGTCCACATTTCCACTTTACGGAAATCTTTGCCAAAAATAAATACATTTAGGACAGACATCTTCGGCAGATGTAATGTCTAAAGTAAAAATATTACTCCAATTAGGAAATTCCACAGTTTTCTTTTAAAGGATAAGTGGTTCTTGCTATGGTTATTGTGATCAATTCTGATCACAATAATCAATTGATGGATTTAGCTGAGTGGACTTAGTATGATTGGTTGCTTCAACCGTCCGATTACAGGTGTGCAGAACAACTAGTGAAAAATAAAGAAGTTAATGCACCAATCGCATTTGAGGAAATTGTAATGTTTATCATTAATACATTAATATGCAGGATCGGTTAGTACTCGGTGTAAAATATGGTTTTGTTCGCTCCACTCCAGCTCTGCTTGAAATTCCTTAGTTTTGTACTGTGTGCAAATCACTTTCGGACAAAGTAAGGTCTAGGTATGCAAGTATTTTTCTCAATCTCCTAATTGGAGAGCAAGCTAATTACGCGGGGAAAAAAACTCTCCTGTTCCCGTATCATGTTAATTTCATATTAGATCCCAGTCCCACACTCACTCATTTTTCCCGCTACCAATGTAGTATTCTTTCCTGGTGCTCATGATCTTCATTTTGGAGATTGCCTCCGGAATCATGGCCTACGCAAAGAGAGACAAGGTAAATACATAAGTAATAAATTACGTATGATCTGCATTCAATAGGGGCTGTCTGCGGCAAAGGGCAAAACTTCTGGAACTTGCCAACTGCTTCAAGCCGTTTTTCAAACTTAGGTGAAAATACCTATTTTAACGAGGAATTTTTAGCCATTTTTTCTACAACGTTCACGTAGGGACTCTACGATCATTCAGTAGGCTTAGATTTCATTTTTACGATTTTCTGTTGACGTAAATGTCGTGGTTAAACTTACTTATGTTTAAGACTTCTGACGAAGCAACTTTCACGTCAGTGTTGGGCACACGATATGAACTGAGAGTGGAGCTAATCAGACAACATGGATACAGAAAAACCTCAGTACTCTAGAAAAAAAAATGCACTGGCTAACGCTCTTTACGGGAAACTGGGGGTATATTTTTTCGATCGGGCCAGGTTCCAAAGCTGTCAAAAGTAATATCCCATGGAGGTTTCGACAGATGCTTCCTCCCCTACTCTCCGTGGCCATATTTTAAATTCACACTTCGTGACAATATTTCTTTTAAGGTCATTAACAAGATTGAAGATGCGGTGTCTAAAGCAATCACAAACGACTACGGACAGGAGGACAAGAAGAGGTTCACTGAAGCCATCGACAAAGCTCAACAACAGGTGAGAAATTTATTTCAACCGATCTTTTTTTGTTAAAGGATCACTGTCTTTCAATGGCATGAGCCAGTATTCCTTCCTATTGAAAACAGGTTTGTGGCACTAATAGATTGAATCCACAAGCCACGTTCAGAGTTTTGTTAAAATGTCATAAAACAATAAGGAATGGATGACTATTGCACATGGACTTACAGCGAACAAGTCGACTGCCTGACGCGCAGTCGACTTCGTTTGGGTTTTGTTTCTGATTGGTTAAGGGTGGCGCGAGTTTTCTAGACCAATCAAAAAGGAAAGTAGAGTGTCATTAAAGCAATAACAGATATACTTTTGACAGTAAACTCGATATCACTCTAGGTGTCTCTTACATGTTGAGGTTTTGTTTCCACTTATCAACAGTTGATGTGTTGTGGTGTTTCGTCTGGGGCTGACTGGAAGAATTCCGCGTGGTATAAGAAAAGCGACAAATCAGAATCAGTCCCTGAATCGTGCTGCAAGAAAATGACTGATGGCTGTAGTAAAGGAAATTCCTCAAACATCTATCAAGAGGTAAGTGCTGAGGATTTTATCATATTATATACAGATCAGTTGCCAGGACTTAAATCGAACCCAGTTTTTTTATTTTTACTTCCCATCATACTAGCTAATCTGAAATTCTCAAAGGTCACTGTGAAGTTGAGCCCGCATTACAATTTGTAGCATATGAGGAGTACATCATACATGTATTTGGATCTTTGTTCCTCTCTTGACTACCGATGTAAATTTTCTGGGCTTAATGTGCTGCCATATTATGTTAAGCACTTTCTTCCGCTTGCGCACAGGCGCACAACAGTCCCCGAGCTATGAACAACGCCTTGATTTAAAGAACAGTGTTATGTATGTTCAAGCTTCTATTCACGACACACCTTAACATTTTTTCATATCTCTCAAATTGTTTCAAGTCATCTTATTTTAATTAAGCTTTAGCTGGTTATGCTACAAAATCAGACGGTGAAAGACATCGAAGAAGACGATTCACGCTTGATTTGTCGTATCTTCATTTATCACCTTTAACTTGCAACAGCTAAGAGTGCGAACCAACAGCACTTTTTACAAAAAGGGGCCTTGCTTTACTTTGAACACAAATATCTCGCTAATTTCAAGCGAGCGAAGGCTGTTAGTACAAACAAGACATTATTCAAATTCAATAACTCTCTTTTTATACTATCATTTTTTTGTTTCAAGGGTTGCTCCCAAGCACTTCAAGATTTCGTCAAAAGTAAAATGGCTGTCGTTGGTGGAATAGGTGTTGGAATCGCTATTTTGCAGGTAGGGTTGTTATGATTTTTAAGTCTATTGCAAAGCGTTGCTTGAGGGTCTCGACACAACTCACAGAGCTTCTAATGCAACAGATGAGTGGAACACGTTGATTTATGTAAACCTGATGAAGATCAATTGGTAAAAAAACGACTCAAAAACGAGGTTCTCCGTTTGTAGAGCATCTAACCGCGCGAAAACGGGGAACTAGAAGGTGTGAGGCTGAGGTCCCCGCGGTAGAAGCACATGTTTTCCTACGCTCCTAAAACATGATCGATTTCTTCAATTTTGTTTTTAAATTTGATGAGAAAGCTTTTGAATTTTCCCTTTATTGCCTGTGGTATGTCATTTACCACTTCCGACCTGCAGTGGCTCACAGCCACTTTAAATTTCTCACTCTAGGATTTCTTTATCTCGTATTTATTTCCAGTATAATCGATCCTCAAACGGAATTTTTTTCTCTATAGATTCTCGGTGTTGTATTCGCCATCTGCCTGTTCCGATCCATTGGTTATGAAAAGATATGATTGAAAGTTTGTCCAGGATGGGTAACTTGTTGACAGGGGAAAATTGTGTGTTGGATTTAAAAGCATAGGGAAAGTTATTTTTTCGTGGAAGAATGGCACATCAATCACAAATTATATTAGTTCTTAAGACTATTATAAGTTACTTTAGTTTCAGTTGTCATTCGTGAGTTTCAATTTCGAAAGTGAGAATTCACCGTTCTTGAAATATTTAGAAATCATCTGATTTTTAAGCTTAGCAATTCTTTAGGTTTTCAACAGTCTTCTGGCTCAAGTTGTTCAAAGGCAGGATAAAATTAACCATCAAGGTCCAGTTGTCCAAAAAGACGGCTAATGCCATCCAACTGATAAATCGCTACCCAGCAGTTAGGTGTAAGGAAACATATTGCGCTATTTACTGGATGGAGATTTGTCCAGTATATTTGAGCTACCGGGGCAAAAAATTTCGGCAACGGATTAGTGTCCTCATCATACAAACTACTCTCTCTACAAGGTAGCAATTTATCTGCTGGAGAACGTGATCCATCCTTTAGACAGTTTGAGCCAAAAATTTCGAGCACGGAAATTTTCATTTTAACCAACAAACTTACATTTGAGTTTATTAATGCTAACTCTGAGCTGTAAATGTATCTCGTCATGCTTCTATCTAAAAAGTAATTTCATTTAGCGTTGTAGGATCACTAGCTTATTGCTGATTGAGAATATTCAATCTAAACGCCCTTAAACTTTGGGGGCCAACTGTCTAAAGGATATGATGCCGCCAAATTTTTGAAATAAATTAGAGATTGATGCTCATTGTGCAATGTCTATATAATTTTCTAAATTATAGGTACTTTTTATTCGTCTATACTTCAACTTAATAGTAACGACTAACGGAATGTTGCTCTGTTTACACCTCGATCTTAATTTTGGTTGATAAGATATGTTAATCACTCAAAACCATTTTTCCACCCATTTCCAAATCCGGGTGCCGGTTACCTGCATATGGTCAAATATAAGCCATTATGTTCATAAAAGGAGCCATTGTAGCAGCAGCGGAGCGAAAAAATAAAATGGAAGCTGGTTGGATCGGTTCGCGACCCGACCTAAGCGTCGCTCATTTTTTCGCTCGGCCGCTTCTATCGCGCCATTTGTTAGCGCGTTAAGCGCGCTTCGTTTACTGACTGAACGTCAGGCTCCAGGATTCATTCTCTGCTCCTTCTCAGTCACCGTTTGGATCCGTCACGCAACTATCATGCGTGACACGGCCGAATAAAGGCTGGAAAGTAGTACCACTTTTAAGAGAAAAATATGTACTTGCGAAACATCTAGCGAGCGATATTTTCGTGACCGAGAAAGTTGTCATTTCCATTGATGGAAACATTTCTTTTGGTTCTAACTGCTGTGTACCTTGAATAATGTGTCCCAACATAAAAGTACCTCATCTTTCGGGAATGGAAGCGGAAGCATTTGACTTTCGGGATTCATGATTGCTGCATTTTGAGTCGAACAACTCATGATTCAATCGTTTTCAAATATTCATGATTCTTTGTTAAATCTCATAATGCATGATTCCAAAGGTTTTAGCACGAAAATGTCTCGACTCCTACTAATTCAACCGTCATTATTCATGATTCATGACTCCCGCCGCTTCCAGCCCTGATCTTCTCCATAAACAATTTTCGAGATCTTTGTAGGAGAACCTCTAGTATACATGGCAGTACCTGAATAAAGAGTACACTAATGACAAGTTGAGATCTAAGTATTATTTCCGTCACCTTTGTGTTAGTGCGTCTCGGGTTTGTCTGAGGCATGAAAAGAGAACTTTGTTACTTTTGTACAATATTCCCCTATTATTATATGGAAAGGCAGTCCTAAGGTACATCTGACCGTTCTGATTGGTTATAACTTGGTAGGCATCTTGCCTCACGGGCCGTTTCCGCGGACACAGTCATTAGCCATGAATGTTTGTTCGCGAAAGCCGCAAATTCAAAATAGTCAAGTTTGGTCCAAGTGCCACATACTAAACTACTTTCTAACCTCGCTTGCTCCTGCCCTACTGGGCAATATTGGCCCTTGCATGTTCGTTTTTGCCACGACCTCGGGCCAATATTATTCCCCAGTGCTCGAAGTGATCTAATAATTCAGCAGTGAAGAAAATATTACTAGATTGACAGATGCTAACCTTCGCGCGTGTTTGTGTTAGAAATAACTTTTCGCGGACGCTCTATTACAGCACTCCCGCTCCAAATCGGAGATAAAAAGCGAGCTGAATTTGTAAAAATTTTTCGGGGCCATACTAGAGGAAGATCCGACTAAATGAAAACTTCACATTTAGGTAATGGTGGTTAAAGTCGGTAGCAGTTTATCAGTATTATCAGGGTATGTGCACACTATCAAGTGGCCAACCGCCTGAGCAACTTGATTTTGCATTTAGAGGCGTCATACTTTCTCTGTTTTCCAGGTTCAGCCTTTTATTCTAAAACCCCGATCTTCTCGACAGATCTCTTGATTGTGCAGAAAAGTTAAAGTATTGATACAGGCCCCTTGATATTAGTGAAGGACTTCCACGAAAAGAATCAGTAAATGCTCCTACAGGACCACTGCATTACTTCAGTACTACCTCCTAACCGAATACATCAAACTCGTGAGGGAGGTGATAACTTCCTTCTACCGCTTGTGAGTCCAGGGCCTTTTAAGTGAGATTTGCGCCAAATTTGCGTTCTTTTTGCAGAACGAAATTTGATCTTTTCAAGAAAAAACAGATGGTAGCAAATACACTCAATCACCATCAAAACAAATTAGTTTAATATATAGCCTGAAAAATATAACTATCACACAGAGAGAAAAATAAAATTACCCTGAAAAGCAAACAGGGAAAAAAGTCTTCTCATTCTGAAGCATTGGTATCAAATCTACATAAACACACACCCAAAAACACGTGCACGTGAGCTTAAACTTTAACAGGTAGAAACCCACCACAATTGGTGGAAAATTGTATCTTGATTTATGGAGAACTTTTCCGTTGCAAACAATGCGTACGCATTAAAGCTGATCCCATATAATGGACAGTAATTGTTTGCATTTTAACAAGTTCTGACGTTTGCTCAGCCATCAACAAAATTAAAGAGACGAACTTGAGGGTTGAACCCCCTCAAGATGGCTGATTTCTAACCCTACCTACTCTAACGAAAAATGGCGAAGTTTACCTCTCCAAAACTTTGGTCTAGAAGGAGGAAGCTTTCGTATTAAACACAAATAAAAAGTGGACAAAGAAATTGTTAAAATTCCTACTGGTTTTGATCAATTCTTAGCCTTAAGTTCATTTTCAAAATTACGCGACTTCATTCCTTCCTTGGCTCCGAGTAATCCTGTGATTTCTGGAGGCAAATTTCAGGTTCAGTATTCCGTAGGTCAGGCCAGTCTTGGCTATTCCGTTTGCCCTCCACACTATGTCGTACTCCATAAGTCAAATAGATCATCAAACCTATGTAAAACAGGATATCTTCAGTTCAACGCAACTTCTTAATTCCTATGTTCTGATGCGTCATTTCTCCCTCTTAAGTGTTCTATGCTTCCTTTTATTTTATGTCGAGACAACTCTTTTAGGTTTAAAAGTTTCTTTCTTATCATCACCTGATTACTGGAGAATAAAGTAGTCTAAGGAAAATTTACATTCTGATGACATCTGGGAGTAAGGAGGGTTGCTATAGATATTTGCCGAGAAATTAAATTGTTCAGTCATGTTTTATAACAAAATAAATTGTAAACTTACCAATTACCAACCAAACTGCGAATCGAAACCAAGTCAGGTAAGAGAGCTGGGAGATCAACAACAGGTTGACAAAAGTTGACAGCAAAGGAATCACGGGAACGCCAGGCACTTTGAAAGCTAGAGGGGTATTATTCTGGGGCAGCTGCGTGAGAAGAACTGCTGAACCAACAAGTGTAAATCCTATCAGGATTATTAGTATTATAGCCCACCACTGGGCTTTTTCTAAGGCAGATGAGCCCCATCTCAGGATTACAACGAGGGCTATGCAAGCAAAAGTGTTGACACCAATAGCAAAACGTGCTTTGCTATTGGTGGTCGCGGTAGGTTGAGAAGCGTTGTTTGTTGTAATCAAAGGCGATTCTTCCCCTGGGGTGTCATCCTTATCAGCCTCAGAAGCGACGCCATCGTCTCTCGCGCTTGATAGCTTGGTAAGGCCAACGACATCTGGCTGATATCGCAAAACCAACACGCACAAAGCAACAAGAGTATATGCCAGGAGTGTTCCAATTGACAGCATTTCCGCTAACTGGTATATGTCAAAGATAAAAGCCAGAAGGGAACAAAACACGGAAGTCATTATGGTTGCGTTTTGGGGGACTTCTGTTCTTTGATTCACCTTTCCGAGAAATCTAGAAAAATAACACTCTCATTAATTTTCTCACGCATTTCGTAAGCCGAGGGCGCCCCTTCCCATTCTTGAATACGCTTCTGTTTAAAGTGCAGCTGCTTGCCAGCATGCAATTGAATTGAAGAAACGGAGAAAGAGGGGTAGGGAAAGGGAAAGGGATGTATGTGGGAATGAGGCAGCCACTCAAGCAAAAACTAAACAGAACATACAATGCTCTATTGTTCTCCACCTTTCCATGAAACTCATTTTTGTTGGCATCTTTTGATTCCAATTGCCAGGTCCCTATTCGCAAAAAATTTCAGGAAAAAGCGACACTATGAAGCATTGTCAGCCACGACTAAAAGCGCGTAGAAGCTTATATAAATGTGTGATTAGCTTTTCTTCCACTCTAAAATCGACAACTTCCATCAGAAGGCGATAAGATTCTTGTACATTAAAAACGAAATGGTGCAGAAAGAAGAAGTGAGGACGTTCGAGACGTTGATTTCGTTAGAGTTTGCATTCCTCAACCATTCGAGATCAATGAAAAAAGCTGAACCTACATTACTACCTATATAATTACTTACTCGAATAAGAGGCCGTCGTTTGCAATAGCGTACACCATTCTGGATAATGCCACTAGGCATCCCAGCATGGACGTGATCAGTCCACAAATAGCTCCGATACTGATCATGTATTTGGCCCACGGTGCACCTTTCCATTCGAACACTGTAGAAAATGCTGCCCTCTCGGGAAGGGTCGCGTAGGGCCACGCTAACGTCAGTGCAGCGGAAGCCCCAAAATACGCCATAAAAGCGATTACTTTAGAGGATAAAGGTTTAGTGAAATATAACTATTAGTAAAAATAAGAATAGTTAATCATATTTTTCATCGTAAAATAAAGGACTGATTCCACGTATTGTTCAACTTCTTGAAACACTAGTGATATTAATCCTTAACTCTACATGGAAACATGCAATTACTTGTTTATAATATTGAAGAACAAAATTTCTTTCACTGAGAAGGTAAAAAACGTTGCACAATTTCGTAGGAAGCCATTTCAGTATTCAGTTAGCGTCAACGTACTGTAAAACGCACGAATCAGCCGGGTAAAATTTCATTTTTGTACCAAAATGCCAAAGCAATGAAACTAGCCCTGATAAAAAAAAAAAAAAAAACATTCACCGTCAGTGAAGTTGTTTTAAGAACACGTTATGGTAAAGTTAAGCCTTTTTTGACTTTTTCAGTATTTTTAATTTCAAGCAATTTTGCACGGGGCAATCAAAAATATTAAGCGGAAAATGCTCATTGTCTTAGTCAATAAGCATTTAGTAATTTCACCCTCTATGTTAGAGAGTCAGTTATTTACAAACCTTGGGTGATTTTTCTCCTTTCAGGGTGTTCCTTCCAAATATTCCAATGAATCTGGAATATTTGGAAGGATCGCATGCCGGGCTCGTACGTCAAAATATCCAAACAGAGAATATTCACTGATATTCTCTTGATCTAAAGGGAAACCTCAAAAGTCATATTTCACAGCTTGGAAGTAAATTTGATCGAAAATTAGATACTTTGTACCAGCTAGATTTTTCTGGTGGGTATAACAATGCTCAGCTTTTGCCGCTGTTTTCAGTTTTCTTTCGAGGGTTTTCTTAAATCTTTCGGAAGGTGACGTTATTAATATATTTTGATTGTTGAAAGGTGAAACGTATGACAATGTTTGATTTTAACTCTGAGCAAAGTTTGACGCCCACTGAATTCATTTTGTCTAGGGTGCTCTCTGTTTTCGCAGCTCATTTTTGAAAAAACCGCGATTAACCGTGTCTTTACCTGCCACGATTTCCTCCAAATTCAGAGTTCAAAATGATATTGAGAGAGCGTCACGCAAGTTAGGCCAGGGGAAAATACGATTCCGTGCGTGACAGTTAATCTGGACTTCGCCCTAAAACAACTATCACGCGCTCGAAATCCCTTGATCATGATTTCACAGGCGGCTTAAGCTCACGTCTCGAGAAAAAGCCAACGATTAATCCATGAACGCTTCACGCGTTATGACACAACACGTGACGCGTTCATGAATTAATCGTTGGCTTTTTCTCGAGACGTGAGCTTGGGCTGCCTGTGATAATTCATGTTATAAATAAGACTGAATGAAGCACAGTTCACCGTGGAAAACGGTGAGTAATAACAAGTGGGGCAAAACTACGATTTTGATTTAAGGGTGGTCATGATTGCCCACGAAGACCTGATTCCAATCAAGCGCTAGAAACTTAGTGCAGGAATATTTGATGAAATCATCACATTAGTAGGTCAGGTAGGCCTAGAGTTGCATAGCACATGACCTAGTTTTTACAATTTTTGAGTTGATGACTGAAAACTGAAATGAAGACCCAAATTTATTCTGGTTAAACTTTGAAACCAATTTCAGAGCGATCGCAGATATTTTTACAAAGACCAAACCGTTGGCCTGATCGTGTTTGACTAAAAACGACACTATGACGTAACAGACTGGGAGTCATGTGTATCCGGAGTAAAAGTTGACCAATATCATTTTTATGGCATTGGAATGTTTACACAAGTGGCTCAAGAGAATATAACTGACTAACATTATAGTCCTTTTGGTAAGAGTGCCTGCACTAAACAGGAGCCAAACTATTTTTCCTGATCATATTTGTTTGGAGTGGTCCTAATCCTTTAACCCCTAAGAGTGATAAGCATCATATTTCTCCCCACAGTATCACCTCTGAATCAATCATTAAGGTCACGAAAATAAATGAAATTATCGCGAACTCAAGAAGCTTGTAGCTTTCGCTTTTAATCCGTGTGTAGCGTTACAAGATAACGTACAAGAAAAAAGGGAAATCGCAGTAACGATCACAATCGCGTTAAAGGACTGTTTTGCAAACCAAAATAGCTACACTGAAGGTAAAACTCTCTCCAAAAATGTTAAAGCACGTGCAAAACTCCTGGTGATTGTCACGTGACATTTAATGTAACGTAAAACCGGAAATGAAACTAAAACGGAAATGAAACGGTAGCCACAAAGCTCGCGATTGTTAGACGAATACTCCTAGTAAGTACTAAATGAAATGTATGAAGAACAGTATGGAAAACTTGCAAACTGATGTTAAGGAGTAAAGGGCTAAGTTAAAACTTGAGAAAAATAAATGCGAAAGTCGCAAAATGGTTATTGCTGGTTACCCGATGTCAAGACAGTGGAGATCGGGATTGCTCAATTTTGGCTATGACTAATTTTTTGGTAATATTTGTTTCGTGTGTCTTTATCTAAATACTCTAGAAACGAAAGTGTGATAGTCGCGAAACAGTTACTGCTACTTACCCAATGTCAAAACAATAGAGATGGGGATCGTTCTTCCAGGATTTCTTACTTCCTCTGCGGTTGTCGCAATGACATCAAATCCAACGAAAGCATAGAATAACGTGCCTGCACCGGTCAAAATCCCTGAAGCTCCGTACGGGGCGAAATCATCCGTCCAGTTCTTAATATCGGCATAATACAAACCAGCAAACACAATGACGATGATCGGGAGCATGGTAAGCACTGTGACCAGTGTATTGAACCTGGATGTTTCCTTCATACCGATGAGTGAAATCAGCGCAATTCCAAATATTAAGACAACCGAAAGTAAGTCAGGATATTGTGCGAAACCCTTGACATGTATTTCACCAATTGCAGAGATTGTCAAATTCTTGATGCGGTCGTCAAACAGAGCATCCAAATATGAACTGGTCGCCTTGGCTACTGAGGAAAGTCCTATGCTGTATTCCAAAATCAAATCCCAGCCTATGATAAAGGCGCAGAGTTCACCCATGATTGAGTAGCTGTAAGCGTAAACCGAGCCTGCCTTAGGCACACGGCAACCAAACTCTGCGTAGCACAAACCAGCTAGGACTGAGGCAGAAGCGGCGATGAAGTACGAAACTACCACACTTGGGCCAGTGAACTTGCGGGCAATTTCAGGGGTTAAAACGTACAACCCAGCTCCTATGGTAATCCCGACTCCGAGAAGAGTCAAGTCAAAGATGCCGAGACAACGGTTCAATTGAGTCACCATCATGGTTTTCGGATCGCGGAATTTTTTTCGAGAAAAGGTTTCGCGCCAGGATGCCATGGACACTGATTGTCACTGTGTTCCCCGATCTGAAGTTTAAAAATAGCAATTAACGCCTGAATCACCAAGGAAAACTTTCAAAGTGTTTCTTTTTATAACTTTATCAATACACGGTTCAATGATATTTTGTGAATCGAGATATTTCTTCCCGAGCTGTAATTCGTGTCTCGCAAGGGGCAACTTTAAATTACTTACATCAGTTTTAAGAACCGCTCCCGTCTTGATCTCTTTCGCGAAACTGTAGCCGAGCCCTGATTTCTTTTTGCAAGGATCAGGAGGAAGTCCTAGGGATTTGTTTTTTCCGTAAAGTATAGAGGGTTATGTCCTAAACTGTTGAATTGTATCGTGTGATTTAACTTAAGTTAACATGGGTAACGTAAGCTTACATGTGACATGATTTGAGCAAGTCATAAGATCGCCGTAAGGCAAATTATTTTCCGGGAAATTTACTTCACAAATATATCACAAGGACAATTTCCTGATCGTTGGCAAATTTAGTCACTGAACCTCGACCGCAATAATATATTTTCGTGTTGATTGTTGGTTAGGAGGGTTAAAATTTATTTAAATTGGTCAACTTCTTCCTTGATGACATCTTTCTTGATGTTGCTGTACGTCTGTTCAGTTAACCCTTCAACCCCTAATCTAATTTCTTCCTACAATTTCACCTCTGAATAGGTAATCACATGATTTCGATTGCAATTTGGAATAAATAACTCGAATAAATTTTTTCAGACTAACAAAATTGCACTCGCCCTACAGGCTCGTGCAATTTTTGGTCCTTGAAAAAATTAACAAATGCTTATTTATTCCAAACTGCACGAGAAAAATCATGTGATTACGTATTAATAATGTACATGAAAAAATACGAGATAGCTTGTCATAATTATGCAGAAGCAAAGCGCGCGCATTAAGTGCAAAAATAATTTATTGAAACCTGTGCATTCGGTCAGAACAACCGCGTACGATCAAAACAGCAATATACAAAGAAATGATATTTTCACATCTTTAAGGCGCAAAAAAGTCCAAAGTCTGCAGCGTGGCCAAATGTGGCGACATCCAAGGCTCCCATTTGATTGGCTATCTGTGAGTTTCTTTGATTATTGATCAATCAGAATGTCTGGTTTGTTACCTCCTTGGCACAGAATTAACCCTACTCTGCATTGAATTACCTGAAAACTGCATTTATCTTAACCAATCAGAACCGAGTAATGTTTTCATGTATAATATTAGAGAATAAAGGAAATGATCAAAAAGTAACCTAAACAAACTCTTGATTGTTAAACAAATTCTCCTTGTTAGCACCTTCGGAAAATGTATGGAGAACATTATGGAGAATATGCATACTAATGACAACAAAAAGGCGGCACAAGAGGCGTAACCGAGTCTGTCCCCGACGTCCTTACCACATTTTTACGCCTTCTGTGATCTATAACTGAACAAACGCCCGGCATGATAAACAAGCAAACAATCGTTCATGGTGACGTCATCTATGCGTCTGACCTCCAATAGATCATTAGAAAGAACCAATCAAACTGCGTGCGTAATTCAGCTTATAATATATCATATTTATAATCCATTGTTGGTCCGTAAGCAACTTTGTCGCATACATACGACAGGCTTACGACGTAAATCCTACAACTCGCTTACGACTCTTAAGTCATGTCGTAGGCCTGTCGTAAGCTTGTCGCATGCGACAAAGTCGTGCCGTGTAAATAAGCCTTAAGCAAGATACATACACATGACGTTCCAAAGTTCGTTCGTAGATTTCATGTTATTCTGTGATTGTTCGAATGACGATCCTTCCTGCTGTTCACACAATTCGTCACCTCAGCTGACAACAATCTTAGACCTGGGAGCGGAGCAACGACCTTGGCCGAACCACAAACTGTGAATTTTACGCGACAATCCACTTAGCTATCTTTCCGAAAAACAGGGTTTTGATATTAACACTTTTAACCCTTTAACTCTCATGAGTGACTAAGACAGAATTTTATCCTTACAATATCAATACAATATCAAGCAGACAAGTGATGAGAATAAAGAAAAATATAAATTAAGAGAATATAAGTTGATCCAATACAAAATTCTCCAAACAAACATCACGAGAACTGTAAGACAGTAAGGAGAATTACTAATGAGATCTTGGGAGTGAAAGGGTTAAGTGTCTCAGTTTTAGAATTCAACTACCAAGAAAAACGACCACGAGGAATTCGGCGTTAAAGTTTTTTAAATCTTCAAGAATGAATCAACATACAGGTCTCGGATGAAAGGTTTCTTCCCTGCTTTGTTTTCCACCCCTGACCTTCATTCTTGTCTTGGAAAAAAAAGCCAAACGTATCAATCATCATAGCGGTAATTTTAGATGAAGTCAGTCATCAGCATAGGTCTCAATCCCTGCATGCGTTCAATAGTGATTGACAGTGTTTACTACAATCGACAATTCTGATTTACTTTTATGGCCATACCTTGCTTTCGTAACAAAAAAGAAACACAAACTTTATTAATGAAACAATTCCGAACTATACCTAACCCGAAGACTGAACATGGAACATGTTGTGATGGAAATAATCTATGGGGTTCAAGGTTAACTGTCACGTAAATTTCTATATAAAAATAAAATTCAGACGTTAATCCAATGATAGGCTGAAATCACCTTTAAAAATAACATGTCAAAGCAGAAAAACAAAGACAAAAGTATCGCGTGATACGACAGTAATATTTTGAAGACAAAGTACACTGAAATATAGACACCAGCCTAAGTCATGTAAAAAGGACTCCAAACGAACTCTTCATAGACGCTGCTCAAGATGAAGAAAAATTTAACGTTTACATTAGGATCGAGCAAAATTTACCATTCATTAAAATTAGACAGAAGTAAAACATAGCCAGTTAAAGGGGACTAACGAAACATTAAAATGACTTCGGGTTAACCAGTGAACGGAAAGAGCAAATTTATATCAGACATAAAAATAGATAACCGGTTAAAGGAGTTTACGCGACACCACAATGACTTTGGGTGATCACGTAAAGTGTGGGTGGGATTAAGTTAGTTTTCAGTTCACTTGTACAAGAAAAAAGAGATAGAGGTTGTTTTAACTAAATTGAGAACAAAATTAAATATCTCAGTCTGATGTTCATGTGGTCGTTCGGATTTTTCCAACCGCCTCAAGAATAATTTTGAGATGATATGGACCATTATAAAGTAACTTTAATTTGAAGATCAATCACTTACGACCCACGAGATAAAGACATGATTTACTGGGTAGTGTGCGACTGTCATGGCAATTACTACACATAAAGAAACTCAAGCTCAATTTCCAGTGAGCATGCTTGTACCATCTTCCACAACTTCCTCGGGAACTTTTTCTTCATGAAATCAAAACAAGGAAACCCACAATGTGTTGCATTTATTTATTTTACATTATTTTCGTCTTATACTTTTGCCACACAATAAATCCTTTTTCGACGAAGCTTTTTTTGTCTAGATCACTAGTTAGTTGTCCCTTACGTTTATATGGGCCTCGAGGTCGTTTTGGTCAATAAAAGCACAAAAATTGAAATAAAAAAAGTAAAAAGAACTTGGCCAATATCCAGCAATCTTGACCTCCTGCTTGGTCAGTAACACATGTATCAGTACTACTACCTGTCTAGCGGGTAGAGTGAAAGTTCAGCATTATTACACTAGGAATCGTAGGGTAATACATTTTTATTGGCTTACATTTTCGCAATAATTTAAACTATTTCATAATAAACGCTCATGGAGAGTTGGTTTACCAAGGCTAAATGTTAGTTCAGGTAAATAAGAAAAATTTAAACAAGCTAAACTAACCAAGACAGAACTAAATGGGACGGAGATAACAAAAAAGCAATTTGTATTTGAAGTGCTCTTGCCTGAAAATGGAACAAATAAAACTGTCTGTAGAGAAAACTGCCTGATGACACCAAACGAAACCCGTAGAGAGAATGTCCAACAAAGAATATTAAAATAATGACGCCCAACATTCATTTTTTTTCGAATGGCTTAGTACGAGTCAATTTCGAATTTTTGTCTTCCAGTGATAAACGCATTACATATGTTATTTGCCAATGGTCCCTGCCAGTCTCCATACAACAATTTGATCGATCTATTTCATAATTTCCTTAATCCATCTCCTGCCCTTCATTGCCATCAGGTTATAACATCACCAACATAGTCACTGTGTTCGTTGTGTCTCTATCGAGTTTGTCAGCAATTTGCCAGGTACGTTTAAAAGAAGCTCTACCTCTAGTGCTTGAATGAAGACAGACTTCTTACAGTGCTTAACTGGCAACACTACAGCTAGAAGATGCTGACGTTTCCTTCATAAACGTGATTCTGTAATCTGGTATTGATATCATAAACAACATATGCTCTACTAATGACATGCTAACCAGCAGCATCTTTTATATTAAGAATATCGTCTTGTTACTGTACAAGTAGAGGCTTTCACTCTTATACTATCGCATCCTGTAGTTGTCTGAAGCTTGGTAATTACAAAGCTCTCCATTGAAGTTTACACTGATTGTGAAATCCAAATCACGCTATGAGAAAAAGAAGGATTAACACGTTAAGTTGCTGAGTAATGAAATGGGGTAAGGACAGGAGAAACAGGTAGTTTTATTAGCTCTTGAACGTTTGTTTTAACTAATAACGAGTTTCCTGTTACAAGTTCTCCTCACAGTTTTAAAATCTAGCATGCAGAAACGAATTGAGAATAAAGAAATAAATTAACTCGAGGGTTTTGTTTATATATTGGTTATTGTTGGACAGTCACTTGCGGTAGATTGACTTTCTGCTTTTAGTGATGAACGGGTTCATTTGGTTGAGATACCTACGCCCACAAATAATGGCAATTTTCCAGCCACCAATCTTAATCCAATATACGCTGAAGGTAATGCATAATGGCAAGGACAGTTCACACAACGTAATAACAAGCGCTCGTTATTCAGAGTATCTAGCACCTAAATAGGTCACCATAAGTCATCCATTTTCCTGGTTTTTTTGGACTGACTCACTTTAGATTAAATTTGTAACAAAAAGAGAGTGAGGCGGAGAGAAGGACTTAAATGAATTATTTCTAATGGAAAGTGAGAGTTATGACAAGGCATCTACAAAAGAAAAAAACATTTTTGGGGAGAGGTTTTTCAAATTCTACTTGAACGCTTGAAATCAGAGCTTTTTTCAGATAACAAACACGTAAGCCCTAAGCCCTTTGTAATAAAACCTATGAAAAACTATGGCACAGGCTGGTGCACAAGTTACATGCTAAGGCCAATGGCCAACAGACAATGAATATACATGTAATAGAGTGACAAACCTATTGCAGATGACCCTTCAGATCAAGAACTTACATTATTCCTGGGGTTTGGCTGCATTTTGAAATCTCCATATAATTCTTCACCATACTTGACTGTGAGATAGTCTTGAAGATAGAAGACTGTCTGCTTCCAATGAGTGTAGTGACAGTCTGGAGCTGAACAAGGAAAAGAATGGGGTCAAAAACTGCCCTAACAAAATGTAGAGCCCCAACTTAAATGAAACCTCTGACTATGTTCTCTTGAGAAATGGTTCCCTTTAGGTTGTGATTGGTTCTTTGCATTACTTGGAAAAATTGTTCATGATCTTTATCTTTATCTAGCAAGAGATGTTGATAAGCCACAAAGAAAGATAATATTTTTCTAGTTGTGACGGCTTTACATGTATTTTAACAATCAGCAGAAAAGATTTACCGGTTGAGAACCCAGTCCTCTTGTGACAATGTGTGAATTCGATGGTAAAGAAGGCAACAAGCGCATGGACATAATCATTCCGCCTGCAATACAGCTGAAAAGGTGCACTGAACGACAAGTCTTCTTTCTTCACAGTATGCAAGTCAATTTCCTACAGCAAGGGACAAAGAAAAAAAAGTTTAAATACTATTTTAAAAATCATGTGTTCAATAAGCCAATCTCCTTTGGAATTTACCTTTACGAGACAGGAATTAGAAACTACTTGCTTAGCCTCCACCACATCCACAAGAGGCTCTGTCAGGGCAACTTTCCTGATACAGCTCATATCAAAGCCATAAACATTGTCCCACCCTGTAAAAGAAATAGGAAGTGATCATTTGTGTAACAACATATACAGTTGAACCTGGATTATTTGGACTCATTGGGACTAGACAAAATAGTCCAGATAATCAAGTCCAAATAATTGTGAATATGAATATTAATGAGGAACAAAAACTGATTAAATTAAGAAAGCGACTGCTAATCATGAAACAAAACATTTAGAAATCGTTTTGAAAAAAACATGGTCTACATCTTCACTGTGCGTTGTGAATACCTCTACACAGGTGTATTAACAATAAAAATTCATGAAAAATGTTTTTACATCAGCCTAAAATGTTGAAGTAGGTCAGTTTGTCTTAAAGAGGAACATCGCATGTGCATAGAGAGTTCCAGCATTCTCCAAAGCTGCATAATCTGAATGGCATCAACATTGTTCTGTCTTTTCATCCATAATAAACACTTTTTAAAACATTAGTTACAACACGTGAGAGCACTGCGTTTGCTTCTTGAAAGCGAAACAAACTCGCCTTTACTTTGCTTCTCAACACTATAGTTCTAAAAAGAATATGGCTATGGATCTTGATCATGACTAATAAATATTCACGACAAAATTGGGACCAGAGGAAAAGTCCAGAGGATCAAGGTCTGGATAATCAAGGTTTGACTGTAGTGCTATCAGTTTTCACTACCTACAACTACAGAAAATAACAGTCAGAATTTTGTATATTACATTTTGGTCATTTTTAGGGATCTTGAAGACAGAAAACATAACAAATTCTCAATAAAAATACAAAGCTGGTGCACATAACATAATCAGGCTAAAACTTAATGGTGCAACCTTAACAAGTGCCTTAACAAGTGCCTGAGCAGAACTTATTGCATGTTTTGGCTTGCCTGCCAGGGCATCACTATTGGCATTTTTACCTATCTTTAAGCATTTAAGGCTGCTGCTGGGTAGTATGTTTGTGTTTCCTTCCCTAAATCAATGTACTGTAAATGTAATCAACAATTCTATTTTCACTTACAATAAATTTTGTCTTCTTTGTACTGCCTGTCCTCAATAGCACAGAGATACAGTTGTGCCTTGTCTGGGAACAAGAGTCCCCCTGGTTTCTACAAGAAATAAATGAAAAGAGGAAAGTTAAAATGATATATGCTTCAGCTAGAAATCAGTTAATTGAAAAACATTTTTTTAACCAGCCACAAAATGTTTTCAAAGTTGTTGTTAAAATTCTTTAATAATAACACCTTGTGTCCAAAAATTTTTAAAGGCATTCCAAAAGCTATCCAGATTTTTGAAAATAAATGTTACTTTCAAACAGGAACAACTCTTATCCCAGTTTATCTGTTCATGTACTTATACCAAAAACCCTTAAACTACCGTAATTCTCTGAGCTAATTCAGGCAGATCATTCAAAATCTACTGCACCATTTTTCCAGGGTTTCTGTTTAATTTACCAAAACAAACAAATGAAGGTCTTTTATATTATACAAGGCTTGCAATTACCAGCCATTTATCGCGAGCAAATAAAACTGTATCCAACATGGACTCATATAAAAGACAGTAACCCATCCACTCGCTGATGATGATATCAACCTGTTCAACAGGCAGTTCAATTTCTTCTATTTTACCTTTGATGAGGGTGATCACTAAAACAAATAAATCAAAATGAGTTAAAGTCAAGTAAGATTCAAAAATAAAAATCAACTTTAAAAAATATACACAACAAATACTAAAAGAGTATTCAAATCATAAATCAAAGTTTTAAAGATATACAAACATATTTTATACAGTAATTGATCAAAAATGTTCTTGTTGGAAATTATAATTTCAATTCAAAGAACATTAAAAAGGCTGGGGTGATAAAGTACATGTACACGTATGCTATGCACTCTGAAGAAAGATCCCAAAAATGTAACGTAACAGCTGGGGAAAATGAGCTGCTGCAGTAAAGCTAAACAAAGGATACTCTTAAAAATCAATACCGTATTTACCTGTGTATAATATGCACTTCTTTCTATAAAAATATCCACCAAAATCGCAGCACGTATTATACATGGATTCTATTGTTTGTCAAGCACATCCTAATTTGCATACATAGCCTGCTTGTTTATGACACATTCAAGGCCCACTTGACTGACATGGTGAAAGCGTCCCTCAAACGAGAAAACACCAACCTTGCCGTAATTCCTGGAGGTTTAACCTCACTTTTGCAGCCTTTGGATGTCTCTTTAAACAAGCCCTTCAAGGATTAAGTCAAAGAACAATGAAGGGATTGGATGGCTGACAGAATCTACGAATTTATGCCAACTGGTTGTATAAGAAAGCTGTCAGAGGAACTGATTTGCTTATGGATTGTGATATTCCTGCAGCAATGATAACTAATTCCTTTTTTGAAATATGACATTACGAACAATTTAGATGGTTCCAAAGACAATATGGTCTACAATTCAACTGAGGACAATATAAATAATAGTGAACTTGATTTCAACCAACTTTTTGAGTCAGAATCGAGTCCGATTTTGAAGGTTTTTTGGCGCAGAAACTCTTTTTTTGCAAGGCTGTTTGCTATCATTTTCAACCTTTTTGTAATTAGTTAGTTACCAGTACATAAGCAATTTCGAAGTTTTTGTAATGCAAGTATTGTTATTGTAGGAAGAATTAATGTGTTTTTTGCTGTGAAAACTTTTTTTTAAAGAAAAATTTGGTCAAAAATTGAGGTGCATATTATACATGGGTAAATACGGTATTCAGTTTATAATAATCATAATAACTTAATACTCTTATAGTGTTGGGATTCCATGGGTAGATGCTCTCCAACACTTTACAATATTTTCGAAATAAAATCTAATAAACTTAAGTTACAAAATGGCTTATCTATAAATATTCCTACTATTTACAGTCAGGTATGAATGGATTTGGCAGTTCCTTACACCATTTGAAAGGACAAAATCTTAACTACATAAATATGTTAAAGATCAAAAGCAACACAAGATAGATACATTTTTACCACTGACTTAAAGATGTGCATGTTATTTGCGCTACAAAATTCCAATGGTAGTTAGTTTCAAAGCGCTGGCATTGCCATGATAAAACTTTGGTAACTGAGCATGTGCCAAGTCTTTATCCTAGGTGGCTGCAGTAAGAGTTCATTGGATTATCTGAGATTATATCTAGATAAAGGTTTTAAAGTAATGAGCTCAGTGAAATACACAGGGCAAGTCCATGAAGTAATATCTGAAACCCAATATCATATTTTACAAGCAGCCAATAGAGATTTATCAAAATAGAGGAAAATTTGATTGAATCAATGTACTGTACCTTGCAGAGGAGCCTAGCAGCTGTATTTTAAATAAGCTAGAGTTTTTACAGTTCACAGGCAGTTAAGCCAAAAAGGATACTGTTACAGTAATCAAGGCAGCTTGTTACAAAGGCATTTGCCAAGGTTTTCACATTATCAGACTGAGAAATTTCCTGATTCTTCTCATATTGTACAAATGGAAGAAAGCAACTTTGCAAGTCTAATCAATATTATATATAGTATATACATGTATGTATAGCATATGAAGTATAAATAAAATATATAGTTTATGTCATATTTGTATACAAGTCATACCTTCTTCGAAATTATTGTCCTTGATTATCTGTTTACTGTAGTCAATGATTGAAGAGAAGTCAACCTGTTACAATGCAATAAATACAAATTGACTGTATGTAAATTGAATCAATAAATAAGAACTTTAGTGAACAAGAGCTAACACACAGGGAATATGATAAAAGGTTTCACAACTCCAATTGCCAGTTATGCATTCTCCATATTCACTGGATGATACCCCACCCTCAATGAAGCATTATCCTCCAGTTAATAACCCAGATGGAAGCAAAGTATTAATAAACACAATCTTTAAATTAGCAATGCAATCAATCTCATGGGTGTCCTGTTTTTATGAGAATTTTGGGACAAAAAACAATGTTAAGCAGGATACAACTCAATACCCATAATCATCCTTAGAAAATCATATAAAAAAAGCTAAGTATTTGAAACTAATTTAATTTATAAAATTATCAACTGAGACCTTCATTGAATTTGAAATTTGCTATCTTATGACTGTTATAGAACTGAGGTTTTGTTGTGACTTTTGAGAAAAAGACTGATTTGCTGAATGTTCTTTTTATAAAGCCACAATCTGAACATTTGTTTGTTCAGGAATTACATAATAGACTGTCAAATAGTGAAAGAGGTTATATCATGGTTCTAAGTAATGGTAGGTTTTAAATTTGTTTTATTCCTCCCCAGCCCCCTATTCCCAAACCTACTCCTTAAGCAAGGGAATGTGATTAGCTCTATCCTTTAACTGGCTCTAAATTTCTTTAGTTTGAGAACATTTCTCTGAAAAAGATGTTACAGGAAAGTTGTCTGGGAAGCATTGAAAAGTGCTAAAGGCAGCCTAAAAGTTAGGAAGTGCACTATGAAATCTTTGCCACTAAAGAATCCATAAGGCTATACTCCTCACTGATTCCTTTGGAAAAGTTACAAGTTAAACAAACACTCTTGGTACAGGTAATAGTGGAAATTAAAAAATTACATTATTTACCAATCAATGGTCAAACTACTGTAAAAGCTACTGATTCTTGTTTATAACTGCAAACAAAAGAAATCACTCACAGCATACACATGTTTTGCACCAGCCTTTGCAGCAAACATGGACAAAATTCCAGTTCCACAGCCCACATCAAGAACTACTTTATCCCGAAACAAGTGCTTGTTATAGTACATTGCATTGCGATATGTTGTTGTACGAACTTCATCCTTGATCATTTCCTGTTGGGGAGCAATAGAGAACATTGTAAAAAATATAATGCTTCATAGAAAGAACTCTTGTAATTTTGAGACATTGTGACCTATGAATCAGCATTGAACTCCATGTTGTCACATGAGCTACTTGAAGTATTTCAGGGAATCTATACTCTAGAAAGTGTTCACCTTGAAGAGCAAGCATCATAAAAATTCAACATAAAATTTTCACAATTTCAAGGCTGCTCTAAGTCAACATTTGTTGGTTCAAAATTGCTATGGTACTAGGAGAAAATTGAGGCTTTAGCGTAGCAGTAGTCGACAAGCATGTCTAATCCTCTTCCGCAACACCCTTTCCATGTCAAAAGGGTTTTCCTGAGTGAGTAACACCTGATGTTACAGCTAAAAAAATATAGAACGGAGACGGTTTTCAAGTTGTGTTTGAGAGGTTTATCATCCTTAACTATTCCTACATCATATCATGCATGCATAGCCTCGCTTATAGACAAAATCAAGTATGATAGTCTTCTACGTTTAACTGTCGACTTTTAATCCGATACTGCTGGAAAAAAGGTGATTTAAGCCCAAATAGGCGTTAAATTTAAACAACATGCCAGACGGATCTGGTAAACGTTTAAGTAGTTAAACTTATAACTAGCAACTGTATGCTACAGTTCACGCTGAGGTTTACACCTGCATCAAGTGAAAGTTTACTACTACTACATCGTATCGTAACGTGACATTCTAAGTCAGGGTGGAGAATAAATCGTGAAACTGGTGAACGATAGGAAAATATGCACCAACTAACCTCATGGATCCCTGATAAGGCACAAGTCGATCCAATCCAATCATACATGTAATGACCAAAAAAGTAACCATTAGCAAAGTATCCCTAGCTACAACAAAGAACACCAAAGCAAGCACTACTCACCAAAATGTGCGTAAGAATCAAAATAATAATCAGCACTTGTCATTTCAGAAGCAGGAGGCCTCGAACCAGACGCTGTCGAAGAAGCTTGCTTCAAACTTTGTTCCTTGCTATCATCGACATGATTAGATGCAGCTGTATCGACTTCCATTCCATTAGAGGACTCCTAAAGGTAACATCAAGCATCAGAAAGTTTGCATTTATCATTATTTTAAGCTGTAAGTGCATATTACCTCCACTTTGGCTACTTTAGGTTTACTCTCCATTATTCTGAGCACGTGCAGACTGTTTGTCAATTTTTTACAATAAGAGCCTTCAGATGGCTGCGGTCAAGCGCCAACAAGCACGCTCACAATACAACTGTACGTCATGAGAGGACTGGGAAAGAGCTAGTGCCTCGTGCTAGAAGATTTTAAAAAAATGAAACTTTTCAAAACATTTCGTTTTATTTATGGCAAAGTTTATTATTTATTTTTTTGTGACCAACCTAAGTAAGTCCCTACGGTCCCTCAGAGCTCCTGAAATTCAGCCACTAGAGATGAAAAATACTCCAGCCGAGATCTTTTCAGAGATGACAACCGGTTCATAGGAGAGAACGTACTCTGAAAGGACGCAAATTCAATCTGCAACAATTATTCAACTGGTAAAGGAAAAAAAGATGCCAGCTATCACGAAACAGTGAGTTTGACTGCTCTAAAATTTTGAACGATTAGCTTTTCCCAATCTGAAATCTTACGTTCGCTTGGACTAGTTCCCTCTTTCGCTATCTCGATGGGCAGCGGACTGGACTTTTCGCGCTTTCGCCTTCTTCGCCCCCGAAAAAGTGAGGAAAAAGGGGGCGGACAGCCCTTATCCTCGCCGAAAACACAAACAAGTGCGCTTTTGGCAGTCTAAAGTTAATAAGCCCAGCTCCTTTCCGTCATAGCTTTCTAATGGCGCGTCCCTATAAAATGAAATCTCGAATTGAAGCTCTTTCTCCATTTATTTTACCAAAATCACACACAAAAAAATTTAAAAATAAGGATTTCAAACAATTTTTATTTAGGAAACTGACAGTGAAATAATTTCCAATTCTGAAATACAAGCAAATTCTGCTGTTTTAAACTTTTTCGTCAATACTCTTTTTTTAACGTTGTTCAAAGTGAAATACAGCGCATTAGCATTAATTCGTAAGAAAGGAGCAGGAATGTACCATCGCGAATTAAAATTGTTTAGCGCAACTGAGCTCAGCTAAAAAAATACAAAAATTGATTCAATAAGTTTCCTTCCAGTTTGAAATCAAACCAGGATTGCACTTTTTGCTACACTAGCTTTCCTTCTCTTTGATTGAGGACGGTCTTCAAAACATTGTTCTTGACTGTCGGAAATGTCAAATTCCATTGTCTACAGAAATACAAAAATAAACAACTAAATAAAATGGTAACGAAAGCGAATGCAAGGGAAATGATTTTGTCTGAGAGGCGTTTTTGCTTTTAAGTTTACTCACCTCATCTTTAAGAGAAACAGCCCTTTTCAGTTTTCCCTGTTTGTTGCATACCTAAGGTATGAAAATACGTGTGAGAATAACAGACTATCTGTTCAATTTTACTGATTTCCCATGTCTTTCCATCGGTTTCCGATATGAAGATTATCTTATAACATAAATAGTTCACAGTCTCAACATGAGCTTCAAAATTTAATCTCGAGAATTTGACCGTAAAGTCGGACTGATTTATATCGCACACACCATTGTCTCTTCATTCCTGGCAGATGATTGTCATCATTACTATGGTGCAGGTAAGAAAAAGCATTTCCTGAGGCACTCAACATACAATGTACAGTAACACTGCCTCGACTGAGGTGATACTTGAATACTTGTTAGTAAATTGGAACCGAACACTTCTGTATATGCAATAAGCGTCTGATCAAGACTTTAGCATAGTTATACCCTCTAGCACAAAAAAATCAATTAAGCTCTGGCATAATTTTTCAAAGCATTCTTAGCAATTACTTTTTTCTTAAAGGTTTTTAAGGCTCCTGATACATCCATCTTTGAGCATCTCTGAACTATTGCCTCCACCTTAAGTTGAAAAAGAACGGGAACTATTTTTAATGTAAAATAAATAAGAAAGAAATAAACCGACAAGTATAAAAAATTTCAGAATGTTATTCATCAGAGCATATTACGGAAAATTTCATGTCATGTCGTAAACCAACTGGTTTCCTACTGATCAAACTATGGGGTAGGTAACCTATAAATCTCTAAACTTTAATAAAGTTTCCACAAGTACTTCTAAGGAGGCATTACATGCTCCATACGTCCATTTTGGGCTTAAATTGGGCGCTTGCATATAACACTTACAGCATAAACTGGATGAATTTTTGCGTACATCTTATAACATACCCCGTCCTCTGACTTATTCTCATCAGGACCAACCGTGTCTGAAAGGTCAACCTCAGTTTCAAGCTTTCCACTCCCTAGACTGAAATACTTCCCGAAACCCTCCGCCTGCAGTTTCTTCTTGTTAACAATTTTTCCAAGCCTGGTAAAGAAATAAAAAAACTGTTCAATAATTCTGGATTTATTTATCATAATCACATCAACCGATACTCTCATGACAAAGTTACCTCTTTCCTTTTAAAGTGCTTCTTATGAATCCTTCTTTTTCCAGACGTTTGACTAAACCTTGGGCGATGCTCATCTCTAACTCTGAAAAAAGTATAAAACATGCATGACGGACTGCCGGATTCTTTGGTATGGTCAGAGGCAATAGGAAAAAATACATACTAAGGTGACGAGCCAAAGTGTTAGGTAGTATCCTGTTCAACTCGCTGCAAGCAACTAAGGTTCTGCGCCAAAGACACGTAGCCTAGCAAGAGAAATAGGAAATAAAACGGAAGCAACAGCATTTGTAATTAGTTTGATTCACAAACGCAAATAATTATAAAGGAATGATTTTTTAAATAAATAAAATTTAGTCAGAATTTTTTCCGTGGAAGACGGTTTAGCTACACTTAACACATACGGCAGGTTGGATCTAACTTAAATCAAGTCTCAAAACCATTCATTTACTCAGTTTAAAAGGTACCTGTAAAGCTATGGTGTTGAGGTTAACCAGTGAAGAATCTGTACACTTCCCACTGTACTCACCCTAAAACGAACGGACACTCAGTATACGTTAAGGTGCACATTTATGAGCTGATGAATCAGAGGCACCACTAAAGGAATTCAAATTAGAGCTACCTTAGAGCAACCCACGCATACATGAAGTTCTGGAGCTTCCTCTTGTTTTAAGACGCCGAAACAGACTGCATGCTGCCAGTTATTGCAGACTCCACATAGTATCATTAAGCCCTCATCCTAAAGGCAGGCGGCGTTAACGTTAGTAAAGCTTACAAAACGTCTTACTACATTACATGATATAGTAGATGCGTCTAATTGAAAAAATTGTAGCTAATGTTCTTTTGCTTATCCGGCCGTCAAGATTACTTCTGTAAGGAAACTAAAAAGATGATACTCACTATTGTAATAGTAAACTGGCATCTTAAAAGATATGCATGACATAGCCGCATTCTTAATCAAAAATAAACTTAAAACAAAGTTATTCTTTTATAAAATAAGTGTCCAGGCATTGCAAATACCTCATCGTTGCCACAAGGACATTTTACATTGATGACCTCTTCTCCATCCTGTTGAGACTGATCTATGGAATGAAAAGGGGTAAATTGGCACTTGTACTGGAACTGGTGCAGAACAAGCGTACGATAGTAAAGTTATTACAAGCATACCAAGAAGGTTTTTTTAACTTTCTCAGTTTTAGGTCAAGTAGGTCTTAATAATCATGTGAAAGTGGGAGTATTGGAGGATCTGAAATGGGAAGGATCGCCCGATGGTTATCTCAATTATTTTTTGGCTATTGTGCAAACCGTTATCTAACAGTTAAATCAAGATGCATTAGCGATGGCTAGATCCTTTGAGACCGCAGAGAACGCGAAAAGGCAGGTAACTTGTTTTCAGAAGAAAAGAAAGAAAAAATATTATTTTCCTTTCTATACAACCTTAAGATTTATTATCTCATCAGTTGTAACTATTACCCTACGATCTGACAAATTTCAAAGTCAGGAGTAACCATATATTTTTACCAGGAAGTTCTTGATCACAGTCCATAACCTCCAATCCTGGCGAAACAAAAAAATCCAATGCTGAGTGAAACCATGGAAAACACAATAACGGCCGTTGTTTCTTGATCAATTAAGGTAAAGAAGTCTAACCTTTGTCCTTTACTTCTCTGATCTCTTCAGACATTTGCCCCCCTTCTTGTTCAATGTCACACGGAGATGAAAGGGATTTCTGTGTCAAATTAAATATCAGCTCTGAGAACGCTTATTTCCTTCTTCACACGATCAAACAACGTATCCAAGTAGTCTCTAACAAGGCTAAGCATTTCATATGCTCTCGAGACCACACATTACATAATATTCGCCACTGAATAGTAGACGTGAAATTAAGACACTCTCACTGCATCGAGAATCCGGAAAGTAAGGCTTTGAATGCTCTAACCCCACCAGACTACATGAGACCCGTAAAAACTGAATATCCCACATATTGCTACAGGATCTAGGTGTCAATGCAAAGCTTTTGTGAGTTATGTTGAAGCAGATAATTGAATTTAAGTCTATGATTTTGAGAGGGAGACATATGAATAGTAATTATTTTCTATTACTTTGTGTGGATTTTGGTCTTGGCTATACAAAGTACAAGAGCAAGAAACTGGATCCTAATCTAACTTTCAACTGTCTTTTATATCGTAAAGTATAATACTTACAACAGGATTGTTTGCTTCAACTTGTTGTTGCTGTATGGATGATTCTTGTAAATTGCTCTCTTTTGATGGACTCGTGACAGGTTCCAGATCGATACTGTAAACTTCTTCATTATTGTTGTCATCTTTCAATTCAAACTGCTGACAATCTGTTCTTATACGCAGCTTTACTCTGTAAACATAAAGGTAACTACCCCTTTAGTTTCCAGTTCAGCGGTAACTATATATAAACACAGAAGATGTAATACTCGTTTTTTACATTTTACCAGAGTCATACTTACGTGTGAAATGGCTGAAGACATTTTAAGGAATCAGAGGATAAACGATAATGAAAAAAAGGAAAACAATATAAGCATACATGTGTAAATATTGCCAGATACTCCGAAAAAAAAAACCAACTAACATCTATATTACTAAATTTTCTTAATTATTGCAACCGATGTTTAATTGCTGATTTAAATGATGGCAGTCAAAAAACAGCAAGAGTTGTTCCATAGCTATTATGGAGAAGTTGAGTGGCTTTTTTCCTGGGATGTTTTTTGAAATTGTTGCGCTGTTTCTTTCCTGAACCCTATAACTATCCTGCAGCGTTAACTATACACATGAGATTATCAGTATTTCACGAAATAACATTTACAATAACTTTTACTTTGTTATTACTGTCTGACATTTAATACCGTTGACACGTCTCCAACTTTGATGTTCAGAGGTTCCTCCACAAAGTTGAAAAAATCGTTTGGTGTGTGCTGCGTGAAAAAGAACAATTGGATTTGAGTACTAATTATTTCCAGAACAAGAAAATCGACCAATAGCCTGACTATTGTTTGTTTTTGTTTTTGTTTTTCTTACACCAACGAGAGACGATGAATTTATCTTCTCTTGACACCAAATAGAAAAACTCGGCCTTTGGATAAATACATTATTTCTGTTCTTCTGATAACGCGCAATTAAATATTCCGTATTTCAAATGACTGTTAAAATAAAGAACTGCCATTTCTCATTTCATTTTTAACAATCTTTTTGTCGATTTTCAGTATCAAACTGTGTTCAATGCTTTTTCCATATCATAATGATAATATAAAGATACACTCAGCACCTAGGAAGATATCTTCTTAAACAATATCAAATGTTGATAAAACAAACATAAAAAGGTGGTAATTGAAAATTAAATGTATGATAATTTGCATTAATCAAACAACATTCTCAAGTTTGCGAAGCACCTTTTCGACATTACTTATTCCCCTTCAGTTCTTCCCACTTCAGTGTTAAATGTTTGTGTTACAGTTTGAATTTAACTTTAAAAAAAATCATTGTTAAATCACGACTTAAGAGAAACACGCGCGGGATTGGCACCCGAAAATATAAAAATCGTTGCAGGAATTAGAACGTTAAAATCATCTTTTTGTGCTGTAGCACCTAACTGTTTTAGTATATTATCTAAGTAACTGTCATACAATTTTTTAGTTCAAGATACCAATTCACTTCAAAATACCACTTTTTCGCCATATTTTTAAAAAATAGTTCACAAATTTGTGTAGCGTTTTCTTACATCGTGATTCAATAACGCATTTGTTACCTTCAGAGTGTAACACAAGCATTTGCAAGGGTTCAGTGGGGTCAACCGTCAAAAAAAATAGATGTTTACCGTCAAACGTCCACAATGAAAATCAATATTAACCGTCAAACGGTTTAAATAATCTATCTTTTTTAGTCACTTGTTAGCAACAGTCTGGAAGAATCTTTAAAATGGTTAACTAGTCTCCAGATATCCAAAAATTCTCAGTTTATCGTCATTTTTACCGACTCTCGTTTAAAAGTTAACCTAATACTGAAATATCGAAAGATAACTAACTTCATCGATGACTTGTCTTTTTACACGCCACTTTTTTGCACCTTTCCTGCCGTTCGACGAGATCACAACTGAGATCACGCTTAGATCATGTCGTTTTCATCTTTGAGCTAATTTTAAAATGCTGAAATTAAGCAAAATACTAGCGTTCCAGTCGAATGAACGAGAATCCTAAAAGTATGCGAGATACTAACGTAACAATCAAACGCAAAATAATTAAATCTCTTGTCGAATGAAGAAAAATCTTGAAAGTGCCCAAGATGCTAAAGTAGCAATAGAATGTAAGGTAATCCTATAAATGCATGAGATACCAACGAAACTTACGAATGAAGGAGTATCCTGAACAGCGCGAGATACTAGCGTAACAATCGAATAAAATATATTCCTACAAGAGCGCAATATACTAACGTAACAATTCAATGAAAGAGTCCTAAAAGTGCACAGCATTCTAAAATAACTATACAACGGAAGAGAATCCGGCCTGAGAGTGCGAGAGATGCTTACGTAACAATCGCGTAAAAGAGAATCCTAAATGTGCGCGAGATACATACGTAACAGACGAATGAACGAGAATTCTGAAAGTGCGCGAGATAGTAACGTAAAAATCGAATAAAAGAGAATCCTAAAAGCGCGCGAGGTACCTTGTTCAAACGGTCATAATAGTTGATGATAGTTTCAACTATCACGCGCGTTTGGACACGAATTATCATGCACTGTTATCATCACTGTCATCATCAACTATCATGTAGTTTGGACATGTTCAAATTCGACATGACAGTTGATGATAGTTTTTTCCTTTTTGAACGAGCGGATGATAGTGAATGATAAATTTTCGGTCAGCAGTTTTGCCGAAAACGGGCTCAAATCGAAATGGCAAATGGTAAAATGACTTAAGTAGCAGTCAAAATTTCGTAGAATGTCTCTAAATTCATTCTAATCATCTCCTGGTAAGCTTCACTATCTTAAACTCGTAACCTCTGGCCTAAAATTTCGAATGCCACTGAAATCACTGACCTCAGCGGGCGCCATACTCGTTTGTAATTGCGCGACCTCATTGAGGGATTTTACCATCTACTATCATGAACCGTTTGAACGAGTCCCCCGAGAAAACTATTTGCCATGGCATAATATACATGTAGAAATGTAACTTAGAACCTATAACTCACTGATGACCCTTCCCTCTGAGGCCTTAGCCCTTCCCCCCCCCCCCCCCCCAAGAAAAAACGTGTCTTCCTTCCCGATCGAATGAAGGATAATTCTAAAAGGACCTAAAAGAGCGCAAGACACTAACGTAACAATCCAATGAAAGAAAATCCTAAAATTGCAAGAGATACTAATGTACCATCGAATGAATGAGAAACCCTAAAGTCCGCGAGAGACTAACGCAACAATCCCACGAAAGGGAAACCTAAAATTGCACGAGATACTAACGCAACAATACCATGAAAGAGAATCCTAATAGTGCACGAAATATATGCGTAACAATAGTATTGAAGAGAATAGTTAAAGTGCACGAGATACCAACGTAACATTTATTATTCACAGTAAGAAAAAGAAATTCTTAGTATTGATTTTAATGCGTAGGCTAGTGCGATTGAAAATTGATGGAGACTTCATAACTTAGTGAGTAGGTATGAAGCATGTGATAACATGGTAATAATGAATACCACCTGACTGCTGATGCAAGTATTTTTGTCCTATACTATGAGAAATATCAAGAAAGTCAATATATATCGCGCGCTTGTTTTCGTGCGATTATTAGATTATTAAGCTTACCTAAGTAAATTGGTCTTATTTGCATCTAAAATTCCAATATCTTTTTAAATTGTATCTTAAGCTTGTTGGAGCAGACTTAGAAACGAGGAAAATATAAAGAACGGTGAATCTTCGGTCAAATGTTAAGGAGACAAAAACAAAGGAACTAACTGAAAATGAAACGTATCAAAATTCGCATGAAACAAAGTTTAAAGTTTGCGAAGCATGTTTAGATACTACTGATGCCATCTTCAGCCGCAAGAGGGTCTTAATGGGAGGGGGGAGCTTTAGTGAATAACGGTTACTTTTTTTTTTCCAATTTTGACGGTCGACGGTTAATCATACGGCTGTTGACAGTTGACGGTTGCATTTCAGGGCCTTTGACAGTTGACGGGAATAAAAAAATATATTTCTATGGGTTAAGAGCTAAAAGGTCTGGTTAGATCTCAGCCTCGGTTTCATGTTGAAAAACCCTATATTTTAAGACGTATACCACAGTTTCACTAAACGAAACAACTCACGTTGATCCGGGGGGTCTTTCTCTTTCAGAATCAATTGTCAGACCTTTTCTGTGGCGACGGTTGAACAAAACTAACTTTTTTCGGCATATGCGACAGTGAACGGCGCAATCGGAGAGGCCAAGTGAAAAACGAGAGGCTTGGGTTGGAGCGTTCGTTACCTTGTTGGCGCTCACAGTTTCTGAATAAGACTGCCTAGTTTGGGATTGATTTTAAGTTTTTGTACATGACAACATTTGCATTCGAATTTAAGCTTAGTCTTTTAACCATCTTACCTTGAAACCTGGTGGTTCATAGTCAGGAGGGGTTACTACAAAACAATTGAAGGCATCAGCGACTGCTGTAAGTTTTATTTATATTTCTCTTAAGAGATGGGTGATAAACACAGTAAACCGGGGGTGCCAAAAAAATTAAGCAGACTACATATACCTTCATCATAGTACAACAGCTTCATTGTCATCATTACGTCATCTGAAAAAAAGCCACAGTGCTTTTACAGCAAATAACAAGACAAAAAAAGCTGAGGAAAAATATCTCAAATCAGTGTGGCTATCTATGAAAGAACACAAGGAAATTCAGAAATAGTTGTATAATTTTTTTCTGTTAATATCAAACTACTAATCTAGAGATAATATATAAGACACCGATATTCTTAGATAAATGGATTGAAAAAAGAGACGTCACAGTGCAACTTAAGGCATGATGACTACAAATGCTGAATTCATAATCATAATACTGTTACTTACCTGGTAATGATGCCAATGTCTGACTGAGAAGAATTATTGTTCTAAACGTTTGAAGGACAAGTTAGAAAATGCATACATTTTATTGACCCACTTGTGAACATTCTCAAAAGTACACATGTAATAAGAAAATTACTCTTCTATTACAAAAAGGATGACAACAAACCTTGGTAAGTAGTTATTCAGCAATTTAAAAAATTATTGTTTAGCAACTGTACCCCCAAAAACATTTTCACGTGTGGTAATTAATTATTTTATGCACAAGGAAGAACTAAATAAATTCATTAATCTTTTGATAGCTTATAACATCAATGGGTTATTCATTCCTCAAATAAAAATGTACCTCAGCAAACGTATGGTGGCCTTCTTAGTCTCTTTCTCTGTTTGGGCACTTGCAATTTTATTTCCATTCCTAAAAGTAACAAAGTAATAAAAGAACAACAATCACTAACCATCAGGTAGTTCTATTTTTTGGTACATTTGCTGTTTAATATCACTGACATACAAATTCAAGTCTTTACCTGAAGATACTGACTTCACCTCCAACATAGGAGAACTATGAAAAAGGATTTTTCTTAGCATGTAAACTGCTCTCATGAATTATGACATGTTATATGATAAGCTGAATTACACCCACTTTTTGATTTGTTTTTTCTTATGATTGATAGGAGGGAAGACACATAGACAACATCACCATAAACAACATCTGTGATCTACAAACTGGGCCGATGTGCAACTATTTTTTGAAATATCTACAGATCATTTCTGCAAAATTGAATTACAAGCTTTCTAAAGTCATTTGCACAAAAATGTATCTCACCAATCTACTCAGCCCTACAGAACATTCATTGCAAGAATGGCAATAAGACTTCAAGATGTTTTTGGGAATAAGAAGCTTATTTTGTGGTAGTTTTAAATCAACTGGCAATGGGTTGAAAGAAATCAGGTCAGTTATCTGTAGAAATAGCAATGAACTCTTAAATTGAGAAGTGTTTGCTATATTTATCAAATGCAACTTACCTTAAAGGTGTAAGTCTCAATGACTGTCTAAATACCAAATATGCAATGATAAAAAGAGATATTAAAGAAATGGAAACCCAAACCATTCTTAAAACTTATTCACTACATAAACTAGCTATTTAGCCTCTGCAATTTGAACTTATCTCTGGGGATAGTAACATTACTAGGCTAATTTTTGGAATTAATAAATTCTGTCATTTTTTACTATCTATTTCCAGATTATAAAGTTCTGTCAATATTACATTGCAGAGCCCATAGTAAATTCAAACCTTAGTATTTTTTCCTTTAATCAAAGCAGCCTTTCAGACGTGCTGAGTTTCCTATCCATAGCTCTAATGCTAATCTGACTCCAGTGAAACAAACTAATGTTATCCAGTATTACATGTACAACTCAATTGAAAATGCCTCTTAAACATCAATTATAACAAACAATCGGCTGTAGCAGCTTTAACAGTCACTTACATCAGGATTTTCAGCATCACCATAAATCTGTTTGGAACAGAAACAGTCAAATGATAATCTGTTTTGGAAGTTATAATCATGAACAACTTTCAATTAAGACTTCCAGTACTTACACCAATAACGATCATTCTGAGCTGCAAGCAAAAAAAAAGTGATAATAATAAGTTCATGAATGTGTGAGTGCCAAAGAAAGTCTATGTTAGCATTTTTGGACTATTGCAATTCCTGATTACATTTCAAGTTGTAATGCTCAGGAGATATTGTAATTATTTTGATCTACAATTATGCACAGCAAGGTTCATTGAAGCCTCTAGCATGAAGATTAGAATAATGAAGGGATTGTTCTACCATTTTATTTTGATTAAAGGCAATAGAGATTTTAAAAAAGTTGGGCTGCAGAAACTTAAAGTTGCAGTATATGAATTCATACTAGTCATCAACATGCACCAATTGAAAATGTTGTTAATACAAAAATTGCAAAACTTACATATCTCTTATCAAGAGCATCAAAGCAACCTTTGATCCTGTTGCAAATTAAATTCAAATCACATCACAATGTTGCTCATAATTTTTAACAAGGCACTGCTTTCTACTGCACCCATTTAACAATGTGTTTGGTGAACAAAGGTGACACTAGCAACTGTATATTCAAGAGGAGGAGAACTTTGTAATGGCAAAAACATTTGATAGAGTAGTGCACTACTATGAAGAAAGCTTACTTATTAAATCAATAACTGTATTTACCACTGTATTACTTGGCATGCTCCTGGGCAAGCACTGTCATCCTTCAGGATTTTCAGATTCAAATCTATATCACAAAGCTTTACAAGTGAGGAAAACTATAAAAACAGTTTTCATTGTACAGATCTTATTATCAGTGACACATTCACTTATGTTCAACAAAACCATGTTCCATGTGCATTTATTCAAAAAGGCAATTGTATGATATGAGGCATGATATGAACAGTGAAATACTGGTTTAAAGAAGTTAGCATCTTCATCTATTAATGACAATGTAATCCTTCAATCAAATTTCATCATAAACACATCTAAAATTTAAGAATTGCAAAAGCCTTGTATTTCTCCAGTAAATCAATCATACAGTTACAAAATTAATAGAAGCAAATTTGTTAATATGTACCTTCTAAGCATCTGTCTCCAAAGGCATGCTCTGGGAATATAGTTCTGCAGGAAGGAGATGAGTGGAAAATTCTTTAATCTACTCATGATGTGCTAGACAATAAAGAAAATATTCACAAATATGAATTTAAACTTATTTGAATCTCTTAAATCATATTTTAACATGGAAAGAAGAGTAAGCTTTTCCCTTGCCTTGTATCTCTTTAGCCTTACATGAAGTAAAATATGAATCAATTTTGATATTTTTTTACCTGAGATAGGTTATACTGGAGACCTGAAAGAAACAAAAAATAATTCTATAAAAAACGAACAGAAACCAAAATATATCAAGAATAGTGCAAAATGATCTAGAAATGTACTTACTGCTACTGCTAAAAGCTTCTTTACAAATAAAGCTGACTGCTGTTCTGTTTGAGAAAGAAAATTATCACTTAACAGAACAACTCAATATCTAAAAGCAGAAAAAGCAAGATTTCAGTTCTTATCTACTCTTATATACCTGTGACTTGTTGAGAAGGAAAAATACTTGACCACTGAAAAAGAAACAACAAGCAAGTCAACATCCTTTTGTTTCATCCTTAAAGAATGTAACTATACATTCAAAGAAACAGCCATTGTCACTGTGGAGTTGAAGCTCTCAATTAAATAGCTTTTAAGAATTTTTCTCACTTCTACCTTTTAAACAATACCTGTAGATTTCAGTCCTTCCCAGTCCTATATTTATTCAAGGTTGACTTTATCTTTGAAATTCATCGTTTTGTTTTGTTTTATTTCTTATCAATATATTTTTCATCATTTTTAATTTGCTTTGTTTTGATTCATAATGTATTAGTTGTGTATGAATTGACTCAGGATATAACTGGCAGCACATCTATTTTCCGCTTGACCTATGACATATGAGCCACTGGCTTTGGCAATTCTCAATGTTAAAATCAAAAGAAAATCGTGTTTGCTTATCATGTGATTAGATAAATATGATTAAATAGCACAATACACACACAAAAAAAGTATAATGAGATGATCGACATGGCTTACTGTGACTGTTTTTTCCTGTTCCCTCATTGCTTGAGCGGTTGCCATAACAGCTACATTAGTGATATTAAAACAACTGATTTTTATAAAAGACCACTGCATGTCGAGACATGTCCCATCAAATTATGTGGAAAGCAGCATAACATGGCATTCTTTTAATAACTTGAAGCTTTGCAATGCGAACATTTTTAGTTAATGCCATGTCGCACAAAATTCATTTCAATTACATGGAGCCTAAGTCCGCAGTTTAGTCATATTTGTGCAATCAAGATTTGGTGCAGGTACACAATCACATGATTTCGTGTACAGTTTTGAAAAAAATGAGCACGAGTGACATTTTCAAAGTAATTTGTTTTTATCAACTGAGTTGATAATGTGAAGTGGCGACTGTAAAGAGATTCTAAAGGTGACTTTTCCCTTCGACTCTCGCTCCGACGAAGGGCTAACGCTCCAAATGTCAGCTTCAGAATGCTTTTACTGCGGCTGATTCATATTATCACCTCAGTTGGTAAAATCAAATCATTTTGTAATACTTACACCGATGCAGCACCATTAATTTTTTTACGAAAACGTATTCATTCCAAATTACACGAGAAAAATCGTGTGATTACTAATTGAAATAATGGACCCGCAATTAACAATGCAGCACGTTCGTACAAATTAATTGTCTCCATACCAGAAAACCCATTTTAACTCATGATGGTTACAAAGATGGAAATGAATTCAGATGTACTGCAATAATGGATAAGCTTCTTTTAAAAACTGAACCATTTTTAAACTATGTTTAAAAATTTGCAAATTCGGAATTAACGGCAATTTTCTGATATAGACGTAGGTTACCTTTGGTTGCTCGAAACGCCGGAACTGACAAAGGAGGACGAGAAATAACCGGCCAAAAAAGCTCTCTTGTAAACTAACTAAGAATAAGTTAAGGCCTTCGAGGAAAATATTGAATAAAAGAAGAATGATACGAACAATACAAGCAGGAACCCTGGTCAGCAGATTGTGTTTCGAGCTGGTATCTATAATGTCGAAGGTCAATGGCGGGAAAGCTTTGGTGTAGCCGCGTCATAAACATGGAAGCCGCGTTTTGGCGGGAAATCAGTACTAGTTGGCGGGCAAAGAAGAGTAAAGAAAGAGAAAAAAATTTTTAGTAAGGTGGTATTTTCATTTAGGGATAGTTGCTTTAGGATTTGATATCTCGATAGCGGCTTTTTATGCTTGAACACATGTTTTTATTTACTTTTAATCAAAGAAATGAGCACGTTTCCTTGTCGACTTTTTTAGTTATTTTCTGTGTTCTTTGCATCAAACCGATTGAGGTAAAGGCGACTCGACAAGAACTCTGGCCGAAAAACGCCGAAAACAGAAATCGAAAAAAAATCAGAAAATCCTCGTTACAAATTGAAGATATCCTTCCTCTAACTTTTTTTGTTTTTGTCGTTATTTAAAACAAAAGGCGCTTTAAGTCAGCGCCAATCATGGGAGGTTCTGGCAAAATACCAAATCACACCTGTCAGACAATATTAAAAATGGATTTTCTGATGCTCCGCATCAACTGAAATTGAAGCAAATATAACGCGAAAAATTGCAATGGTTTTAACATTATGGAAACCGAGAGAGTGGTGACGCGCCGCCATCCACGGATAAAACATAAATTTCATTTGTCGAAAAAAAATACAGTCTATGAAAATGAGACACATCTAACTTGATAAAAGCTTAGCTTAACTGATAAATCCGCAGGAGATTAGAAAATGTTTACTCGGAAATTACGTGCTTTGGGATTTTTTTTTCGGTTGACCGTTCACAAATGGGACAACAAAAATGCTCACTACTTCGGCGGCTTAACGATCACATGTAAGCCAGTTAATCGTTACTAAAAAAGTGTCAGACTGTTTTCCTTTATTACTGTATGCAATATCCAGAAAATACAATATTTCTAGAAATATTGTGAAAATCAGTAATTTGCTGCTGAAAAGCGTTGAACGCGAACAAAACGAAAAAGAATAAGGAAAGTGAATTGTAGGTTAAATTTAACAGTACTAATTCTTGAATAAACTCGGAACGCAATATTCAGAAAATACAATATGAAAATCGGTAATTTGCATCTGAAACGCGTTGAACGCGATCAAAAAGAAACAGAATAAGAAAAGTGAAATGCAGGTTAAATTGAACAGGATTAATTCTTGGATAAACTTGGTACTCTTAAATATCGTTTGGGCTATAACAAAGAGTCGAACGTTATGGCTAAATGGATGCTAAAATCGTGTTCTCAAACTTGGTAACGCGGACAATTTTTCTCTCTCTAAATTTCTGAGGATCACTCGCAAGTCACAATGTTCATGCCCGGTGTGCTCAAATTGGTTTCCTACCTTTAATAAACCTGGTGAGAGATAAAGGCAGAACTTTGTAGATGTTTTATGCAGATAGCCAAGTTATTGTTTTTTATATTAACGAACAATAGAGTACTTTCGATTGAGATTGCCAAAGCCCCTGAACGGCGAATTTTAATTGGTTCTTTATTAATGAACCTCGTGAAAACAATATACAGCAACCTGTCGCGCGATGAGTGCGTTACACCCTTGTCATAACATACATATTCATCCAACAAGCGCAGTGGTTCGTCTTCAAGCCTAAGTTTCTTGTCGCTGCGTGTGTTTACAGCCCAACGGGCACAGGTATCTTTTGTGACTGAATTTGCGAAGCCAACTGTCGACTCGATGTGTGGTATCAAGTGTATAAAGACCCTCCTTTTTGCCTTCAATTTTATATTTTGGGTAGGTATAAATAATTTTGAGTTAGTATGCGTCTCCTTGAGTTTCGCTGTACAGCTGAAATTCGCCACAGCGTTCCACTAGCGTTACTGGAACGATCCTAGGGTCTGGTTGTAAACGGTCTGTTTTAGTTTCTCGTCTTTCTTAATCTGTTCTTATTGAGAGATTTTTACTCGCTATTCAAATGTGGGAAAACTTTCTCAATATCACTCTGAACTGAGACAAAAATATAGCTAAGTAATTCCTCAGAGACTGTATTGAGAGTCGTGCTAATGAACCATGTGATTCTATGATGATTGTGGAAATATTTTTGACATTGCGGTATTTTTTTGCTGGTCTTTTCCCGCAATTTCAAAACGGAAGGTAAAATCTCTTTATTTGCCCGAGTAAATATTCCAGCCCTGCCTAATGCATGTAATTGGCAGCAAGAAGCAAGTGTTTTGTTCGCCGTGACAATGTGACTCACACCAAACTTAAATATGGTCGACATGCATATTTATTAATTGGCGCTGAAATATTAAATTCGCGTATTGACAACTGAGAAGGTTTAACGTTGGACAGGCGGAAGTCGGTCTGATGTTTTCAGGAGCACAGGCAAACGACAAGGTCGAGAAATCATCTTTAAGATTCTTTTTGTTTTAAGTTATTGAAATGGCGAATAACAGACGAGCTATAACAATATTCTCGTGCTGCGGCCAGTGATATTGTCCTACACATCGTACTCTGGTGGCCGCAAAATGGGTCAGTATTCACTTACTGTCATCTGCTCAGCGGTATATAAAAAATAATGCATTTCAACGATATTTGTGCTAGAGTTTTGCCCATAACTTTGATATTGAATGAGAGAGAACTTTGCGTACTCTATGGAGTTTTCTAATCCTTTTGCTTCGCTAATAGGATTTGTTGTTGCGATGTTAATGAAAATTGGCAGTAATTATCGGACGTCTGTCATTCAATTAAAAATCAGGCGCACAAAAGAGTGCGTGAAATAACGTGTGCTATTTACGATATCATATCAATATCATCTATTACGTCTTCCATTCGTGACCTTTCGCCAATTGACGGCTGATGCTAAGAAGTTGTTAATAGACTCTTCACAGGCCTCTATTTTTGATTGAATCACATGCGTCAGTAAACTTCGAATTAGAAAGTTCCACCAAAAGATGAATGTTAGAAACGCTCTCCATGCTTGTACCAAGTTCGTTTTTACAATGTTTCCTTAAATGAACCGAAAATTCTTGATACGTTGAAATCAATTCAGGGCCTGGGGGAGAGTGATAGGTCCTGGAGGCAACGCACGCGAACGTGAGTAAAGAGTCACGCAAGGAAACATGCACTCCTATCGCGCTTGTTCGTTGCGTGTTTCTGCCTGTCAATTAACTTTTTGGATACAACATTTTAACCGACAAATTTTACACTACAGTGCCCCGTAAATTATATTTTTTCTTTGCACAGGGGTGCGCGCGGGAGTATTTGTATCTTAAAACTCCGTCTGTAACGCCCTTGATAAAATCTTTGATCATATTTTCATTCTTCGTTTTCGCAGCTTGCCGGCGCGGCGGTCTTAGGAATAGGAATATGGTACGAGATTGACCCAGGGCAGTTTAACGCCTTTCTTGGGAATAGTGGCTACCGGCTTCCCTCCATAATCTTAATGGCGACTGGTGGATTTGTGATGTTCGTCGGTTTCCTTGGATGCTGCGGGGCCATAAAGGAAAGTCGATGTCTCCTGGGTTTGGTATGTTGTTGTTGTTGTTGGTTGTTGGTTGGTACTGAAGCTTCAACTTAGCTGACTTTCATCTTGAGTGTGGTGCAGTGGCCTGGCGGCCAGTGCGCTAAGCTCCGCATAAAGAGGTCTGGAATCGAGCCCCGGCCTGGTCATATATGTTGTTTTCGTGGACAAGACACCCTTAAAATTATTTGTGGCTTCTCTTGGTAAAGAGTGTAAATGGGTACTAACAACCTTTTAGGGAAAGAATAGCCGCGTTGAAAGGCATTCCTATGGAGTTTCGGGATAAAAAAGTTAATCAGAGGAGAGGGGCATATTAGAGAGTTAATGAGGACTCTAAGTAAAAACAAGCAGACTGCTTGGAGCGCATAAAAATGCAAGCAACCAAGCTGCAATAGGTTTCAGCCAAGAATCAGATTGGTTGAGAAAGTGACGCGAGTTTTCTGGAATAATATCACAGCGAAGTAAAGCAAAATCAGAGAAATCCCGTATTACTTTTGACGCTCAACTGAAAATTGCTCCAGTTACCTCCGATCAATAAGCATCCAGGGGAGGAGCTTATCCAGTACTCCATGTTGATTTATGTCATGGAAAACGAGATGAGCTGAGGTAGTGATGAGCTGTTGGGTTTGTTATGCATAGTTAACCTGTAGCCTTTTATATGTTTCTCTGTTTTTTCAGTTCTTTGGCTGCTTATTTTTGATATTTGCTGCTGAGGCTGTGGCGGGAATTCTTGGTTTCCTTTATCGCGACAGGGTAGGTCTGACTTTCTATAGCTTTTCTTTAGTAATTTCACACATTTCCGTTCTCTTAAGCTTTGGTTATTTGAATTCATATTATTAAAGACGTAAAAATAATTTATTTGTTAAAAAAACTAATGAGACCAAACGTTGTATTAAACCGAATCCAGTCAGTTATCAATTGAAATGAAAATTTAAACTTCGGAAAATACCAGGCACGAGCGTCGGAACAGCGCACGTGGAAAGTCAAGTGAGAGGTCTTAATTAGGATCACCGACAACTGCTCATTCCTCCCCGTTTATGTTTGCTCTCGGATGGGCTTCTATAACTTGTGTTTCCTCAACCACTGCGCAAGTATTGTAGTTTCCCAATCCCCCTCGAACGTTGTGAAAATGAATTTTACGAAGTGCCTGCAGAGAGAGAAAGGTCTCAGAAATTCGACTCGGTGACCAATGCGTTTGACATATCAACTTCCATTCTGGAGGAAAGGGAGTAAAATGTTTCTTAAACTTATGATCAAACAATTTCTTCGTTTTTCTTTCAAAAGGTTGAAACTGAGGTGGAAAACAGACTTAAAGAAGAAATAAAGACAAATTATGGGGTGAAAATCGATTCAACCACTAATCAAAACGTGGATAATTTACAAATTCGTGTAAGCAGATCATTTTTTTTATTTCTTTAGACATAAAACACAATTTCCCATTAATATAAGGTAAGAAGCTTTATGTTTAGAAGTGATTGTAACTTTGTTACCATCAAAGAAGGGTGGGGACGAGTTTCAAGCACTCTCATTATTCCCTTGTCTGCTAAACCTCCTTCGTAACAAAGAGAGGCTTACAACTAAGCCCAGCCTCTATCTCCCTCTTAACAAAGAGGGGCTTACAAATTAGCCCAGCCTCTATCTCCCTCTTTACAAAGAGGGGCGTACCAACAAGCCTAGCCTCCCTCTTCACCAAGAGGGGCTTACAAACAAGCCCAGCCTCTCCATCCCTCTTTAAAAGATGAGCTTACAAACAAGCCCAGCCTCCTCCTCCCTCTTTACAAAAAGGGTCTTGCAAACAAGCCCAGCCTCTCCCTCCCTCTTTAAAAGATGAGCTTACAAACAAGCCCATCCTCCCCCTCTCTCTTTACAAAAAGGGTCTTACAAAGAAGCCCAACCTCTCCCTCCCCCTTTAAAAGATGAGCTTATAAACAAGCCCAGCCTCCCCCTCTCTCTTTACAAAAAGGGTCTTACAAATAAGCTCAACCTCTCCCTCCCCCTTTAAAAGATGAGCTTACAAACAAGCCCAGCCTCCCCCTCTCTCTTTACAAAAAGGGTCTTGCAAACAAGCCCAACCTCTCCCTCCCCCTTTAAAAGATGAGCTTACAAACAAGCCCAGCCTCCCCCTCTCTCTTTGCAAACAAGCCCAACCTCTCCCTCCCCCTTTAAAAGATGAGCTTACAAACAAGCCCAGCCTCCCCCTCTCTCTTTACAAAAAGGGTCTTACAAACAAGCCCAGCCTCTCCCTCCCTATTTAAGAGATGAACTTACAAACAAGCTTAGCTTCCCCCTCTCTTTCAGCTAACCTTTTGCACAGAATCGTTCAGTCAGAGTTTAATACATCAAACTGATTGTTTTCCTCAGAAGGTACATAGGTTTTCCTTGAGGAAGTAAAACAATACTCATTATACTATTTTTCGTCGTCTAATCTCTGAAGCTCGAATGCTGTGGCGCAAGTAATTACACGGACTGGGACGAAAGTAAATGGAAAGAAGTCAATAAGGACAATAAAGTACCGCTGAGTTGCTGTAAGAAGGACGAAAACACAAGAACTTGCAACAAGGTTTCGAATTTTGATAAAAACAAAATTCATACGAAGGTAATGTTTTTAATATTTGCGGTTCCTTAAACGAGCAGTAAGCTCCAGAAACCATAAAACTTTTATCTTCGTCTTTAAAAAGGGTTTAGGGACCAATCATTATTTACCGCCAGAAGGGTTGGGAGGACTTAGGTCGTGTCTCAGTAAAATTTACCTTTTCCTCCTCCAAGGCGTGGTAGTCTTCTAATAATTCCCCATTATTCGCAGTCAGTTTCCTAGAGTGCCCCGTCTATACTCTGGTAGTGGCGACTGATCCTTCCTCCGCCTCCTCCCTGCAAACCATGCGTCCCCCCCCCCTACCAGGTGATAAAAAATAATTGGTCCATCGACAGCGTTTTGACATTCTGAAGAGTATAATCTAACCTCTACAAATTTATCCTCCAATTTGCCATAATTTTCAATATTCTTCGGTAACTTTCATCCTTTTTTTACATCTGCCTGGCGATCCGTTTGAACGACTAAGAGACGCAAAACAAAGCATTTGTGACTCAAATAATGATGTTTTCTTCGAGAACCAGAGCAGCACGGCTTATTGTGAACCGCTTGATGATGCGATTCCATCGTTATCTAGGTGTGCGGCCAGGTTACTAAATTGTTTTCAATATGGCGGCGTTAGTGGACGGGCAGTTTTTTGAACGGTTAGTTTACCCCTGAAAATCAAGTAAGGCAGTGAGAAGTAAACTCACGTATACATAGTTTTCATTATGGATATAAATATTATATGGTTTCTGCACCATAAATCTCCCGTAAACCTGTCTCGCTCTCTCTCATCGTAATCAATGACCCTTTTAGAAATCCGGCACTAATCAACTCTTATCAACTAATACGGCCATACGGTGTGAATTCATACTTTAAAAGTGCGGCTTCCCGGCAACACTCACTCTCATGCCTGGTCTGAAACCCAGACAACCCTCAGCCAAGTATCACACAAGTAATGCGCCGATCAATTCAAATTGATCGATGCATAACTAAGTGACTCCTACGCGCAATCGCCCGCTTTCTAACACTCTTGTCTTCAAATTCTTTCCAGGGTTGTCTTCAGTCGCTAACAGATTTTGTCGATAAACATCTGTTCGTCCTCGGTATTGTAGCAGTATCCATTGCCGGAATCCAGGTTTGTAGATGTTCCTTCCACAGTAACCCAGTTTCTTATCGCACCCACAAAGGAAAAGGAAACGATTAAAATCTGTAGGCGATTAAAATCTGTAGGCGTTTCTTCGTGCTGGTTACTCGTGTAACGGCTCAAGGGCGTAACTTAGGTATCACGGAAGGAAAAAAAGGAAAACGAAAGATTTATCAACTTCTGAAAATATATTTTGGTATCGTTTTAACTCAGGAGTTATAGAGCAAAAATTGATTTGATGGTAGTACGAAAGGCGCGAGATTGATGATCGCGAGAAAATATATCATAACGAAAAAAGTAATGATCATATTATGAGAGAAAAAAAAGCGAATGAAAAGTGAAATACTCAGCATCAAGCCTTTGTGTACAACTACTGAAGGAGTTCAATCAGTGTGAACAAGAGCTCAGATATGTTTTCACGAGATGTTTCTTTTTGTTTTCAGTTACTTGGAATGATTTTTGCCTGCTGCCTCTTCTGTTCTATTGATGTATGAAGGAAAGAGGACGTAAATCAATTGATATGGGAATCATTTAACTATACAGCTAGTAGTTTAACTGCCTTTTATTCAATCTAATTCTTTGGAAGAAAAATAATTGAAGCCAAAGATATTAACTCAGCCCAGACATCAATTTTTATCGAGGAAAACTTGGTTGAATTGATTAAGAATTGTCTTCCTTGAAGTTGCTGTCAGGAAATTGAATGCTTTCGAGAGCTCTTAGAGTTCTTGTTTTAGAGCGTATTTTAATTAAGTCTCGTAAAACCAGAAAATAAAAAGAAATCAACGGGAAATCAAAACAATGGAAGACGTTAGATAAAATGAAAACAAATTTGATATGAAAATCGACAATCTTGATTGAAGTGTGGAAAAACGCGGCTGATCAAGTCCCTATTGTCCGGATTTTTCCATCTGATTGATTGAGAGAGTGGCATGAGTTTTGTAGATTAAACAGATTAAGTTAAAACCATTGTAATCCATGCCGACTGCTTCAGGCACTGAAGCACTGAGAAGAACCAAGGAGCTTAATGCCTTAAGTCGTTGCTCTGGTGTTCTATTTGTTTGTTTGGGGTCCGCCTAGAATATGACGACGCTATATTGAATTTCAAAGTGCGAACCAACGGGAAAAGTAGGATGCGGACGTGGGACGTCATGGAAGATTGCTACCTCGTTCCCAGGACTTCTCTTATTTACCGCACAAAAGAGATCCTGTATAGTGTGAGATCCTTCATCGATTGCTTTTATGCATGATGACGTCATTTACTGAAATTCACCGCCAAGCCTCGTTAACCGTGAAGTTTTCATAAATCTTTGCCACTTTCTTGTTGTTTCCGTATGGGTGTTCTCGTGATTTCAGTTTTTGGGTCACTTTCTTGTGAAAATTCATCACTTCCTTCCTTGAAAGCGAGGTTTGGGGTGGAAAAAGGTATTTCAAAGTAAAAATGTAAAAGTCTTGTCTTGGATAAGTTATTAGTGTATTTGTCTTTAATGAGGCGCTTTTCGATTGAGTGTCGTTGAACAAAAACCAAAGTAATCACGCGGCCAATGAGATTTAATGAAGATATTACGTGGGCTCGATATCCATTGTTTTCTCGCGTCCAGTCTTCGGTCCGCCCGAGGAGGAGCGCGGGTTCACTCTCCAAGCAGCGGCTGGTAATCGCGTTAAATGTCTCAAGGAGTAAACAAAAACTCAAAGTAAAATCACTTAGCTGGCCGCAAGCGCTGGAAAACGCAAATTATCACGTCTCGATTGGTTGCATGTGATTTGTTAAGTAAACGACGAGGGTTTTTTTTAACCAATCACAAGGCATGGTCGAATAAGCTCAAAGTAATGATACTATCGACACTTGATCGAGAACCGCTTCAACTTTGGATAGTTTTAATAGTTAGAGCAGACAGGATTGATAATAGATACAATATAACTATCCCTAAAACGCGTAAAGCTGGGTCAAACCATAAAAATGTACACATCATATCAAAATAAGGACATATAATCAGCAAATAATGTGAAAAACAAAGGTTCAGTGAAAGGGATATAAAGATAAAGGCACTGAGACGTTAGAGGTCTGGTATGTTTTAATGGCCAGAGAACGAGTGGATGAAGGTTTTCATATTCTACAGAAGGGAGACAAGGCAAGGGGTCTGTTGGTTGGTGCAGGTGTTAAACCAACCCAGTGGGTGAAGTTTTTACTTCCTGAGGCAGTTATCATGCTACACCTGCATGCAAATGCAACCATTCGTTGGTCCATAGGTTGGTTATCAACAACGACTTCAGAAAAGAGTGTAAACCACCGAAGCGGAACTAAAGACAACCTGGAGCGGTTTACCTACTGCTCTAACCCTACATTTGATAATCCAGCAGTCATCTAGGCTCGATTTCCGCCGCTCTCTCGTGTTCGGGCTTTGAAGAGGATTCGAGGGAAAGGAGCGCGGGCTCATATTACTTTCCAGCGGCTTGTAATCGAGCCTAGTAGTCATAAAGCTAAGTTTCCGATTCAGCCGGAGCTTACGTTGCTTTCTGGAGCACTAACTCTATTGCTGCTCCCCCCCGGATGAGATACCAGTCCATCGTAAGTTCTACCCCCACCTCCTCCTCCACAAGTCCGTAGGTTTCCCAGACAGTTCCGATCGCTCATCACACAGGCAGCCCATGCTCGCACAATGAGCCTCCGTAAAAGGGAAAATGTTTTACGTTGCGTAATGGGCGAAATATTAGGAGCTGTATAGGAAATGGCCACGCAATGGCCCTTTCTATAATTCTATCCTTTCCTTAATCCGCCCAGAAAAATCACAATACAAAGGGACGACCACTTAAGTAGGGTAAGTTTGTTTTAATTCAAAACTATTTCAGATTTCAAGTTGAGAGTGCGACTGTTTTTTCCCAAACAAATCTTAATATTTCACCAGTTGAGCAACATAAACACATTGGCATGTATAGCTACGGAGGCTTATTGTGCGAGCTTGGTTTACCTTTGGTTCTCATATGTACTCCTGAGCGGAGATCAAGAATCTCATCCAAATCTCTTCCCAAAGGGCAAACACGGAGGATATATTAACACTCCTTCGAAAAGTTTCACCTTTCATTTATTTGGACTGAGAAAGATTCTACAATTCTAAGCAAAATTTGTCTGTAAAAAGAAAGTGCAAACATTCTCGCATGTAATTCAAGGGTTGAATTTCACAATTCTACTGTATTGATGATCTCCATACCATGTTGTATGAAATAATCAATACATAAATATACTTTTCGTCCACAAACATCTTCCGGAAAGGGCGAAAAAATATTTCCCCAACCTATCATTCGCAATGTCTTCCCTTCACTTAGTTCTTATTTTCACAAGATACATTCAAAGTTCATTTTCCAGTTACATCCACAGTAGTTTTCACTTTCTTAAAGCTATTTTTCTACTGTTATCATCGGTTTTAACACGAGCGGAGCTCTACAAGCTTCAGTTCTTCATTGAAGATTGGGAAAATGGCAACTATCCGCTGTTAAGTTTTTTTTTCTCCTCTCTCTCTCTTTCTCTCTTCTAATGGACTTCAAAATCAATTCTCATGCAACGAACGAGATACAGTGTCTTATATCTTGCAGTGTTTAACCCTTTACACCCTAACATCAGTATGCATATTATCCTTCTTTATACATTTCCCTAAGGTTACTGACAAGGAAAATTCGTTTACTGATCAAAAGCTTCTTTCGTTGGTGATCATTTGCTTTATTCTCATGACCTTAATGTGTGATTCAGGGGGGATATTGTTAGGAGAAATTAGATGCCACTCACTCTCAGGGTGTAAAGGGTTAAGCAAAACGTGGGATTCCTTGGTTAACAAGAGAACGAAGAAGATAAAGCTGCAAACGATACTTCACTGACAAGAGGTGGCTTTCCCAGCAACGATTAAGTTGTTCAATGAACGTTTTAAAATAAATATATGGATGGCTTTCAATCCTGACTTTCCAAGGCTATGTCAATCAACTCCAGATCTCCAGGACAAAGTCAATCAAAAGCACCGCAAATTGGCTTTTCTTTCATAGAAAGTTTTCCTCAAAGAGAAACCGAATCTGTGTTCATTGATTCTTACATTCCACTGGCTTGTCGCCGTCCTGAGAAACAAGAGATGATCGCTTAACCATTACAAGGTTTTTACTGCTGAAGAACGGTCAACTCTAACAAAACGAGTAATGGAAAACAAGAGCAGAACTATCAAAATTTTGCCTCACTACGCACTGTAGACGGTATAGAAACTGCACACCACCCTTATAACTAATCGGATGCAATAAAGTAAATAACTGGACGGTCGTATAGGCAGAGGTGTTCCCCTTTAGACGGGCTCAACAAGTGCTCAGCGGCTGCCAATGGTGAGATAGGCGGCTACGCAGTAAGGCGAAACCTTAACAAAACAGCCTGCTCGCAGGCTCAACAGACGGAGCTGAGAGGTCTCAAATTAAAGGCGGCAGTAGACCGCCGGTGACCGGCTCTCATTGAAACCCGTGGGTAATGCTAATGAATCACTTGACTCACCGGGGGTGGTTGATAATCGGGGTCGCTATCTTCCTCTTCATCACCCTCCCCTTCCTGATAAAGAAAAAGAACAAGTAATCATACACGATGGAAAACCTCTCGAACTCTAAAGAGACTTTGTTGTCAAAAAGGATGGGGTGGGGGAGAGGGTGGGTGTGGGCTCTCACACACCTCACGATTAATGCATTGATCACTGCTGTCAAAGATAACAGAATACTGTTCTGCGGGCGCGCCTCACTTCCATACATTCCCCGTAGAAAATGCATCTTCTTGAAGTTCGAGGGAAGTGACTTCTACGACTTCAATGGCAACTCCAATAAAATATGATTTATAACAAACACAAATCATTTTCATTTGTAAACAACTCGGGTAAAATTGGAGGCGTAACACACATTGTTTGTATTCTCCATTTTCCTCCTTCTCCCGATTGTCCGGCATTTCGTCCGAACAATCTAGAGTATAGAGTTTACCATAAACATACCTCGTCTTCTTCACCTTCATCTTCTTCTTCTTCGAACTGAAAAATAAAAATTACAGAAGGAAAATTAGTTTCTTGGAGGGAAGAGTCGAAAGTGTAAGGGTGCACCACATAATTAATTCTCTCTCTCTTCCCCCCCTCCTCCCCACTCTACAGCTTTCAGAAGTGTTTTCACAAGTAACATTTCCTTGCATTACAAAATCACTATACGGTATAAATGAGATGAGAGTATAATGACGTATCACGTTACCATTTCTCCTTTCTAGCGGCTAAACCTTCATCAAGGTTAACCATTTCACTTCCAAGATCTACTTAAGTTCTCTTCTCTCTCTGCCCTACAATTCTTACGATGTTAGTTTTATTGATTTGGCATTTTATCAACTAGTCATCCCCGAATTAATATTTTTCTTTATTCTCATCCCTCGTCTGCTTGAGAGGGTATGGACATTTGGTCACTCGTGGGAGTTAACGCAAGACATGTCGTTATAAAGATTAGAACTTCACTTCGGTTCAACTGATGCCCTTTATAGGCGTAACAGATTAGTGGCAACACTTGACCCAATTAAACCCAATCCATCATCGTAATTAAGAATTTTATTAGAACCACATTTGCGATTCTATGTTTCCAATACAATATTACAAGCGGTCGTTTATCAGTTAGGAAAATTTGGTGTTTCATCACGACAACTTTCCGGTGAAAATATGATTGTTGAATGATATAACGTTATTGTAAGGTGATGGTTAAGTAAATCACTTCAGTCTGCAATTTAAACGATTAACTAACCTCGTCTTCAAGAGCTTCTCCAGTAAAATACAGAACAGCCTGAAACAGTAAAAAGAAGTCACTTGTCAACAAACTCATTAGTAATTCTAAATCACGTGCACATGGTTGGGATCTAACATCCACCAAGCTAAAAACAACAACAACAACAACTACAACAGCTCAGGAGTCTGAACCATTTTTTCAAAATGAAATGTTACAAGAGAGCAATAAAAGACCCACACTGGCTCTTACTGATTCACACTTCAAAATACCCTACTATCCTTAGAGGGATATAATTATGTTCAGAAGTGTTTCCTCAAAATAAATCTCTACAACATTTTAAACAAACTTCAAGATAATTCTACCTTTGGAATTACTCTTTCTCTGAAGAAATGACCAATTTCAAAGTCTGCTGACAAAAGAGCCTCTGTTTCTTCATCCTGAAACAACATTTCAGTACATTATTTATTTATGTCCACACAGTTATCTGATGCAGCACCATTCATTTACAAAACATTTCACTCATACTTGCAAAAAATAAAATTGGCTAGTAAGGAAAATCTTTGCAACTAGGAAACATACCATATCAGCCTCATCTTCAGGAACTGGAAAAAAAGTTACATAACGTAAGAACAAGAGTGTAGTGAGTGTGATTTTCCTGACAAATGGGTAAGAAGTAGAAAATTAAAACACAGAACGTCAGACTAAAGGCGAGACAGTTGAGTGGCAGATATAGAGGTTTGGGGGTCAAGCCTTGTTTTATGTCAAAGGCTAATGTGCACTGTTCAAAATACACAAATCCCAAGTAAGTGTGAGGTACTTGTCTTAGTTTTACTACTTTGGAGATCTGATTTTTCAACCAATTCTTAATTTTTTCCTCAAAATTTTTGTCACAGCTAGATAAAATAACCTAACATATTAGCCCTAACATATGCTTTAAAACAAGAGAAATCAAACCAAATTTCACTCAAATCATGGATACTATAAACCATCATTTGAAAACTACCAGCCTCTGGGTTGTATTACAAGAACTAGACTCACCTTCCGGAGGGGAAAAGAAGTTGAAGAAAGAATCATTTTTTATTGTTTTGCTGACAAATCTTGTTTGTCCTCTGCCACCAGAACCTAAATAAAAAACAGAAATATATTGTTTCACCAATTATTTCTGAGATTCATATAACAGTGACCTGTAAAGTTTACAAAACATACCCTTTTTCTTTTGTTTTTTCTTTACAACTTTCTGTGTCACATTCTTGCCTTTCTTCCAGTCAATATTGCAGCTAAAATAAA